AAAATTTGAAAATTGCTCGGTTCTACATTCAAAATAAATTTCATTAATTTTTACGTACATATTAAGGTACTTATCTTCTACATATATAATCTTCATTAGATATATACATGATAAATAAAATTCATAAAACATTAAAAATCAAAAAATTAGATGAACCTTGGCAATTAAACTTTATTAAATAATAGTTGTTTATAAATTATATTATATTATCATTTAATATTATTTTGATAATGAAGATTTTATTTTGCAATAATATAAACGAAATTTTTTACCTTATGAACTTTTGATGGAAATATGCAAATTTAAAATAATAAAGAAAGCCGCGAGCGAATCGAGCGGCTTAGGTCTAAGATTTTGATTCAAATCTTTGCTTATATTCCTTAAATTCTTTATGAAACTCACAACAGTTCCATAAAAAATTTTAAATTCTAAACTGTCGAAATTACCGATCGGTAATCACACCCTTCACGGGTGTGTCACTTTTAGCTAAAATTACCCCTACTCAATATCTTATCACCTCAAAATTGAGTAATAAAGAAGATGATGTCAGGAGTGAGATTGTAAACCATTCAATTTTCTCTTAATTTCAACACCAATGAGTGACAAAATGTCTATGAAATCCCTGAATGAACTTATTTCTCAAAGTTAAGACCCGTTTATTTGTCCTAATCTCTATAATGGATATGACGCTGAATTTTTAGAACTGGCACTTTTCTAAATATGATACAGACTAAATCCTTTTGCATAATTTTCAATGTAATACTTATTTTTCTTTCAATATTCGCACTCAAACTAACTGATTTCATTATTATTTCTGACTTTAAAGTATCAATTGTTTCATTATTGGCGATTCTTCAACAAATATCCGCAAAGGCAGGTTATCACAAAGAAATTCCCGAAGATTCAATAATAGATATCAGAAAAATAAAATGGGCTAACGACCCAATGAATACAGAACACACTCTTTACATTCAAGATAATTTCTCTTTTAAAAGCTGGGGAGGAAAACATCAAAAGATCTCTAATATAAACAATAATAACCTATTTCATTTAAGGAATTGCTATGTTTCTGGAAATGGCGCGATATTTTATAAGAACAAGTTTATCTTGGGTTCTGGAATTCCAGGAAAAATACGATATTTGTACCAGCCGCTTAATGGTTCAGTTATAGGTACAAGAGATCTAGTTATCAGTATCGGACACTACTATTCTACAATTTACGGTCATTTCATACAAGATAGTCTTTCGCCTTTAATGGAAGTTCCGAGTGATATTTTACAGCAATCCACAGTTACAATTTGCACGCATGCCAAGTTAATAAACGAATTTTTCCCAACATTAAATATTTCTAAAGAAGTTCAACATTTGAGCCCTAGCCAATGGCTATTTGCGAAAGAATTATACATAAATATTAATCCAAGACCCCATATGAATCATCTTGGACCTTGTTTCCGTAAATTAACTTTATTAATCAGAGAAAGATTTAATTTGACAAGAATTGTCCCTTATAGATACATTATCTCGCAACGAAAAACAAGAAATAGATTCATTGGTAACTTTGATAAACTATTTAACGCAGTTAACACAACTTATCCAGATTTTCCATGGGAAAAAGACTACCAAACGCCAAGGCCACTTAACGAAACAGTGAAATTCTGGTCAAATGCAAAGATATTCTATGCAGTTGCAGGAAGTAACTACTTTAATTGTGTTTTCTTCCCACAATCTGTTGTTGCAATCATTGTATTCTCAAATGTATATGACATTTCAGCACTTGGAGCTATAACATCAAATAATTTTCGAACAGTTCTGTACCAAGAACCATCAATGAAACATTTCTCTGCAATGAAGAATAATTTTAATATTACAAGAGCTTTACTTGCGTTTAAGATAGCTCTTTATGTCCAAAATAGTCATACCTGGCCAAATGAACCAAATACGGCTCTTTTGCGCTAATTTGTTTTTGTTTTTATTTTTAAATATTTTTAAAGGTAGTCTCACGAAAATACGTTATTTTCCCGATGCCTTGGAAGCAGCTTTGCAGGTTACCCGTAAGGTAACCAGTAGAAGTTTCTGAGCAAGGATGAAGAAGATTAAAGAGCCTTTTTATTGCAAACGCTATATTTGTAAGTGTCTTTGTAGAACTTCTCATAAATTCAAAGATTTCCAAAAACGAATTTTTAGATTTTGATATAATAAATGATATTTAAACAAATTATAGATGTGTTTGCAATTAAAAAAATCCGAGTTAACTACAATATCTTCAATTTTTGTCGTTCACTTTTTCATGTCATACTGATAGCAAGAATACTCACCCAATTTGGTGACACTTCATGATAGTTTGAAGTAAAAAAAGGCCACCGTTTTTTTTATTTGATATCGTTATCTAAATTTTGTACAGAAATGAAATAAATTATAATATGAAACGTGTGTTATTATGCTTGTTGGGAAACAATTCAATACTTATGTCTGAATGAAATGATTATTTCTACGAGATTTTTCATATTCAGCTAATAATGCTATCAAAATCAAATAACAATAAAAAGTTATTTTGTACATAATGTAACTTAATCTTTAATACTATATAGAACTTCGAAATACTACTAAACGGTGCGAGTTACGCGATTAAATACCTTTTTTTCGATCGAAACTTGAAAGTGAGGATAACTCAATGGGTAGGGGTATGGGTTCGACTTTTTCTATTGGGCAACTATTTTTTTCTTTTCATTGTTTCAGCATTTTTTTATGCGATTATGCATAATTATTTGATTTCCTATATATTCAATAATAAATTTGTTCCGAACTCTTAACAAATAAATAAATTTTTAGAATATTTAAATTTATAGCTCCCTACATTAATATAAAGTGTTCGAATAGTTCATATATAGTTTCTTTAAAATAATTTGTTTCATTTTAAATTGGTTTGGCACAATGCTTGACATAACATGCACAAAGCTATGCCATTTTAAAATATGTATATCAATCAAGCCGATTAAGTCCATCCTAAACGAAAATCATCGATACTCATGAATTTATGATAGTCGTTCTTGATATAATTGCGCGTTTTAAAAAAATGCTTACTTTTGAACACAGAACTTATCTATCCATATTTATCAATGAAAGTTTATAAGATGCATTAATGACAAAACCTTACTTTATCAATTATAATCTTATCGTAAATTTCAAACTACAATACTGTGGGGCAAATATTAAATAACCACTATGTTGCGGATTTTATGTAAGTCTGCAAACTGTAAAATGTAATTAAACACAAATAAAAAAAAATGTAAATTTTAATCGAGAAATTTAGCAATCTTGAAAGCCTTGATCGGCATCTTTTACAAGATGTCAGTAATGCATATTCAATAACTATGAAAATCTAGCCAAGCATGGATTTTTTTCGAAAAAAAATTATATTAAATTTCATTTTTCATTCTTTATACAAGTTTTAACCTTTGGTGCAATTATATCCTATCGCAAATGCATTATTGACGTTATTACTTGGATACTTCTTCATAACGCTAAATCTTCAAATTAGTTATGTGTTTGTTACTAATAGAAGTTGGAAAGGTATTAAAAAAGGAAATGTTAATAAATATACATGTTTAATTAAAAAACAAACAAGAATAAATTAAATAATTTTATTTCTTAGGAAAGTCTAAGTTTTGTAATAGATAAATTGCTTTTTGTGTCTCTTCTTCATCAATTTCTGGATGTTGATTCTCAGGTGGCGGACTAATTAAAACATCATGGGCAATATCAAACCTTGTTTTAGTTCGTTGGCAGAAGGAAAATGATCTTCTTGTATTGGCGTTATTAATGATTGAAAATCATCAGTTGATTCTGCATTTTGGGAATTTTCCAAATTTTCATTTGGAAAATTTGAATTTTGAGATTGAATTCCTTGAGATGTAGAATCTGTAGTTGTAGAGTTTTCTGTAGAAGAAGAGGAATTTGAGTTTGCGAATTGTAGTATGTCATTGAAATTCTCATAAAGAGGTGTTTTGGCCATCGGCACTTTTTGTAACTGTGTTTCGTATGCTTGAGATGGGCAATAGCCCCTATTTTCTGAAAAAGGAACTGGAGCTTTTATTTCAATAATTTGATCCAGTTTTTGTCTTAAAATTTCCACTCCATTACGCGGAAAATCTTTGCTGTAAGGTTCAAAAACACTTAATGGTTGTGTGTGATTGTATTTTATTAATCTTCCCCAAACTGAAAATACCTGATCTTCGTGCCAACCAACTAAATACATAAGATCGGTCGTAATACTGGCAATATCTTCATCTGTGAATATATATTGGGACTTAATATCTTCTGGCATCTCCTCGACATTTGCCATATTTGCTCCTGAATTATCAAGTCTGCATTCTGACACAAGACGATCAAAATTTTGTTCACGGTAGGTTTGGTTCATTACCAAATGCGCTCCCGCACTCATCAAATCTTTAACTTCTTTTTTTGAATGCGCAAATTTTCGGAATAAGGCAAATAAATGTTCAACCGGAAGGGTTGTGAGATGTTGAAAATTTATATTCGGGAATTCCTCTAAAAATCCATAAAGAGTGAGAAGAGATGTCGCCATTTTCAGAAGATGCATTCTTCTGGCAAAAAGATAACCTTTGAATTTGAGACGATGATCTGGTGTCTCTATATTAGGAAGTCTATCAGTGACTCCGACCACATCTTGCAATCTGAGAAAGAAATGCAAGATGAAAAAAGCAAGTTTGAACATTGACAATCTTGCTTCAACTGGTAATATGGTATTTCGGACTCCCTCAAACCAAAGTGCAAGTGGAAGGAGCCAAGTTGCTTCAGTGTAGCAATTATTATCTAGCATATCCTTGACGGTTTGAACGTTAAAGATTGTTACAGGATATTTGTCATTGAGTGTGGTAGACTTATCACAGTTGTTAATTGCATCTCCAAGTTTGGAAAATAATCTAATTTTTGTAATATCGACGTGCAGCGTTGGATCATAAGGTTGCAAAAAGATTAACTTATTGGGGAAAATTAATAACGTTCTGAGGTTTTTGCCTATATGAACGACGTCCGCGATGAAGATAATCTTAAGATCTTGGAATTTTGCACTTTTAAGGACTTCTACTAATCCATCAAAGCCAGTAACTAGGCTGTACCAATGGTGAAAGAATATCTGATAAACAAAATCGTAAGATTTGTCACCATCAGTTGTAAAAACTGGAACATTCAGTGTTTTCTGAACTGTAGCAATGTAATCCAAGATTTCACTCATAATTCCAGATGCAAGACCATTTGTATGTTGTATTATATGCAAACATATTGATGGACCTTTGCAATCTAATGGCATCAAATATAATGCAAATAAGTCCTCGATTTGATCGTCATGGCCGGACTTCTTCCATAATTTGCCTGTGATTGCATCTATTCCAATGCAAAAATGGCATTGTTCACGTAATTCCTCATCTGTATATGGATATAATTCCCTGAATCTGAGGAATACTGGGAGTGAAGATGATTTTGAAAGCAAAAGTTCCTTCCATGCTGCAATATCTTTACCAAAGACTCGAAATAGAGTTGCTTTTGATGGCAACATAAGTTTCTGTCTTGCCAACAAATATTCTGAGGGTTGTTTGCAATACAACATAAAGGCAAATTGAAGTGTCTCCGCATAGTATCGTCGGCTCTTTGAGTTTGGAAAATTTAAATTATATAACATGTTATTAATGATAACACACGTTAATTTATCTGCAAACGGAGGGTACTTAAATAATGGGGTATAATCATCTAATAATATTTCGCTTAAACTCAAGGATTCATCACCATTTGTTTCATCTTCATCTTGATCATCAGAATCATCTTCATTGTCATTGAGAGTTTCAAGATCTGCCTTTTCTGCTTCTTGTTCTAATTCGTCTGCAGTTCCATCTTGTATTTTTCTTTGTTCATTGATTTTTTTCATTTGCAGAGATCTTTGATAGCTTAGAGCACGGTTTTTGGAAGCTGCAATCATTGATTTAATAGTATTCTCTTGTAATAGTTTTGATTGATTGGGACTTGTTTGATAATCTGCGATATTATTATAAATAACACCAGGAAGTTTTTCTTTAATAAGCTTTTCAAGCTTCTTAAATGTGGCAATATCTACACATGATAAATTAATTTCTATCTTCTCACTGTTCATAATGATTTGTGGGAAAATGATTAAGTGGCCGAACACTTAAAGCATTTCTTTTTCGTTTTATATCAAAACAGATTTAGATAGCTTAAAACAATATAGTTTACTCATAAATACATCTTGATAATTCACTTCTTCAATTTTCATAATCTTATATCCTGACCTATATCCTCTTATAAACCATATTTCTACTGAGATCTTCTTAAAGCATCTTTTTATCCCTATCTACGCCTCGAAACCAATTTAAGTTCCTTAATTTTTTTGAAAAAAAAATTAAAACTCCCTTATCAAACATCATGCTCATTTTTACGAATTTCATTTTTCCTTTAAGTTTAAAATATACGCTTTTTAGCATGTTTATAATACATTTTCAATTTACATTTACATTTTTATTTTTGAATTGTTTGTTTATATTTCCGTTTGAACAATAATATTTATTGAAAATTGTGAGAGAAACGGATATAATAAAAAAACACCATACAACAAAATTCAGATCTCATTTTTAAAATATCTGCACCAAATTCTTACATCTGATAATTTTCATGTGTAACCAATGTTTCCCAATCCCTTTGCCATACCCTACTAATCGCAAATTCATTCCCTTTAATTTTGTATTAAATTTAAATTCCAATCTTAATTTCTACATTATTTATGCTAACCCTTTAAATTTTGTTCTTATTTATTCACCCTCAGATACAAATTTATTTAGAATGTATTCCTCTGAGGTCTATATTTGTATTCGAAAATAAAATCTTTAAAACTCTCTAAGTTATCATTTTCTCTTCAGATATCTAATATTTTTCTAATGACATAACTACTTTGGACGCATATCCAAATTCCAAAAAAAATATGGAAAAAATAAAAATGAAATTGAAAAATACAATTTTTGATATGTAAAAAGAGATTTTGAAAAAAAATTGGGAAAAGAGTATCTAATAAAATTGTTTGAGATCTATGTAGACATAGTTTTTACAGTAAAAAATCAATAATATTGAAATTGATCTGAATATATCTTTTTTTTTAAGTTTGAATGCATTAATCTCAAAGCATTTGATAAAATACTGGTTTTATTTCAAAATTCTAAATAATTTGTAATTAGATCTTTATGATGTAATTTAATTTTAAACAAGTACAGATAAAGAGAATCATAATAAAGGTGATCTATATTGCTTAAGTAAAATTGAGTATAATAGATCGATCTTAGCAACAAGATCTGAGGAAGTAGATTTGAGAGTCGAGAGTTTGGATCTTAGCAACAAGATCTGAGGAAGTAGATTTGAGAGTCGAGAGTTTGGATGTTAGCAACAAGATCTGAGGAAGTAGATTTGAGAGTCGAGAGTTTGGATCTTAGCAACAAGATCTGAGGAAGTAGATTTGAGAGTCGAGAGTTTGGATCTTAGCAACTAGATCTGAGAGTTTTATCATTTCCGGCATATTGGGCCGAAAAGGAGTGATCCGCGTAAGTATGAAAAAAAGTGAATTTTGTTGTATGGTGTTTTTTATTATATCCGTTTCTCTCACAATTTTCAATAAATATTATTGTTCAAACGGAAATATAAACAAACAATTCAAAAATAAAAATGTAAATGTAAATTGAAAATGTATTATAAACATGCTAAAAAGCGTATATTTTAAACTTAAAGGAAAAATGAAATTCGTAAAAATGAGCATGATGTTTGATAAGGGAGTTTTAATTTTTTTTCAAAAAAATTAAGGAACTTAAATTGGTTTCGAGGCGTAGATAGGGATAAAAAGATGCTTTAAGAAGATCTCAGTAGAAATATGGTTTATAAGAGGATATAGGTCAGGATATAAGATTATGAAAATTGAAGAAGTGAATTATCAAGATGTATTTATGAGTAAACTATATTGTTTTAAGCTATCTAAATCTGTTTTGATATAAATTAAAGCGTATACTTATGCAAAATGCGAAATTTAAATTAATACTTTTTTTTGCTATTTGGACACAAAGCTAACAATCCATCCAATAAATGACGTATACCTAGCGAGATGAAGCATTTTAACATGAAAGACAAGAAAATCTGGTTACTTGTGTTGAAAGTTTCTGTATTTCGTCTTCTTCCAAACACAGCGTTCAGATGCAGAAGAAAATGCAGCCGTAATGACGCAAAAAGACACTAAAATAAATTGGAGAATTTCTGTAAAGTTTTTACTGAGCTTTGTTATTGAACCCGAATTTGTTGCTGAGTGACAGGATATTAAATCTACGACATTCATGAGTAATTGTTATCAATTTGTCAATAAATTATGTTGAAGATGGTTTAAATGTCTTCGAAGGCATGAAATTAGATCCTAAATCTGTTTGAGTTAATAAAAGAGAACAAATGTTGAAAGAGTTGTCATATTGCCTACAAAATTTTCAAACATTTGCATTGAGACAATGTGAAAAAATGATGTCCAAAATACCTTTACTAAAATATTTTTAATTTGAATCATAACAAGGAAAAACAATAATGGCAGAATAAGAAAAAAAAACAAAGATGTTATGATTTGAACAGTTGCCTTTTAGATTCAAAAAGAGCATAGTGTTTGCAACCACTACACTACCTTCCTTTCCAATAAAAAGCTGAATAATTAGTATTTAATGAATTCTCCAGCTTGGGGATTTGCGGCTTTTCCAAAATCTGTTATGATAGTTCTATATAGCAATTGATATATAATATGTTTTTTATAATCAAATAATTTTTTAGTCCAGATAAATTTTTTAAAATTTCAAAGTCTTTCCATTCTACTAACGCTCTTCACATCCATATCCTTTACCATATATGTAATATAACGCCTTATTTTAATTCCCATTTTTACGATTTATTTGTCGAAAAACTGTCTTGCCCATTAACATCTCGGAAAAATTTTCGACTTTTTGAATGGCCGTTTTCAAGATCTCAAAAACTGTGGGATATTTTTTACAAAGCTAATCGACATTTATTTACCACATATGTGTACTATACAATGCACCTGGTTTCATCGAATTTTTACCGTCAGTTTTCTCGTGAGACTACCTTTATATTTTTTTGAAAAAAAAATGTTCCACTTTTTCAATTTCAAAAATGTAGCGTTTCAGTTGTAAGCAGTTCCGTTAAAATCCAACTAATCATTGAGAGCTATGACAAACTATCCTATTTCTGAAAGTTCTGTATAAATAAATGATACTATTAATGAAAGATATAATTGAATAGGATTTAAAATCCGGGATCGGGTTCACAAATTATTTGACGATAAAAGATAATGGTATATAAAAATCGTTTAATGAATGATTTTGTATATTATTTCCTTTAGTTATTTCTTTCATTTTTAAATTGAAAGCTTCTATCACCCTACTTTTCAGATAATAATTTTTATATTTTTGTGAACCTACTTTTTTCATTCTTCACAAATATTTCACTCTCTTTTAAGTAAAAATTAATAATCACAATGACCTTGAATTGTTATTATATAAATTGTGCACGATATAAATTCAGAAAATTTTCAGCCACTGTCATTGGTTACAATAATGAGTCCATTCGACCGTGTAAAGGATATTAGGTTAAATTTGGAAGAAATATTGCAACCGCATTTAGTTTCACTACCTAACCTAAGTGATGTTGAATTCTTATGCACTGCTTTCAAGCGAGAATTAGAAATTGAATCTTCTTTAATAGAAGATCTTAAAGGAAAATATATTGTTGTTGGAGATCTTCATGGTAGCTTTCAAGATCTTAACTTCATTATTAGAAAGTATGGAAACCCATCAAATAAGCTCAAGTATTTATTTTTGGGAGATTACATAGATAGAGGTCATACATCAATAGAAACAATTCTTTACCTCATGTGCTTAAAAGTTTTATATCCAGACTTTGTTACACTACTCCGTGGCAACCATGAGTTTATTGGGATAAACAAATTCTATGGATTCTATGATGAATGTATTAATAGGCTTGGAAATACAGAAGGAAGCGCCATTTTCGAAGCTATTAACGAGACTTTCCCTTACCTACCGTTAGCTGCCATTTTGCCAAACGGTATTTTTGCCGTTCATGGAGGAATTTCGTCGCACATAAATACTCTTGATGACATCCGCAAAATCGATAGATTCCAAATCGTTGATTGCAGTTCATCAATAGTGGTTACAGATCTCGTTTGGGGCGATCCTCGCAAACTTGAATCAGGGCAACTCACTGCACCTTCAGAAAGAGGACTGGGCGAAAAGTATTCTTTGAGCAAGACCCAGCAATTTCTGACAAAAAATAATCTTACTTCAATTATTCGTGCGCATGAAGCATGTCAAGAAGGATTCATGGCATCGCTTGTTGATGATAACGGTAAGACAGTTTGCCTTACAGTTTTTTCGGCAACAAATTATTGTGAACAAAACAACATAGCAGCTGTTGCAATTATTAACAAAAAGGGCTTGATTTCGATAGAAAAATTCGATTGCACATCTTCTGATGATGAAATCGAAACTGATCGAGGAAACGAATCTCTAGAAGACCTTTATGATGCTTTATGCTAGAAGACATGAATATTGATTGGTTATTATAATGTCGATGGCATGACCAGAGTCATTCATATAACGCTGTATATACAATAGAGTTTATATTTTAATAAATTATAGAGTGGTATTGTTTTTATCATAGAAAACCCTTATATTTTATGAAATATTTTAAATATTACTATAGTGGATCGGCTCTTTTCATACTTCATTGACTGTGATGAATTTGAATAAGTAATAGACTCAAATATAAGCTTGAATGTAGTAGTTTCTTATGCAAATAATAACTGAGGCTTGGCTTTCATGTAAAAAATGAATTGCGCAGTTTTCGATAGGCTGCATAAAAAGATTTTTTCTTTACATCAAAATTTTAAAAGTCTTTTTCTTCGATATATGGAAGAAGAAGATTTGAATGAATTCCTCAAAGATATTGAGAATGATGAAATAGTTGTGAAACGGCATAAACCAAAACGATCGCCCAATAAAAATAAATCAAAAAATGTCAATCTCGTTGATTCAATCAAAGATCAAGTTTCGGATGGCGGTATTAACCTAGACTCAGAAGATATGAATTTTATAGAAGAATTAATACATAGTACAGATCTTGATAAGGAAAATATAACTGATGAAAACAAAGAAGGTCAATTTCAGATCGATTCATATAATCATGTTGGACTAAGTCCATCACCACGCTCACCAGTAAAATCTACGGATGCATCTAAACATTGCGCAGATATTTTTATTGGACCTCCTAGTTTACTACCAGGCATTACCATTTCTCCATTAGAACCTCACTTTTGTAAGAACTTGCAGTGCATTAACTGTGATCACATTGTATTACGTTTTCCAGACCGAAAATGGGCATCTAATGTCGATTATTTATTCCTCAGAAATAACTACCCGAATAAGGTAGACTCACGACTTGTTCCTTCTCCAGGATTTTGTGCTTTTTGTTGTCAATGCACTTTTAAAGATACTGACAAGCTAGAGAGGCTCGGACACTTCGATTCTGACTGGGTTTGCAGAGGTCATTAATTTTTATTATTCTTTTTGTTATTTACATATAAAACATAAAATGTATCTTACAATCTCTAATCTCAAAGAAATATCATTTAAGACCCATACATGCTATTATAATGTTTGTTCAGAAAAAATATCAATTCTATCATAGATAAAAAGTATACTTTTAAATACTGAAAATTGTGGCATCCGACTTCAATTCATTTTGGTAAATCCTTTTGCCTTCACATATATAGATTTGTTTTCATTCAGTACAATTATATATGCATTAGTCCATATGGGCATATATTGCTATAGGAAGTCACCGATAGATCTTTTTAGATGATGAGATAGAAGCACTTAAATTATCCCATAAATTGAGAAGCTGTGTATATTGAGCCTTTCCAATTTAGATTGATTATGTGAATGTTGAAGAAGATTCAATTAAACTTTTGTAATTTTTAACTGAATTTGACTTTGATCCGATAGAATCACTTTTTAGAATAGCACTAAATGCGTTTTTATCCAATGCATCATTTGGAAGATCTTTCAATTTATCAAGAATTCTTTCATGTATCATTTCTCTCTCTTGAGCGTATAAATTGAGATATTGATATGAGTCTTCACTTTTAACCCTCTTTAAGAAGGCCCATCCGCATGCCAATGTTGTCAGCCAAACAGATAAAATCATAATTAAATTATTTTCATAAAAATGAGTTTTCAACAGCTGTAATGTAATAAATACTAGAAAAATTGATATAACTTGCCATAGAAGATATTTGTTTGAACGATTTGTATCATTTGTTTCTTTTGGAATCTTTCTTAAGCAAAATAATGATGTCAGTAATGGTATTGAACATAATGCAATGAATGTTGTAAGAGAATATATATATAAATCCGAGAAATATTTTGAATAAAGGATATTCAAACTGAATTTTGAAATTATGATTGATAAAGAGTATATGATTGCAAGCTTGTAATCAATAACTGGATAAATTTTTGAATTTAGTCGCTCTCTCAACATGCAATGAAGATAATAAGAAAGAAATCCATAAAAAATTGAGGTGTAAAAGGAAGACACCATTCGAGGAATATAATAATTGAAATATGTAACCATTTGAAATGGATCAATATGCAATATTCCTGTGAAAAATAACAAAATAACTATTTTATCTTGAGATTGTCTTGGATTTTTAAATGCATTTGTGAGTTTAATCATATAAAACGTCATGATCAATATTGATAGTGTATGAAAAATCTTATGAATATATATATTTATCCAAATCAGGAAAGAAATTGGAGAAATGAATACAATAACTGAGGACAAACCATTAAGAGGAGTTGAAAACGCAAAGGATGTAAAACTGTTAGGTTCCAAATATGAATGTGTTTCTTGATAAAATGAAGATGAATAAAATTTAAGTGTGTTGAAGTTCAACTCTTTAATATATGATGTGTTTTTATATATCAAGCCAGAAGCACTTGATAATACTTCAAATTTAAAAGAAAATGAATTAAATAAATTGATTTCTGGTTGAACAAAGCAATATGATAGCTTATATCCATGGGATAGCATTGGAATCATAGGATGGTTGAACACAAAACGGCTGATTTCGTTAGATTTTGTAGGCTCAAACGTGACCGAAGAAGAGATTTGATTTCCATCTGTGTTAAATAGGACAAATACAGTTGATGACAATGCCCAAACAACAATATAATATGTTATAACACGACAAGGGCCGAGTTTTTTGTATAACGAGTCTCCTATATGAAATCCCATATGAAGGCTGTCACTTTTATCTTTTGATGCTATAGATCCTGTTCAGCTTTGTAATCATCAATATAGTTACTGAGACCAATAAATATTTTCTGCAAACCAGGCTTGATTACTTAATTCTATGATCAAAATCAAATGATTCTTCTTCAACAAGCACTGATTTGACGATCATATTATTTCTTCAAGCAGTATGAAAATAAAACTAAGATTTTGCCAACTTCAATTTCTGAAAAAAATAATGAATGAAATCATTCATAATATGATTCAATAAATTCTATGTGTTTTCTCAATTTAAGAAAATTAATCAGAAATTCCTGACGATAAAAAATCGAGGGGATAAAAATGGACATAAGCGACAACCCATTAGCAGAGCTTCTTGCCAATCATCCTGACACAGAGATTGACGAGAGACTAAAGCCTTCAAACAGTAAGAAATCCCAATCTAGCGATATCTCAGGTGGTCTCGGACCGAGAACAGAATCAATGACTTCGTTAACTGGTACACTTGTCACGAAAGGCGGAGAAATTGTTAACGAAGACTTTAAGAAGGCAAGTGGCGAATCAGATCCGATAATTGTCTTTGATGGAAAATCCGAATCTGAAGACAGTCAAATTGGCTTATCTGTTCGTCAACCATCATTCGTATCATTGCACGGACAAATCATACCTAAAGGATCTGATTCGTTGGATGATTTTGTGCCCGTTATTGAAGAAGTCGCACCACTGCCTCTTCAAACACTCGACGAGCAAGATCAGCCTGGCGACGAAGATGATCCTCAGATACAATTCATTAAGGAATTAAAATCGAAAAACATGTCGAGATGGAAAGAAATGGGATACGAACCACCGGATGACTTAATTCCTCTTGCCCGTGCAGCATCTCAAGCTGCATTAAATCGCAGATTATCTTATACAGATGAAAATCAATCTTCACTCTTTTCAGCTTCGCAAGATAATTTCCACGTTAAACTCGGATCTTCCAATGAGCCATCGTTAGAAAAAATTACAGAGGAGCCTGCTCCACAAGCAGCACCTTTAAAGCGCAGACCAAGGAGTGGAAGCTTTGGAATGCAACTTGGAGAGGCAAGTCGTAGCTCTGAGCTCATGAAGGAGATCCTCAATGAAAATCCAGTTACAATAGAAATCAATGCAATGACTGATGAAGATCTTCCAACACCATTTGCCGAAGAAAACGAAATCGAAAAACAAAACGGCGAAGAAGAAGAATACAACAAAGAAGAAAATATTAGTGATGCCCCGGAACTATTTGGAAGACTGAATCAAATAGTCATGGACCCACCAGAATCAGATGTAATCAGATCTTTGCTCAATGGAAAAATTTCTTTACAAGACAACACTCCCGAACTCAGATTAAAACTCCGTCAATATCTCAATACATGTTCGAGCTTACTTTGGATAGCAGAAGCCGAGTATATTACGAAAGTTTTAGATTCTTTCGAAATTTACGAAATTCCTTCTCCAGAAGCCAAAATTGAAGAGAGAATTAACAATATCAATTCAGAGACTCAGAAGATTGAGGAAGAATATCAGAAAAAGAAGAAACAAATTGAAGAAGAAAGGGACTCGGTTTTTCAACAAGAGGCCAAGGAGTATTCCGAACAGGTTGCTGCGTTAGATGAGAAGTTTAACAACCAGGATGAACTCCTAAAGATCGCAAAACCTTCGAAAAAATTACTTGACCTTAAATGTAGGGCAAAAAGAGCTCTTGAACTTCGCCATTTCGCCGAAGCTCAGAATATCAATGACCAGGCTGTTATTCTAGAAGAAAAAGAATCAAAAGCAGCGATGAAAAAGATTCAACAAAAATATTACGATCAGGACAACAAACTTAAGAGAGATTTTGCAACAAGACACTCAGTTACAGAAAAGAAATACAACTATATTCTTACAAAATTCGAAGAAGATTACAAAGCACAAATTGAAGCTCAAAAGAAGGCAAAGGTAGTTGCAAAGATATCTTCAGAAACTAGAAATACAATGAAGAAGATAACTTCTTCACCAAAATCTCCGAAATTGTCAAAATCAGAAAAAGAAAAGATAGTCCGTGAAGAACCATCTAAAGCAGTTGCAGAATCATCATTCTTTGCAACTGGTCGGTTGACAATCCGCGCACCGAAACTTTTAGATCGTTCGTCTGATATAAAGATTATTCAACAAATGGCATCTCAGATGTCTAACGGAAAGTCAAAGAGAGATCTCGATGTTTCAAGCGCTTATTCAAACATATCCCATCAATAAATTGTCTTTGTTAACGTATAATAAACTAAAATATAAAATATACATAATATTTTCTTTACCATATACTGGTGCATTATGTGTGATGAAGTTATAACAATAACAAAATTTAATCTGAAATCATGAAATGACTTTTGCTATTCTTTTCAATGAAATTTGAAGCAAGCCATGGTATACAGTACGTTGTATCAATAACGATCTCCTTTATCATGTATAGTACATGATGTATTGATTTGATTTATCACTATTTTTGGATTCAAAAAATGAGAAATTTTTCAAAAAATGTTTTAATCAACAAAATACATAAACATAATATACTCAATATGATATCAGTCAGTATCTTAATAATTACCTTGTTTGTCTCTGATGAATTATCGGTTGCTTCAAATAATTTCGTTTTGATGAATGTATAGTTATTGTTTGTGAGAAACTCTTTAGTTTTGGACGTAAAAGTTGTTGGCAGCCTTTGATAGTGAGAGAAGGTTCGTTGGTTAAGGCATCAATTAGAAAATATGTAAATAATCCTTGTTCTTTCCTATTGGCTACAATTTGTCTTGCTTTTTGTCTACCATTTGTAGATGAAATTGTAACGATATTGCTGTTAATATGAAATCCATTGTCTAAATCTATTATTGAGCCAGCATAGCAGCAGTCTGAAATAAACACTAACCTTAGATCATTTCTTTGGGCAAGGCTAATAGAACTTGATAATGTGTAACGATCACAATTTTTATCTTTGAATAAAAATGCATTACTATTTAGTTCATTATCAATAACTCCGTGTCCAATATAATAAAATACAAGATCGTTTGTAGTATTCTGAATCAAATAATTAAATTTTGATATGAAATTTGAACACTTAGGATCTACCATAAAATAGACAGTATATCCAAATTTACTAAAGCATGTTGCAATATTTATTGCATCATTCATTGGTGCATCTCCTAAAGATAATCTTGTCCCAAGATATTGATTGATAACAATGAAGGCCACGTTAATTAAATTGTTTGATAAAGAGCTAACAGCAATATTTGTTATGTCAGTACCTATTTTCTTGATGTTCTGCAATGCAATCATGAAAAATTTTAAATAACCGGTTATGGCGATTTTTTCATAGGGCTTTCAAAATATTGAAATAAGCGCGCTTTTCATAAGAACACACAATTGATAATTGCAACTTTTATGTTAAATTAATTACTATGTTGGTGTAAAAATTTAAAAGTTTCGGATTAAAACCTTTTTACATGCCGTAAATTTTTTGATTGAAAGAATTAGATTAAGGCATTGAATTCAAAATAAACACTTTGAATATGTCTGCCGTTTTATTGTGGATTTCAATGAGGTATACAAATTAAATTTCTGAGGCTATCAATGGAAGATATTTCAGAAGGAAGTTGATTAAAATCAGGTTTTTGGTCAACTACAGTATACAAAATCTTTATCAATGGGTCAATTTTAATTCATCCTGTATTATTCTTTTTATAATTCTTCAAGATGCCTTGGGCTACTATGTTGACAATGATTTCAAAACAATTACATTAAAGTTGAAGCCATAAAATAGTTTTATTGCCTTAATATTGTTTACGATCAATTTGTTATTATTGATGAATTTGGATACATCAATGTCAATGCATTAAATATTTAAATTTGGCATATTAATTGATTAAAATTTAAGAATAAAATGTGAAATCCTAAATTACCTCGGTTCTCTGCTCTAATCATTGCTGGTAATGATTTAGTAGTCATAAGAAGTTAAGATTGAGAGTTTTGACAAGTTATTTTAGAGAATGTTGAATTTCTTAATTGCCGAAAATATCAGGAATGACGGGAATTCGATACTTAAGCAGGTATATCGTTATCAAAATGTAGAATATTATGTTAGTGGCTCATCGAGGCAGTATATAAATGGATCCAAGCAAATGACGAAACCAGAATACGCTTTTGATCAAATGGATAAAAAATATGATTGGTGTTCAAATTGCGGCAAATCTGTATCAGATCACCCATGGTTAATTCTTGGCGTTAAATCCAGAATGATGAAGCTTGATGGTTATTATTTAAGAGCAGGATGCTGTTATTCAGGTTGCTGCTGCGAAGACACAGGATACTGTTGCGAATGTTGCTTATTTAGCTGGTCATTCCAGATTTCTAATGACAACGTTACTTGGAATACAATTCATAAAGTTGAGAAAGACTACGAAATGAGAAATTGCAAAGAGAAAACGTATACATTCTCACAGTCATACACTGCTAAGTATGCAAGGATTATCCAAGACGAAACTTGCTATGATGAACCACCTTGCATCGCACTCAACAAAATTGAGCTCATTGGAAGCATAGAAGGTAATGACATAGTCGATGATAGACTGAATATTGATGTAGATGATGATGACGTGAGTATTATCGGACACATCAGCAAAGCAAACCTTCGTTAACATTCACGCAATGATGCAACCAACCTAATTCATAGATTCTCAAATCTTACTCATCTAAAATATTTTTTTTATTTTATAAATTAAAAAATTATTTTTACTAGAATATAATTTTAAAATGTATGGCCATGATTTTACCAATAACGAAAATCTCTTGATGAATGTAATGTTAAATAAAAAAATACATCGAGTGTAAATAGAATGTCTGAACTATTCGTAATTTGAAGAAATCCAAATTCTATTTTCTTGCTCTTTTTGTATCTTATAGAATTGATATCTAGGCAAGTAATTAAAATATGTTAGATACTTTATGTTGTAGTATATATATGTGAACATGAAATAGTTGCAATAATAAGAACAAAAGAGCAAATATAGAATGCTCTACAAAAAAGAATTCCATCAATAGTCACTAAATATATGGATGGAATACACTATACCTTACCAGATTAAAAGAATCATAATTTAACATTTATGATACTCTTAGAATGAGTAACTTCTTAAATTCATCATTTATGTTTCCAATTTGTTTTCCTATTAGAAAATTCCTTCTATTGGATATAAAAAACTTGATGTTACAGATACCAAATTTCTTTAGATCAATCCTCATCTATCAGTATTCCTCTTGAAATGATTATATCATATTTCAGAAATTATTTTCTATGCTGCTTTCTTCCTTCAGTTTTATTTATATTTATGCTCTTCGATCTAAGCAATTGTTATCTAACCATTCACAAAAAAAAATATTTCCTGAGTTTCAGAATTCTTCTATTTTTATACAATTTATCTTTTATTATAACCTACAATCAGCTTGTTAAAACTTCATCCAGTTCATGCTCCAAGTACAGATTGCAAAGGATAGTTTATCTACGTCTTCAAATATTGTCCAAAGGCAAACTCTTCTAATGAAGGTCTAATATACATAGATATGGTATTTGACACTTTACATTTTTTACAATTGTAAAGCGTCAAAAAATATCAAATAAAATTATGCAGATATGAGTAAGATTGTACGTGAAAAAATAGGAATTGAATGGTGAGAGGTATATAGTATGTCAATATGTCTCTCACCCTCCAATTCCAACTTTAAATGGGAGAAAATTTGCTTGCATGTTGACTTATGCAAGCAAATTTTCTCCCAATTAGAGAGGGAATAGGAGCCTATCAGGCACTGATACATAATCAGTGCTTTGTAGGCTCCTATTCCCTCGAGAAAGTTCGAAAACTCGATCGCAATTACATCTGATTGCGACCGAGTTTTCGAACTTTCTCGTCGGAATTGAAGGGTGAGAGGTATATAGTATGTCTATATGCCTCTCACACTTTAATCCTAAGTGGATATTAGAGTAGCATGCTTTTAAATTCATTAATTTAAATAGTTTAATATTTAACATGTAAACCGGATTTTGACATGTAAACTCCGTCCCTTTTTGTAAAGTGTCAAATCCCACTTCCCTATATACAACAAAGGTGCTGTGAGAAGTACTAATAAACCAATATTTGATTTCATAGAGTGGGCCAAAACGCTGCCATGGTATAACAGCAAATTGGCTGTGATGCATGGTGATTATCCAAATAGATGGCCAAAGTTCAGGTTTGATTCAAAAAAACTGGATATAAGAGAACAACATATAATGTTTGGATAAATTTTGCTGGAAAGCAAAAGAAACAAACTGGTATTCAATCCTCCTATATATGTAGCAGCAAGATTTGTTAAAGGCGATAGATTTGCTCTGGGAGCAAGTTTGTTTTCTGATTATGAAACGTTAATAGAAAAATTGGATTTTGCTAAATATCAGTATGAAATTGAAGATACATTAAAGTGACAAAAACACATTGTTTATGATGGAATTCAGTATCAAACAAATAGTAATGACTTTGATCTAAAAGGAACTATTGGAGAAAATGACACTTGAGGTATTAAGAAACAACGAGATTCCTGGACCAATCCACTTGTTCGAAAGTCAAAGAAGCCCAAGTGATACAAATAGATTTCTAATTTTTGTTATATGATTCAAATTTGAAATGATACATTTATATAATAATAAAACATTCATAGAATTTTTCTTCTCCTTATCTCTTACATTGATATTTATCAAAGTTATGATAAAAAGATATTTATTCTTACTTCCATTTCCATTTTCAAATAGAGTTTTTCATTCTCTGTTAAAAAAAATGAATATCACATATAAAAAGGTCCAAGGAATTATTTTTTGTCCAAGGAATGCTATCAAAACATGATCGGCACTATTCAAATTGCTGGCAAAAATCTCAAAAAATAAGAATAATTCATATCAATTTTTTACTACTTTGGATTATTGTAGATACTTGAAATAGATAAAATCATAAACAGTTAGTTAAGTATATTCCGCTTATTTTTTGCCGCTCTGCCGATCATGTTTTGATAGCATTCCTTGGACAAAAAATAATTCCTTGGAATTTTTGATCGACGGTACATTTACATCTTGATTATGAAAAGCCAATATAAATATAAAAATTGATATAAGGGTTTCGTTTTGCTAAAATTGTCACTTTTATAGCATATTTGTTTTTGGATGTTTTGCGAAACCAAAAAAAAAAAACTATGATATACAATGTGTGTGTAAAGAAAATACTTTATTTACTAGTTAAAAAATCATTTGGTATTGATCAAGTTATTTTTTCTGGATAAGATATTATATGGATAATTGGATAGAAAATACAATTATATAATCTTGTACCTGGTTTAATTAAGCTAATTGTCATCAGAAACTTGTAATTTTTATGAATTTCAGATTTTCTTTTCATTACTGCTTTTCTTAATAGGTCAAGTTCTTATTTACGTTATAAAGTATGATATTTACAAATATCAAGTTATCATGTTTTTTGAGAAATTATGAGAAACAAACAAAAATGAAAAAGATAGGAATAGCAATGAATAGTGATGTGGGTATAGAAAATGTAAGAGATATGAATGCAAAGCAATCAGTATTTAGGATATTGACCATAGATTTCGGAAAAAAAAGCTGCATATTGAGCGAAAACTATGATTATATTATAAGGTTGTCATTTAAAGCATAATGAAACTATTCCCTTTTCATTTTAATCGAATAAGATAGTAAAGCTTTTTGAATTAGCTAGAAACTGATGAGATGTTTTCACAAATCAGATTTTTAATCTCTATAATGCATAATTCACTCAATATCTCAATTTTGCTATTGCGAGATATTTTTGCTATCGGTTTCGCAATTTTGACACAATAGCAAGAGGGTTCTATAAGCATTATTATCAACGTAGAATCTGAATATCATATCAGAAAATGTCGCAAATCTGACATTTACCCGACCAAATAGCAAAAATAATTGAATACTTTTCGCAAAAACTTTAAAAATCGATAAAAATATGAAATATAGATATTAAAGAGACTTTTAATATAATATTCATAAAGATTTTCCAAAAATATGATACCGCAAAATTAAAAAAGTGACGTCTTGAGTGGAGTCAAAGGTCGAAATTGCTAGCTAAATGTTTTTTTAGCGAAATTGCGTATTGTACGTTTTTTTCGCAAAACGAAACCCTTAATTGATATAAATGTGTACAGTATTTGTCAAACTCAGTTGATCAAATATTTATGAGAAAAATTTAATTTTATTTATTAAGTTTTCAGAGTATGATCTACGATTACTTTACTAAAACAAAAGTATAGTTCTAGTAGACATAATACATACGAGTATTTATAAAAAATTAAAAAAAAAATTAAACTCTAAATACACAGTAGACTTAATAGTATGAGGAATTGGTTAACCTTGCTAATTTCTTTCCAGTCTACATGGTTATTTGAATATATGTAAATTGCAATAATCAATTAGAAAGCAATTCGAAATTTAGCTTGGTATTTTCATTTTCAAAGAGAAGAGATTGAATCGGGAGGAATGTGAATCAACAAGAAAGGATCCTGCTCCCAGTTTAGAAACTCTCATGTAAATTTCTTTTTGACGATAAATTGAAATTATGTACTCACACATAAATCAATTTTATAGTTTAACTTTATAAAGCTATCAAGTATAATACTAATTCTATACTTTGCACGAAGAATTCTATGAGTTCTCTTGATTTTATCCAAAATTTGAAAGTTTATTAAAAAAATTTTGAGATTTTTTATAATTTGTATTTACACTTATTTGATAGATGAAATTGTGCAATTTTTTTGATAATTTACGATAACCTTTATAAACTTTTTTCATGATATCAATTTATATATTTATTTAATAGTATAAATTATCAATATTCGTAAAAAAATCGGATCTCAAGTACCTTGTGTTTTGAATGAATTGAATCAAATTATCGATTCAAGAATTCAAAAACCTTAACAATCGGTCAATTAAAAAAAATTTGGCCGTTGGAAACCAAGTAATAGTTATTAAATTATCATGGAAATAAAAAATGGAAGATTATCAAAAAGAAAATTTTCCTCTGAAGAATAAAAAAAATTAAAATAATAACATGGTTTTGTTCATAATCTATTTTTAAGATTTTATGAAAAACAAAAATTTCTATATTCGGTGAACTTCTATTTGACGGCAAAAACCGTCACACATTTATAAAAATGACCTGCTGTTCATGCATGGCTCGTACCATTATTGGTATTGTTAACCTTGTAGTTCTTGTTATCATTGCTATCGTTGCCTTTGTCTGCAGAAGCGCAATCAAAAGCATCAACATCGACCAAATCAAAGCATTTTCAAAGACTACATACTTCCTCTTCGCTGTCTTAGGTGTTGTTATCTTAGGTTGCCTTATTGGTTTCTCCCTCATCTGCTTCGGTTCCGTCAAGTGCTGCCGTGTTTCCTACGCTATCTTCTACATCATTGTTATCATTGCTGAAATTATCTTTGTTGCTGTTGCTATCAAGTACACAAAGAATGTTGATAAGGAAGCTGGTGACTATTGGGCTGAATCTGGTGTTAATGATAGTGTTAAGGATGGTGTTAAGAAGATTGAAAAGGCTGGCAAGTGCTGCGGTTACGATAAGCCATATGCTAACAACTCAGCTGAATGCGGCTTCCAGCCATCCTATGAGAACACAACAACATGCAGACAGTTGGTTGTTGATAAGATCAACGCTAACAAGAAGCGCGCTATGATTGCTGGTATCATTGTTATTGTCTTCCAGCTCATCCTCTTCATCTACGCCGTCTGGTACGCTTTCTGCTACGAAGATCCAGATTCCACACAGAAGGAAGGCATCACATACGTTTAAACTGATTTATTATTATTCTAAACGTTTCAACTTCTTTACTTTGTTGTTATTTTTAGGTTTTTTCGTGAGTTGGATCCGAAATTTTCGGATATATTTAAAAAAAATTAGTTTATTTTGATAGAATATACTCATATATGTGTTTAACTTACATTTCTAACATCAATGAAAGCTATTATGAGTTAACTCGGAACTGTGCATTTTTTAATGTTTGGATAATTTCTGGTGTAACAGTATGTGCAGCATATATCTGTGCTAGAAAACGCTTAGGTTTGGTTATTTGTAGTGGTCTTCTTTGTTTCTTCATGAGTTTTAAGATTTGATTGGCAATGAGCAAAGAAATTGTTCTTTCTCTTTAATTGAAAAAAGCATTCTGTGCATATGTAGATTATCTTAGGAGCAATGTGGTTGTCAGCACTATAATTCCCAAGGATACCAATTGCATGTTGAGAAACATTCAAAACTATGTCCATAGCATCATGGCAGATGTAGTTCAGCATGTTTTATTGGAAAGTTCAATTAATTTTGCTATCTACAATATCTCCAATGTTAAAAGTGCGAAGTGTAAATGACGGAGCTGGGTTACTATACCTAAGGTATTTGCTTGCAAAAAGGCATCTTGTTGCATGTCTAAAGACATTCTGTGAGCCCCTTTTTTTGTAGTTAATAAAGAAATTGTTCGAAAATCCAAGATTGAAAAACAAAACGAAACAAAATGTATCCATTGACGCATAATTCCTCTATTTAATCATTAGCAAACTTTTGGCTTTATTTTCACTTTGGAGATTCATTTTGCTAAATTTTTACCACATATATATATAAAATGTTGGGCATAAAGCAATGGAACAGCTAAGTTAGGTATAATTTTCGTAATGAATTTAAAATAGGATAGTTTACAGAGAAGATATTAAAACAAAGACAGTATTTTATTTCTTTTGGTGTTTCTTATCGAAATTCATTCTGCGCGCGTACTCCTCGAGATAAGAATTCCAGTTATCATTAGTATTTTTCATGTATTTCTCTGTGAGATCTTGTATCTTCTTGCGATCAGAGCCAGACAAAACGCGAGGTATTATTACCTTGTAGTGAATGTATAAATCGCCTTGTTTGGCAATTCCAGCGCCAGGAAGTCTTTCTATATCGTATGGTTGAGTTCCAGGGAGAATTCGTTTTTCTACAATACCATTAAGTGTTGGTATGCGTATCGATCCACCGAGTAATGCTGTTTTGACTGAAATTGGAACAGTAATGTGCAAATCCATTCCATCTCTCTTCAGAAGAGGATCTTCGTCAACCATACACATGACCATGATTGGCCCGAGATTTGTATTAAAGTTGATGACGTTTCCATGTTGAACTCCCGGTGGAATTGGTATTTTAATTTTCGTTGGTTTCGAAGTTGTTCCTTGGCCATGGCAATTTGAGCATGGATTCGTAACAATGAAGCCGCGGCCACCGCACTGTGGACATGGAAGAGGAATGAAACCTTGAATCATCATCCCTTGTCCATTACATAATGGGCAAGTCATTGGAGGCTTTCCGTCGTTTGTGCAATTGCCGTGACACTTGTGGCATGGCTCATCAACATCAATATTGATTTCGCGCTCTACGCCGTATATACTTTCAGCAAAAGTAAGATTAACTCGAGTTTGATGTATTTTTCGTTGCTGGAAATGAACTGGACCGCCTCTGAATCCACCTTGGCCACCAAAGCCTTTGAAGCCGCCAAATGGCCCGCCGCTAAGACGAGAGGCATCATATTCTTGTCTTTTGTTTTCATCTTTGAGTGTGTCGTAAGCTTCGTTAACTGCTGCAAGGATTTTCTGGCCCTCTTCCTTGTCTTTTTCGTTCTGAAGCATATCTGGATGGTATGCACGAACTAACTCGTGATATTTTTTCTTGATTTCGTCAATAGAAGCATCATTTTTCACACCAAGACGCTCATACATATCTTTTGATTGCCAGTTAACTTTTGGTTTAGTAAGGAATCGAAGAAATGAAGAAGGAAGTCCTGAATGACTGATTGTAAGCATCGAAAAAATAATGGTCGTGTAAAAAAAAATTCTAAAAAAAGAAAAATTCTAGAAAAAATGTATCTTTTTAAGATAAAATGTGAAATTTCAATTTTTTTTGGAATTTATATAATAGAAAATATTATATAAATTATGTCATAAACTATTTCATAACCTACATCATTGGTTTTTGGAAGGATTTCCAATATATTTTTCATATTATTCAAGATCTATGAAATTTTATATATATATTTATCATAAACATTTTCTTTTTAAATATATTCAGCAGTATTTCTTTAGCAAATTCATCGAAAGAATGGAATTATACCCCTAAGTAATGGTTAATGACTGCTGAAGAGAGTTTTATCCTGAACAATTAGAATATGTAAGATCTATATAAACAAATTTATTCGTAAAGTTTTATAAATAAACATAAGTAACATAAACTAAATTAAATTACTGGCCATACAGCCCTGTATCACGGGTTGCGCTTGGAATGCAATGTATGCAAAGATAAATGCACATTAGCAACATTATTACGCAAGATGCAACTAATCTAACAATATCTACAACAGGAATCTTTGCTTGGTCATTATCTTCAAATGTGTATCTGAAAAGAGCTGTGCTCTTCTTAGTTCCGACTTTGATTTGGACAAATCCGTCAACTTTGGAAGGAGGAACTGTACAAACTAACTGTTCTCCAAGGTATGAACAATTTGCAGTTGAATTTCCGAAATAAATAGCTGCATCATCTGGAACTCTCCAATCAGTATAAATTGTCACTTTTTTGCCACCTGAAATTGAAGCTGACGATGGGACAATTCGAGTGACTAATGGGTAAGATCGAGGAATTGGAGTTGGAGCGGGTGTTGGAACAGGTGTAGGTAAAGGAGTGCTTGTTGGATAAGGAGTTGGCATTGGAGTTTCATTTGGGGTTTCAAAAGGAGTTTCGAACGGAGTTTCATAAGGAGTTTCCATTGGAGTTATCTCATATGTCATTTCAGGCGTCATATAAGGAGTCATTTCAGGTGTAATTTCTATAGTCATTTCTGGGGTACTTATTATATTAATTTCAGTAATATTTGATGTTACATTAGTACTTGTTTGATTGATTGCTGTTAAATTTACATCTGATATATTGATATTTGTTGAATTAATATCTGTGATATTCGAAATCACCTGAGTTGTGTTATCTATTGTGTTATTTATGGATGTTTGATTAATATCTGATGCATTTATGGAGTTGGAAGTTATATTTTGATCCGAAATGGAAGAATTATTTGACGAGTCATTTATTTTAGATGAATTTATATCGATAACTGAACTATTATCTAATGTTTGGTTTGTATTTGTTATGTTGGCTTCTAAAGTCTGATTTACATTGGTTTCATTTGAAACTGTAAGATTTGATTCAAAATTTGTTACATTTATTGAGACTGTTTGATTTGAATTATCCTGGGTAAGCTGTGTTTGGGTAGTTTCATTGATTTGGGTTTCATTATTTGTAATATTTAAATCTGTGCTATTTTTAGGTATCTTATCATTATTCTCTTGTGTTATTGTTTTATTTTTTTCTATTTCCAACTTTAATTTTTCTTCCTCGGCTTTTTTCTTTTTAATTTCTTCCTCTTCTTTCTTCTTTTTTTCTAGTTCTTCCTCTTCTTGTTTCTTTTTTAGTTCTTCCTCTTCTTTCTTTTTTTTCTCAAGTTCTTCCTCTTCTTTCTTCTTCTTTTCTAATTCTTCCTGCTCTTTTTTCTTTTTTTCTAATTCTTCCTCTTCTTGTTTCTTTTTGAGTTCTTCTTCCTCTTTTTTCTTTTGGATTTCTTCTAATTCTTTGGATTTAATATCATCTTCATTCTCCTTAGATTTTTCTGTAGTTTCATTCTTTTTTGTCTTTGAAGTCCTCTTTTTCTTCTTAGGTTGGGTTTCTTCTGGCTCCTCTTCGACTTTTTCATCATTTTTTGAATTTTTCTTTGTAGTTTTCTTTTTCTTTTTATGAACTGGTTCTTCAACTTCTACCTCTTCATCAGACGTTATTTCTGTATGTTTTGATTTCTTTTTGGATTTTTTATGTTTAATTGTTGTAGTTTTTTCTGATTCATCGTCATCCTCTTCTTTATGTACTTTTTTCTTTGATTTTTTTGTAGATTTTGTTCCTTTGTATGAAGTCGTTTCTTTTGAATCTGGTTCTTCTTCAGTTTCAGGCTCTTCTTTTTTCTTTTTGGATTTCCTAGTCTTTTTAACTGGCAATTTTTCTTCATTTTCTTCTACTTTTTCTGCAGATTTTTCTTTTTTGTTATTTTCGTTTTCTTCTACTTTTGATTTTTCGTCATCTTCTTTCTCCAAAGTATCATTTTCTTTCTTTTGATGCTTTTTACGATGCTTTTCTAAATCCAATTCAACACCATCACCTTCATCTTTCACGATTTCGATTTTGGATGAATGTTTTTGTAATTTTGCATGATTATCTGGAATAGTTACTTGATCGTCATCGTCATTTTCGTAATCATTCGCATTATTGTCAGCATCATCCACAAAGTCATCATTAAAATTCGCCGAGTTTTCAAGAGCATTCAACGAATCAATTCTTCTTTTTTTATTATTACTCTTATTGCTGAGTGACAGGTTAAAAAAGAAGAATAAAAAGAAGATGATCATTGATAGTAGGAATTCAAATAAAAAGGCGGAAAATTTATGGATATATGCAAATTTATCTAATAATTAAATTTGAAACGAATAATAACATTATGCATGATATTATTCATTGGAAAATTAGATAAATATTAGAATATTGCCAAAATATTGTAAAAATGGAATAATAGAAAAATGAACCGCTAAATGCAATAAGAAACATTTAAAATAATAGTATCCAGTTTTTAACGCTCTGATTTCATTTATCTATATTAATTGAATTGACACTTTTGAGAATTTTCCAAATAAAAAATAAATGCATTTGTTAGAGAAATGTAATCATTTTATACGACGCGATAAAAATTGACAAAGCTGTAAAATATTTTTTTTATCAAAATTTTGCGTCACTAATTTTTGCAATTTTATTGGCTTTGATATGTATATTCATTGAAACTACAGTGAATTTGACAATCAGGAAAAGGACAATTTAAGAAATACTAAACGTATATTTTATATGATTGTGAATCCTCCACGAAACTATGTTATCTATATGTTTCAGAGCTCATTTTTTGCTTGACTCAATCTTATCTCAAAAGCTGTTAATTTAAATGAAATCACATTAAAATATTTTGTTGATTCATATATTTAGTTATTGGAAAAGAGAACGTTTGCTGTCAACTTTTTGAATGAACATAATTTACTTCGCCTCACAAAATCTAACATCAACTGTTTAAAAATTTACTGCCTTCATTAAATTCTTAATTAAGTGATTATTTAAAACCTAAAATTTTATTTAAGCTGGATAAAAATTTTTAGCCGACGCAATTTATAACGAACACTTCTGAAAATTTTTTCACGAAATATAACGTGTTTCATAATAATCGAAAATGTCCGCCCTTGATGTAATAGAAAGAAAGATCATCAGCCATGCTCCAACAGGTTTGGAATCAACACTTGTTACACAAACACTCCTCCAAGCTGCTCAAATGAAAGCACAGCAAAAGAGAAAAACATTAATTCTTGATCTTGATGAAACTCTTGTCCATTCAGGTTTTCAAAAGCCAGAATGGTACGACTGTGAAGTTCCAGTTCAGTATAATGGCGTTGTTTATACAATTTATGTTCAGAAGAGACCAGGACTTGATCAGTTCCTGAGAACAATTGTTACGCTATACGATACATATATATTCACAGCATCAATGCCAGAATATGCTATTCCAGTCGTCCAGAAAATTTTCCCAGAATTTCCAGTAAATAGAATTCTCTCCCGATACCATTGCAGATTAATTGACGGAATGCTCGTTAAAGACTTAACAATATTCAAGAGGGATTTAGCTGGAATGGTTATTGTTGATAACTCTCCACAGTGCTATAATCTACAACCAGAAAACGGCGTGGAAGTTACTACATGGGTTGGGGATCTCAATGACGATGAGCTTCTTGAGTATCTCCTCCCTCTTCTTATTGACGGCGTAGAAGCTGATGATATTAGACAGTACTTATATAATGCAGCTCAATAAATGTTTGTTTGTATTTATATATTAATTATACTTATTTTATTTAAGTAATTCAATATTTCCTCATGATCTATTTAATAAATTCAATTCCATCGAAATAACAAGATTTTTAAACTCTTTTCGTAAACCCTTTTCATATGTTTCATAAGCTTCCTCATTTAGTAATATGAAGTTATTAAACAGGTTTTTTCCCTCAGGTTTTTTGTTTATTAGATAGATAAGCTAAATTTTGTCACTTTTAGTTTGAGAGATTTATGAAATTCTTAAATCAACTACAGAAGTTATTCTTTCATATGAATGATCAGAAGTTAAATAAAATGAAAAGTGACAAAAAACGATGGAACTTCTTAGTTATTGAATTATTACAAGAAAATAAATCCGTAATATTTGTGTTCGAAAAATTGATATTGAAATAAGCGACATTTGAATTGAGGATTTTAAATTTATTCGTTCACAAAATATTATAAAAAGAAATTATCATAAATCAATAATGATGAAGTGACAGTTTTAAGCACTCAATTTTTAATCGCTTTGCCAAGCAGAATGAACTTTTTAAAGAGCAGTGGCTTTAGCTCAGTTCCAAACAACACAAATCAACCGAGGGCACAACCACAATATAATCAATCAACATATGGCGCAGCTACATACCAACCACAAATGCCTCCACAACCAGAAAAATCTACAAATGAAAAAATCAAGGAAGCTTTTGACAATTTTGGTAATAAGATCGTTGAAGTGTTCACACCAACAAGCAATGAGCCTGCTCAAGTAACAAGTGTTTCACTTCTTGATGAAGCTCCTCAACCAACATCTAAAGCCCCAGTTGTTCAAAAGCAAAAAACAACCAAGAAGTTCGTACACTTAACTCCAGCAAAGAAATTCATCAAGACAACATCAGGAAATGCTAAACCAACACAAGCAGAAGAAAATACTTTCGTAAATAATATGGTTGAAACAAGCATTGATGAGCTCATTGAAGCTCTTAATGATCAAGACTGGAAAGTTAAGGCTCGCGCATGCCGTGGTCTTGAACTTTGCGCTGAACATTTTGGTTTCGAAAAGATTCATCCAGCTAAGTCAACAATCCAAGGTTTAGTTTCTGCTCCGCAAAAGTCATTACAATTAGCTTCAAAGTCATTACTTGATAAAATGGCTTCTGCGCCGACCGGATTTTCATTTGCTCAGACAAGTGCACAACCGGCTACAGAATCGGCCCCTGTTTCTGATGAAGTTATTAATTTTGGTGAAGAACAATAAAAACTTTCTTTTTATCATATTACTTTATAAATTTTTTATATTCTGATCTTACTTTTGGCCTAATTTAAATCCACAGCTTAACTCAAAAGGAAACAAACATTTTCCACAACTTTTGATCACCGAATCGAATACTTTTAATTATTCAAATTTATAATGAATATGTTTAATGAGCCTTTGTACTTTGTGTTTTGGTATACCCATGTGGGCTCATTGCATATCATTGTTAATTGTATTATTCGTTGAAATTGTTATGAAGTTAATCAATTCCCCTACTTTGCTGCTTTTTACTTTTAGGGTAGAATTGATTGCTAATAATATCCAAAATAAGGTTACGAGTGAATTTTCAAAAGAATTACTATCAATTTCTTCAAATAATTTATCAATTGATATTTCATCTCAACGAAATCCAATACAATCACAAAATCTTGCTCAAAAGCAATTACTCAACAAAGTAATATTCCTAAACTCAGAGGAAATTAAAGGAAAAAACTACGAAAATCAACGAATCGTAACAGAAAACGGAGAACTTCATGTAAGGGATTGCAAGTTTTTTAAATGTTCCAATGATGATGGTAAAGGTGGAGCTATTTACTCAAAAGTTAAAGGAACTATTGAATTTTCATTATTTGATCTTTGCAGCGCTAAGGAAGGTGGCTGCATGTATACAGAAGCTGACATTATTTGGGAATCAAATATCGTTTGTAGAATTAAAGTTGCAACAAGAAACGGAGGAATTGGATTTAACCAGGGATCATTCAATTTACAAGTGAGATTTTCCTCTTTTACACAAATATCATCATCTGACTTCTGCATTTTTGCAAAATACTATGGCTCTAAAAACAAAATTCAGAGAACGAATTCATCGAAAAATACACCAGTTGCTGTTAGCAGTGCATTTGAATTAGGATTAGCACCTGTTTTAGTCTCATATTGCACCATAGAAGGCTATTCCGGATTTGCCAAAAATGCAGGTTGCGGTTTTTACAGAGCTCAGTTTACTCTTGAGTTTTCTAACTTCCTTGACCTTACTTCTACGTTCAACACCGAACAAGGCGTTGCTGTTTGGGTTGATGGCGATAATTCTGATGGAGAAATTAGAAGATGCAATTTTCAAAAAATAGTGAGTTATTCAAACGCAGCAACAATTTATATTAATGATGGCAAAGTCAAAATCTCTGAATGCTGCTTTGATACTTCTCAAACAATTTCAATGAAAGGAAAGTTCACTCTTGGAAAAGGAAATAGCTTCAGTGATGTGTGCATAGGCCAAAAATCGCTATTTAGACAAATAGGTATCGAGAATTTCATTAAAATCTTTATATTCTTATTCATCGCATTCAAAATTGCAAAATTTTATATCAAAAAATTATTATTACGCAAGAGGCTCATGGAAATGCGCTCACGAAAATCAAAATATACATTATAATTTATTTATTTATAAATATTAAACTGTTTTTATCCTATTCTTAACCTCCATAGCTTATTTTATACATGATTATTGCCATATATTGCATAAATTTCGGCATGAAATGCTCTTGGATGCATCATGGATTTTGTTACTATTTGTTTCAGTATTCATGCGAGAGTTATCTACATCATATAGTAGAGCTTAAGTCCATAACATAATCAGATTCCAGCCGATACTAGGTGATAGTGAATCATCAAATTTAACATTCACATAAATTTTTATTCGTAGATATTGGAACAGTATGTCCACTATCCAATATTCTTACATTTATTTCTGATTCTAAATCTTCCCTAAAATCAAATTGAGAAGGTGTGGTCGGTCCTTCCTTTTTGCGATGCAGATCTTCGTTAAGACTCTTACTGGCAAACATATCACACTCGAAGTCGAGCCAACAGACCGTATCGAGGACGTCAAGGCTAAGATTCAGGATAAGGAAGGTATTCCTCCGGATCAGCAGCGTTTGATCTTCGCCGGCAAGCAGCTCGAAGATGGCAACACACTTCAGGATTATTCCATCCAGAAAGACTCTACACTCCACCTCGTTCTTCGTCTTCGTGGTGGTGGTAAGGAAGCATACGAACCATCACTCCGTATCCTCGCCGAAAAGACAAACGTAAAGCGCTCTGTCTGCCGCAAGTGCTATGCCCGCCTTTCCGAGCGTGCTCAGCAATGCCGCCATAAACAATGCGGCCACTGCAAGTCTATCCGTCCAAAGAAGGCTGGCAAGGAGTAAACTGCTTCTATGATTAAACACATTTTTATTTACATTTTAATAAATAAAAATGATCAATGGAATAAACATATTACGCTTTAACCAATATAAATTTTTATAATTGAATAATCTTTGGAATGAGGTTTCTATAATGCATTAATGGCATATAGTTTTTCTAAGATGATTTGCTCTTTGTCTTACAATATCAAAATTTTCGATTAAATTTTCTCAGTTTCAGGATTATATAAATCAAAACAATGGCAATATGCATGATAGAGGTACCAATAACGTCACTGAAATGTCAAATTCGTCTAATTTTTTTTTCCCGCTAAATTTTCCTCCTTTATTGAAACTATGTCTAATGATGGTCACCATTTATATACAAGCTGAAGTTGAATTCTTGATACGCCTCCTCATTTTACGCAAGAATTAAAATTGCGCAAAATTCAAATTGCGGAAAAATCATGTTTTTCTTTAAATTTCATAATCAGAAATTATGTATAGTATATATGTATAAAAATATTTTCATTTTATATTTTGGCGGGATTGCGCAAATTTTTTGAAAGGCTGACTATTTTTGAAAGATTTCTACGGTTTGATTTTGAACAAAATTTGGCGCCAAGGCGGGAATTTCATTTCAAATCATTTCAGAATTATGGATCCACCTAGTGAGAATGGCTTTATGACCGATGTTTACTCTTCTCCAGTTTCTAATCATCCACAGACAGAGCAACGTGGCTGGGATGTTCAAGTTGGTGATGATGTAGTTTCCGGGTTACATAAGTCTTCAAAGAAGAAGTCACAATCAAAGAAACAGAAGGAAGTGAAGAAGTCAAAGAAGAATACAGTTGAAGATGATGCTGAGATAGCTCTCTGGTCACCAGCTAAGAGACAATCATGGGAAGCAAGGAAAACGAATCCAAATGCATTCTACTACCGCCATGTTGACCCTGGAGTTGTAAAAAGAACGGGAGCATGGGATGAGAATGAAAAGGAGATGTTTATGAAGGCAATCAAATTACATCCACCCACACAGGGCAAGTGGGGACTTTTCGCAATGAACATTCCAGGTCGTGTAGGCTACCAATGCAGGAACTTCTATCATAGACTTCTTGAGTCTGGTGAACTTCGAGAAGATATGATTCCAGGAGAGTTCATTCTTGCAAAGACGCGCAATACATCAGGAAAGAAGAAGAAAGAATCCAAGAAGAAGAATACACATAAAGTTGAAAGCTCATCTGAGCAAGAAGAGGAAGTAAAGCTTGATTCAGATTCACCTTCTCAAGAAAAAGCTGCCGAAACAGAGGAGGAAGAAGCAAAGGAAGTAGTTATCGATATCCCACCTCCACCAAAAGAGGAACCCAAATTCAATATCAGATCTCTCAAATTATTCTCTACAAGAGTTCTTCAAGAGGATGAAAGGCTCAAAAAAGAGGCAGAAGAAGCCGCTCAACAAGCAATTTCTGCTTTCAAGCAAGAAGAGCCAGAAGTACCAAAGAAAGTCGAAGAAAAGCAGGAAGAAATAATTGAAGAAAAGCCAGATGAAGAAGATGATGATGTTGCAATTGGTGTTGTTGAAGATAAGGAAGCAAGCAACGCAGAGATCGTTCAAGCTGCAGCAGAATCTGTGGAGAGGGCAATGCCACCAGTTCTCAAATGGCATCCAAGGATGGAAGCACCATGGAGAGTTCTTGGTGATGTTAAAGAAGTCATCAAATTCCCAAGTGAGCATAAAGTTGAAGAAGAACAATCAGAATACCAATGCTCAAAGATCATGAGACTTAACACAACATGCCCATTGAATCTATTACTTCTTTCATTCCCAGCACCAAAGAACATGAAGAATGCTTACATTAAAGCTGTCAACAAGAGATTGGCAGAAAATACTGAGAGAAAGCCATTCAACAAGGCTCTTCACGCTTATTTCGCTGCAAAGGACGCTGCAATTAAGAATCCTCATGAAAAAGATCATATTTGTCAGAAATTTGTTCAGCAATTCCTTGATAACGAGATTTAATATTATAATTTATTCTTCTGTTTTGATAAATATTTATTTATTCTTTATTATAATCGAAATCGCTAAATGCGTTAAGATATTTACACAATAGAAATTTTGGATTGGGATAATGTTAAAAATGGAATATTTAGAATTAATATACAAAATACAAACAATTTTATTTCAAGGTCTTTGAAGTTTTGGAAGGGAAGAACGAACTTTTGAAGTTGCAGTAGATAATCTGTTCGAAACCTTTTGAACAGAGGTAACTTTCTTAATAGGAGCTTGTGGAGATCCTTTATTTGGCGTTGGAATTGTCATTGAAGCTCTCATCGGTGGAATTATATTCTTTGGACTTGCCATTGGAACTTTTGGTGTTGGTTTTACTCTCTTTGGCGTTTGCAATGGATTTTTTGCAGTGGAACAAGTTGGCTTTGGCGGCTCTTCGAAAAATTTTGGCGGTTCCATGGTTGGTTTCATTGTAAACGCTGGTTTTAATGGCGGAGTGATCTGTAATTCATCATATTCCTCGGAATCATCATCGGAAGAATAAAGAATTAGAGTATTTGAATATTTTGGTGGGGAATTCCTGGAAATTGAAGGAATTGAGTCAGTAGATCTGATTACACGAGGAGGGGCTGGCGAATATGACTCTTCGTCGGAATATTCTTGATCATATTGAGGCTGGTTTTCGTCTTGGAGAGGTGATGTTTCATCCGTCTCCAGATAATCATCTGGAATGTAAAACACGCCTTGGTAACGCGGTGGGGTCTGAATTGACTCCACTTTAGTTAATGAATCTGTATCTTCAACGCATTGAACTAAATCAATGATTTCAGTAAGCTCTTGGATTCCTTCCTGGTTATCCATAAGGAGAGAAGCTGCAAGATCAATGCAAAAATCAGCTCTTCTAAGAGCATTCGCACATCTGACGCTTGGAAAGCCTAAAGCCTCAAGTTGTGATACCAATTCAGCAAAATTTTCAGGATCTGTAGTTCTTTGAATTTCTGGATTTCTATGCTCTTTACTATATATTGCCTTTGCTGTTCTTATGATTTCAGGTGATGAAAATAATTGTTTCTGGAGGAAGTTTAAGGCCATATGACCCATGATATCATATGCATCAAAATTAATTTTTGTTTTATTATCTTCATTAAGTAAACATTGCATAGTTATAGTATCTCCTTCGACATATTTTATATCCGAAAGTTTCTGATTTCTACTCAATGACTTTCCTTTATAGAAAAACATTAATGTAGCAGGAATTTTATTTAATTTTTTACCGACTTTTGTAGCAATGTTATCTATGGTAGTATTGTCAAGTGCATAAAGTGTGAAATTCACTGAAGCAGCAGATGAAATATGCACTTGCATTTTTTGTAAAATTGTTTACATGGATTATCGTTCATAATTCCCTCAATTTTTTCTTGCTTTTACAACATTTGAAAACTTGAGAATTCTATATTTTGGGCTTAATTAGATATCGCTCATGATTCCATGATAAATGTAAGACATTAACATGCAATCCTAAAGCGATTTATCATCATATCTAATTGTTTTTTTAAAAGTTTTCGATATTTCAAATTCTAGAACGTTAAATAGATAAAGTAAGGGAATCTGATATTAGTTAACAGACTAAAAGCATCCTCTAATCTTTAATTGCTACATTTTTTTAAGAAATAGAATATTGTTACTTAAGGATAGATAGTAAATAATATTTATTAAACAATTATAATACAGAATACTTCTCAATGAACAAAAACTTATCTTTGGTATTATTTTCTGCTACGTTAAGAATTTGTTTCCATTTGCTTTCTCTTTCTCTCTTACAATCGGAGTATTCCTTTTTGGAGATGTCAGAATCGATAGATTCTAGGGAAGATAAAAATTTTGAGGCCATTTCACGAGTTTCAGAATTCCAATGGGAATTGCACGATATTTTAGCACTATTATATACCGTGACACCGATTTCGTTCCAAACTGTAGATAAAAGGCTCAAAAATGTTGAAGTTTGGGAAACTCTAAACGATTGCTGCGAAAGAGAACTAGTACAATCATTAAACAACAATGAAATATGAGCAACAAGTCTAACAGTAATATAAAAAGAGATATTTCGAGAAAAATTTTCTATGACAGTTTGTAAAGAATTCAAATAATATTTTGCCTTGCTAGGGGACACAATTGGCCAATGCTTGAAGAGATGATCTATATAAGTGTCAACAAATAACTTATTTTTTCGAATAAATGCGCAAACAACTTGGGTAAAGGAACTTTCGAATAGATTGAAGTTATTTAGAAGCATGAGTGGAAGTAAAACATTCTGAAAGAATGCCAACCATTCTTTTCCTTTGTAAATTGTTGTCCATTCTGCAAAAAAGTCAAAAAGGGAATTGAGTGAGCTCTGAGCATATACATCGTAACTTGCTGTACTCATAAAATGCGAAAATTCAATCATATATACTTTACCAGTAAAATTGTATCTTTCAGCTATGGCAAGAAGTAATTCGCAAGCACATTTTTGCTCACGTTTGTCTGGAAATCTGATGCACTGAAACAAATTATGTATAAATAAATCATCAATTTGATTTGCAACAAAATTCGGTCGAATTGTATCAGTATACATAAATTTGGTAAAGATATCATAAATAACTCGAAGGTGCATCCACTCTAAATCGTATGCAGTATCATTTGCACGTAAAATTGGAATGTTGATCAAAGGACGAAAAATATTGGCAGCAAACATCTTGAAAAAGGCTTGAATGCATTCGATAGTTAGTACTTTTGCAATTTTAGGTGATTGTATTGCATCTATGAGCTCTGTTATCAGAGTTGTTTTTAATACTTTTAAAGAATAGTCACTTTCTTCGCTTGAAAAGTCACAAAAACCACAACATGTATTGCACTTTCTAATAAATAGTTGTGGGATCTCTCCTGTTTGGCATTTCTCCAATGTCTGTGTTTTGACAATTAATCTTTTAGTGGAAGTATCCCTAATTGTATAGTATTGAATAATAGATTTTGTTATGTCTTCTATTTTATCATCATCAAGGACCTTTTTCTGTGTGTTTTTGACCACTTTCCAATTTGGTTGAAGCTTTAGAATGAAATCCTGGGAGCATGACTGAAGAGTAGGCTTTAAAAGAGGCATAATATGCTTTTGCCTTTTTGGCGTGAATATTAAAGGTCTCGATCGCGAGACTTTTAACATTGTTGCCGAAAAGAACTCAAAAAAATATTTCACTTTTGATAAAGTCTTATCAGAAAATTTTCTTATCGTTATTTTACAATTCAATAATTTCAATGAATATTAAATTCTTAAACGGTTTTATTTTTAATTTTTAATGAAAATGTTGTAAACAGAAATTCATCAAAAGTGACACCTCAGAAAAGCTAAAATATTGAATTTTTGGAACTTTTGATAGAGCACGTTTTTAAATATTAATTAAAGTAAATGTATATTTTGTAAAGATTCTTTTTAATAAAAAAATAAAATTTTGAAGAAGAACACAAAATCTTCTGAAAAATAATATCACATAAACTCATATTATTTTCTAATATATAACTATTTTATATAAAAATCAAATTCAATGATCTTAAAAGCGAAGGATAAACCTCAAAATTTACGAATATAATGAGTGGGAATATAATGCTTATCTATCATAAAACCATATGAAATATTAATTTTTGCTTTACGCCTAATTTTTGACGACAATTAGCAAAAAATGTTAAATGTTAACACTCAGTCCATTTGAATATGAAAAATAAAATTGACTTTGATTAAATGTTTTTATTTATCATGCAATTCTTCTTGCGACCAAAGATTTGAATAAAAGTTCAAAAAATAAGATAGCTTAAAAAATAATATACGGTAGTGTTTACTAATAGATGAATAGTATATAAATTCTATTAAAATGGATTTGATCCAAAAAAATATAAAACCAAAAATAATTGTTATAATTTAAATGAAGAAGTAATTTAAAACGATTTTATTTATGATCAAATTTTATATATTTTTTTGGATCAAATCCATTTTAATAGAATTTATATACTATTCATCTATTAGTAAACACTACCGTATATTATTTTTTAAGCTATCTTATTTTTTGAACTTTTATTCAAATCTTTGGTCGCAAGAAGAATTGCATGATAAATAAAAACATTTAATCAAAGTCAATTTTATTTTTCATATTCAAATGGACTGAGTGTTAACATTTAACATTTTTTGCTAATTGTCGTCAAAAATTAGGCGTAAAGCAAAAATTGATATTTCATATGGTTTTATGATAGATAAGCATTATATTCCCACTCATTATATTCGTAAATTTTGAGGTTTATCCTTCGCTTTTAAGATCATTGAATTTGATTTTTATATAAAATAGTTATATATTAGAAAATAATATGAGTTTATGTGATATTATTTTTCAGAAGATTTCATTCTATATGCCTATGAAAAGTACTCTCAAAACAAACTTTTTCCTAATTATAATTAAATCTAGAATATTGTATTATGCTTAGTATTATTTCATTTTTCTCATTCAATTTAGAATTTACAAATGTCAAAAAATTGAGAGCTGTCACTTTTGATGAATTTCTGTTTATTACAAAAATATGTAAATTAAGATTAAATAAAGATATCCCAATTAAATAATTGAATTATTCAAAATTTATAATCAAGCGAAAAAGAACGTTTTCCTTAATTGTTCATAGATTTAAAATAAAAATTCGAAATCTGACAAATTTTTACAGAACAACAATACGAAATATTTAGCTCTGCTGTTATCAACTAATTCATGTTTCAGCCGTGTGCTATAGTCTAGAATAATACAAGCTGTTAACATCATTGTACAAGATTGACGCAAGAACATTCAAGATGTCTCATAAACCGAGTGGACGCAATTTCAAAAAAGTGACATTGTAATATTAGAATATGGCGCGGTAGTATTTCGACTTTGAAATTTAATAGTTCACAAGAAATTGGCATAATGATCAGGAGGATATTCAATAAATTGCTTCTGTTTTTGATATTTTTGTATAAGGTGTCATCAGATATGTGACATATATTGAAATCATACAGTATGGATTAACTATTGACAGATTTCTTGTTCAGCCATCAAAACATAAGCATTTTTTAGAAAATTGAATTTCTACTAATACAAGTGTCACTATAGCACCTTTTGATCATAAAAATAATTAGTGACACAAAAAACTCATTTCTTTCACTTCCCTCTGCAGTTTCAGAAAAGATATACATAGTTCGAAAGAAAATAAATTTAAAAAAATCAAGAAACAAAGGAATTATCTATAAACATCAATAAATTTATTATCATCAAGAAATCTTCACTAATAGAAATATAATTTCCTATTGTTTTATTGCATTATCTTCGATTTCTATCATATAACTTATTTTTATTTAAATTTTCAAAATTTATTGGTCAGAAAATTGAATCAATACCGATTATTTGGCAGGAATATTGTAAGATTTACAACCCTTTTTGAGCAACGTAAATTTTTCATATATGAGTGAAGATTGGAAACTCTATACAGAAGATCCTAACGAAGAACCATACCAAGGAATACTAAATCTTTTGCCGTCATCATTGAAAGATGTCTGGGAAGACCAAGACCCAATGATGCCAGTCCCAATTCCGAAATCTCCCTCACCTCAAGCCCCTTCCGGAATTTATGAGGGTAATAGTATCCCAAAGCATACAAAGCCATTTCCATTCCCAGAATCAGCCCCTGCTTTGTCTTTCATGGAAGATCATGAAGGAGCAACCCCAACTACTGAGCCAGAAGTCCTTGTAAATCAAACAATATCTTCTGACACAAAATTTTATCAAGTTCAATTCCATCCATTCAGAACAGAACTTTATCACTGGTCGCAAATTTCGAATCTTAGCGTCGGTGATTATGTAGTTACAGAAGCCGATAGAGGATACGACGTAGGTAGAATTGTTGAGGAGGTTAGATCACCTCCATCTCGCGAATCTAAAGCTTCGAAAGGAATTGTCCGAATTGCTTCACAACATGAAATATCTCAACTCTCACTTAAAACAGAAAGAGAGAAAAGAGCGAAAGAACTATGTCAGACAAAAGCGCGCGAATTAGATCTACCAATGTCGATTGATGGTGCCGAATTTCAGTTCGACGGCAAGAAACTCTCATTTTACTACACGGCAAATGCTTATGTCGATTTTAGAAATCTTGTTCGCATTTTGTTTAAGACTTTCGGCATGAGAATTTGGATGGTTTGGCATGATGGAAACGAAAGAGTTAAAGACGTACTTCAAAGAAGCGAACAGAAATAATAGATTTATAATACTAGTTTTATACAGTTATAAATGCGGCCATAAAACATATACATATTATTAAATATTTTTTATCGAATTTAAGTTTCTTAAATCTTATTAAAGAATATAATCAGGACTTTAATACTAATACATTATAAAATGATTTTCTGATTTAAATTTTCGATTGACATTTGGAAACTTAGAATAATCTATTGATTTCATAATGAAATACTCTTCCACTAGTTTCAAACAATAATTAAATCAATGTTTGAGTTCCAGATGGTATCTGAAAATATCATATATTTGAGAAGATGTGCAAACATGCTACATATACCATGTTATATCAGCAATGCACAATCTGATCATCAATCAATTTTAGTTATTATTACCAACATTCAAATTTAGATTTGCTGAAAGGCAGATCTATAGCTGGACTAGAATTACCAGCGTAATCTTTAAGGTCAACATCTTCCCAGTATATTGCTTTAAATAAAACTTTCAGATTAAAGATAAACTACATTAAAGTATAATATTGGAATCTGAAGTCATCCAATCATCGAAGATTATTTGTTGGGTCCCCAAATACTGCTAAATGATATGCTTGACTATTATCTAGGCAAAAATTTTACACAATTAGTCTTTTTGCTCAAAGTATTCAATGTAAAAATTCTCTCAATTTTTTGGCTAAAAAGAAACTTTTTTTATCAATTAATTCTTATGGGATACAAACTCACTACATCTAGATCTGGAACTTATGGGCACTATTCCTATTTAGATATAGATTGCCCTGTCAGAAGAAGTTTCAGCACTTCAAGAACACCAAGAACAGCAAATAATTCAACTGATTTATTTGACTTAGAAAGCCAGACAAAGTTTAGGGACTTGCTCGAACATCAGAGAAAAGAACTTTCCGTGTTTGAAAGAAATTACATTCTCGAAAATCAAGATATTGTTGATGAAATGTCAAACATTGATAAAGTTTTTGATGTTGATGAGCGCGAGCGGCTTCAAATGGAAGGTCAGCTTGTGAAGCATCAATACAACATGTCCAAATTAGCACTTCAGCGGAAGCAGAAAAAAGAAAGAGAAGAATTTTGGAAAGAAAGGAACCGTCAGAAAAACGAAATCATGCCTTACCATGAGGAGATTGCATCCACACCGTATATTCAGCGACCAAGGAGCGTGGCCTTATCTCAGATTACGACTCCAAGAAAAATCGACTCGTCGATGCCAGACATTGTTGAAGTTAATGGGGATGATATTAATTTTGGAAATGAGGCCGAAAAAGAAAAATTAGAAAATGAAAAACGTTCAAAAATTAAGATTCGCGAAAGGGATGAAATCAAACCAATCACAGGTACATTCCTTTCGAATAGATACGTAAATCTTTCAAAGGCCAACAAAATCGGCAAATTCGCAAAGCCAAGAAAATCTATTCCCAAATATCCGTATTCATCTAGCTTAAGATCACCTGTAACAAAGATTTCCAATGATTTCAGTAGAGTTTCACAAAGTCCTGAAATTACTATCGGAAATGAAAAGTTACAATAAGCTATTTCACATTACACATTGTTCATTTCTTCGAGAAATAACAAATTATTGATTCAAATTCAATTTGTAATTGTTTTGAATTCATTTTTATGTTTTTAGACTTTTAATAAATATATTATTTAATATTTTGGTTTCTCGTTAGATTTTTGGCATAAAGTATCTCAGTTTTTTTAATCGCAATTCGGAAAAATAATATTGATTCTGATGCAAAATTATTGAATCAAATTATGGAACACGCATTTATCATAGATTTGATGAGTAATATTGAAATCTCGATAGTCAATCCAAATATGTGCATATTCATATTGAGATTATAAAATCTGAGTCAAAAACTAGTAAAATTAATAAAAATTTGTCCCAACGGACTTATATCCTAAAAACTCGTTAAATTTCTTCAAAAGAAGTGATAAAAGAATTGTCTAATGCAAATTTAACTAAATTATCCTTGATTAAATGTAAAATATAATTATACAAGTTAATTTAACGAAAGTTTTAAGAGTAAACTGTTTACATTTTGCTGATAATATTTCAAATCGATTTATTAGTGATTTTGATGAAATAAATGATGGAAGGACTACATTGCAAGGAGATATTTGTACTACTAATCCTATTTTTTTATTCGAATTTCGATATACTTGGCGTTTCCAATGTAAATGATAATGACAATCAACTTTTATCAATTTGAATGGATTATATTGAATTTAGCTTGAATGAAAATATCTCGGGAATATGGAATATATTAATACTTTGAAATTATTCAAAAAGTATAAAATACCATTTAATCAATAGGTTTAATTCAAAAGTTTTTTGATGATATTTTGAATTTTCGTTGAAAAATTTATACGGCGATACACTATTTATTGCAAATTCAAAAAACCCATAGTTATGTCACTTTTAATATAAAGTATTCAAATAGTGAGTTGCTAAGACTAAAATTATTTTTACTTATTATAATGTATATATTAAGATTCAGCATTATAGCATATTTGAAATGTTTACATTACAAAATTATATCATATTCTTCACACACACTTGACGGTTAGATCATCTAAAATTGTGAACAAACCGCCACCAAAAAGCCGAGGTTTTATAAAATTCTTAAAGAAATTACATATGCTCTAAATATAATGCGTATCAATATTAAATAAAAATCACCATTGGGACAAAACATTATTCAAAATAATTTCAATGGTATTCAAAATAATTTTTTATATAAAAAATCGCATACGTTCTGCTCTCAATTTCCTGGTACTATCTCTTTCAATTACATGACTCTGATGTTTTTCTTGTTCAGATCATTTATAATTTCGATATGTGCGAAATCCAAGCATCCAAAAAGGTTTCCCATCTTTTGGCAAGCCACATCCAAAAGTTCAATTCACACAAGCTGAAGATAACCAACTTTTGGCACTAGTTCAATACTACGGAGATAAAAACTGGAACATCATTGCTCATATTATGGGAAATAGAAACCCAAGACAATGCCGTGATAGATATACAAAGTATCTCTCACCAGATCTTAATAAGAATCCATGGACACCCGAAGAAGATGCTTTATTAATTAGCAAATACCATGAAATTGGAGCGAAATGGGTTAAAATGTCTAAGTTCTTCAACAACAGAACAGACTATTCTCTTAAAAACAGATGGAATGTCCTTGTTAGACATAATTCTGTAACAATGAACTCTCCAATTTCAGAACCAGAAGAAGAAAAGATCATAGACAACCAAAGTGAAATTGAGACTGCTGTTCAAGACGTAACAGCTGATCCAATGTTCATGGATTTCGATTTTACAACAGATTTCGATCTTTTTTAAGAAATTGATCTCTATAATAATTGAATAGATATATTAGAGTTATTTGTATTATACTGTTTTGTATATAAATGATTATGGTTATGAAATTTTATACAATTTTTTCTAATATATAATGGTTTCTAAATCTTTTCACTCATTTCATCTATTCTTATCCAATAAGAATATTCTCAGCAATTATAACAATATTTGAATTAAATTACATTGAAATTTTCTTGAAAAGTAATTTTATTATTCTATTGTTTTATAGCTAAAAATGGATTATACTTCTTTTCATCACCAATGGTTGTTGGATCTCCATGGCCAGGAAATACAAGTGTATTATCAGGTAATTTCATAAGTTTATCAACAATTCCCCTAATTAATGCCTTTCCATCGCTAAGAGGGAAATCAGACCTGCCCACAGAGCCTTGGAAAAGAGTATCTCCTGAAAATAGAGAACTTTCGCTTTTATTGTATAGGCAAGTTCCACCTGGTGTATGACCTGGTGTTTGGATGACTTCAAACTCAATGCCATCGAAGTTTAATTTTGGTTTATCTAATTTATCAACAAAAATCATTCTATCCATGTACTTTTTGATATCAAATCTAGCTCCACTATATTTGGAAAGATTATAATCCGGATTTGTATACAATGGCTCATCAAGTGAAGATGCGTAAATCTTTAAATCTGGAAATGTATCGCATAATTCTGGTACACCACCTATATGGTCTGAGTGACCATGCGTTAGATATATGTCAACTTTGTCATTTGGATGGGCTGATTTAATGTGTTTTACAATTTCACTTCCATAACAAGAAGGATCGACGACAATGATCCTACTTGCTAATGTCAAAAGATAAACATTGTTCTCTAAAGGACCAAGTATCATTCGCTCGATTTTGAAATCCTTTCCTAACATTTTTTTTTGTTTGACAAAATTTTTTCAATTGTAAATTCATTATGATTGAGGAAGAAAACCACAACAAAATCATTTATTTTTTCCTGCTTGTGATAGAAATAATATGTATATTATCCCTTTATGCATCTTTCATAAACGCATTCGCCGAAGTTGATTCTCATATCACAAGTTTTATTTTCGTTCCCGATCAACCAAAAATAAAAGGTAATAAATGGTGGTACCAACTACCATACCTACAAATGAACTCAATTATTACACATGAACCAGAAGAAAACTTAAATTATACAAAAATTACTTTAAAAAAGTATCGAACAATGAATAATATCCCAAAAAATTTAACGACACAATCAGTAATTTACATTGTACTAATGGAAGACATATTTGTCCAAAGAAGGATGATAGTTAAAAATGATACAATTGTCAGAACATTATGCTTTGGAAAAGCAGTTGCTAAAAACTCGATCAAACCAAATACACAGGCATACGAGGAAATGGTCTATGTCTATCAATTTTGGAACATGTTTGGCCATAATATTGAAGATTATGTAGCCGCTTTAATGTTTGTTCCAAAAGAATTAAACGACAGAGGCTTCTTTGTTCTCACGCCACCTTGTTGCACAAATATAACATACCAAATCGCTAGATACTTAGGAATAAATGTCACTTTTGTAACCATACGTGATGAAAGGCGCGAGCAAATATTTGCCAAGAAACTATGGATCATCACTTCAAGAGAGCTTGGCCACGGCTACGCAAGTGGAGGTTTTCATAGAATGCGGGCTATAATTTTCCAAAAAGAAGAGTACAAGAAAATCAAACCAGAAAGATACGTTGTTGTTAACAGGCCTCCTCGATCAAGGCGATTCTTTGATGATGCAAACAAACTTGTCAAAATTTTGAATGAAAATACAACTCTTGAAAAAGGTTGTCAATGGGTGAGGGATGATAAATCGTATGGTATTCCTTTTTCGGATATGATCAAATACTGGATGTCATTAAAAGTCCTTGTTACCGTTCAAGGATCTGGAATTTACAACGGAATATTTATGCATGAGAATACAGGTATGTGTTTATTGTTTTGTGACATTGTTGACACTCCAAATCTTCAACTTTGTACGCATCTACACATATTTACAATCGGAGTGATTCATCCTGGACGACCAATCCTTTCTTACAAGGCTCAACCAACAAATTACACTGACATGGTCACATACACACAGAGAGTTGTTGATGCTGTTTATAACGGACATTGGACAAGTCTCGACGGATTAAGAGGATTTCTAAATGCTTCGTATCCTGTAACAAATGCAACTTATTTCCTCTATAACTATAAGGAATATGCGAGACACTGGTAATTTATATTACATATCTTTATATTATTGTTGTTTTTATGCTAAAAATGCAATTCAATCCCTTTAAATAACCAAAAATCTATAAAGCTGTTAGAAATCTCTAACAAATCAAAAGAAACTGATAATGTTTAACTAAACAATCTTAATAAATTTCTACATCATATCCTGCACAATACATAATTCATATCAACTATTATCTAAATATCTATATTAAGCTCTATAAATGTACCAGTGTAACACCGAATTTTCAACAAATGAAAATGTTGGGGGTGTCACCATACTGAAATTTATTTCACTCTTCTTTTTTTTTTACTCGCTGAATAAAAAGCTGATAATTTTTAATGCTCAATAGTATGATTAACATATGCAAAAAGATTTACGTGAAATCAGCGAGCAAGAGTAAAAAAATGGGACAATCTGAAATATTTTTCATTGATTTCAGTTTAATTCTTATTGCCACATATTGCACAGGATTAACACTATATGATTCACTAGTCACAGAAAGAATAAAACCATCAATCGTTTCTTTAATAGCAATTCATCAAAATATAGATCAAGAAATGTGTTTTCATCAAGGAATCCCCGATGACTCAATAATCGATATCAAAAAATAAAATGGGCTAACGATCCAATGATCACGGAACATACATTTGTAATCAGTGATAACTTTTCCTTTTTTAATATGAGTCAGGAGCACCAAAATACCACCAATAGAAACAATAATAGTGTGTATCATTTACGGAACTGTTACGTTTCTGGAACAGGTGCAGTTTTGTATAATAACAAATTTATTTCTAGTTCAGGCATTCAAGATAAACATTTATACTTGTATCAACCATTTACAGGTCCAGTGATAGGAGTAAGAGATGTAGTTGTCAGTGTAGGTCACAAATTTTCTTTAATTTTCGGTCATTTCATTCAAGACGGTCTTTCACCTTTAATGGAAGTTCCCAGTGATGCTTTAAAGCAATCCACAGTTACGATTTGCGCGCATAAGAATCTTGTAGACGATTTTTTCCCAACATTAAATTTTTCAAAAGAAGTTCAAATTTTGAGTCCTTGTCAATGGATATTTGCGAAAGAATTATATATTAATCTTTGTCCAAGACCACATATAGCTCATCTTGGCCCTTGTTTCCGTAAATTAACTTTATTGATTAGAGAAAAATTTAATTTGACGGGAATTGTTCCTTCAAGATACGTTATTTCTCAACGAAAAGCAAAAAATAGATTCATTAGTAACTTTGATGAGCTATTTAACGCAGTTAACACAACTTATCCAGATTTTCCATGGGAAAAAGATCTCCAAATGCCAAGACCACTTAACGAAACAGTTAAAATCTGGTCAAATGCAAAAATATTCTATGCTGTTACAGGAAGTAACTACTTCAACAGCATTTTCTTCCCACAATCAGTTGTCGCAATCATTGTATTCTCAGATAATTATGACTTTTCAACAATAACTACTCTAACGTGTAATAATTATCATACAATTCTTTACCAAGAACCAACAATGAAACATTTCGTCAAATTGACAAATAATTTTAATATTACAAGGGCTTTACTTGCATTTAAGATAGCCATTAATGTCGATAAGAATCACGTATGGCCAAAAGAACCAAATACAGCCTTTTTGCGCTAATTATTTTATGTTTTTATTTTTAAATATTGTTTTTGTAGCAGTTAGCCATTTTTTAATATTTGCATCACTGGATCATTTCCGATTTCCATAAATACAATAATGATTTTATCAATAAAATACCTTTGATAGTAAACTTCTGAATTGTTTGATAAGTAAACTGAAAGTTCGAAAATGTATTTATCTATATCTGTACAAATATTTTGCCTCAATAATTTTTAAGGTCTCGAATTTACAATTTATCTCAAATTTATTTTGAGACCTCATTTCAATTGAAAACATTGTGTAAGTTTGACTAATTTTATATATCATTAAATACAGGCTCTCCAAGTTCTTTCAATTTTCATTTTGGTCGGAAACTGATATCATGATAGAGTTTTTAAAAACATTTGATCATTATCTCTCCCGCGCAAATATTCTACTGATGTGCCTGTTATTATACATCTATATAATCATAATGAAATGCCCTGATACAAATTTAGATGATCTATTTTGCTTTCCTTATCGGCCAAACATTACCGGAATGGAATGGTGGTATAAATTTCCGCACCTTCAAATATATACAATCGTGACACGTGAGCCAGATAGCAGCTTAAATTTTACAAAAATCACAAAAAAGCCTTTTAGATTTAAACAATTCATTCCTGTAAACTTTACAACACAAACAATCGTTCATATAACACTAATGGAAAACGTTTTTTGCCAAAGAAACATGCTTATAAAAAATGATACTGTTATTCGTTTACATTCTTATAAGTCTACTAATCATATTTTTCCAATCCGAGAAACCAGCAAGGTAGTTGACGAATTAGTATATTGTGTTCACTTTTGGGATAATTATGGCCATAACATTCATGATTTCTTGTGTGCTATGATGTTTGTTCCACAAGAAATTAAGGACAAAGGAATACGAGTTCTTAATCCAAAACATTTTTCTGAAATTACACTTGACATAGCTCGTTATTTAGGCCTTAAAATAAATTATGTCTATACGAAACCTTCAGATCAAGTTTTCGCTAAAAAGATATGGATTATTAATACGTTAGAACAATCTCATGGATTGACAAGCGGTGGCATCGAGCGTATCAGAGCTATTGTATTTGAAAAAGAAGAATATAAGAAGATCAAACCAGAGAGATATGTTGTTGCCAATAGAATTGTTGGGTCTAATAGATTTATAGATAATGCAGATGAGCTTGTGAGGGTGCTCAATATAAAAACTAAGCTCGAACGAGGTGCCAGATGGATTAGAGATGATAAATTTTATGATGTACCTATTATGGAAATCATCAAATATTGGATGTCTTTGAAAGTTATTGTTACAGTTCAAGGGTCTAATATTTATAATGGAATATTCATGCATGAAAAAACAGGAATGGTATTGTTATTTTCTAATAGGATTGATTTACCAAATATGCAGTTTTGTACACACCTGCATGTGTTTATGATTGGCGTAATTCATCCAGGCAGGCATTTCAATTGTGGCTCCCCCCAACCAACGAATTACACCGATATGATTAGTTACACACAGAGAGTTGTCGATGCTGTATATAATGGTGGATGGAAGAGCCTTGAAGGTTTAACAGAAATTCTCCAATCTTCATACCCGGTTACTAATATAACAGATTTTATATTAAATTATACTAGAATTTACTATTGAGTGGAATATAAATCTATACTCACTATCTCAAAGCAATAAATGTTCACTGCCTCAATACTATCTCCACACCCAATTCCAAAAAAAAAAGTTTTTTTCGTTTGTTTTTGTTTGATCAGTGGCCCAAAATTATTTCTTTAAGATAGCCATTAATGCTGATCAGAATCATGTATGGCCAAAAGAATAAAATACAGCCTTTTTGCGTTAATTATTTTATGTTTTTGTTTTTAATATTTGGATCTCTGGAACTAATTTCCTAATTCCATTAAATTTAATTTTGAAATGATCTAATATCGTGACTATAGTATAGTTTTGTAGCATGTTATAACCCTTTTGCAAAACAATGTTTTATGGAAACCTCTTTTTCAATTCTTTATTTCTTCATGATTTTTTTTTCTAATGAGAATGTAAAGAACATGGATAATAAATGTAAGATGCAAGGAAATATCCCAATTTGATAGATGATAGTCTAAGCTGATTGATACAAATTTAGTTATTTTCTTTTTCAACATGCTTTATACAAATCTTCTTTCAAAATTATAAAAAAACTAATAGAAATGTTTACAAATTTTCATAAAAAGGACTCTAACAAATTATAATTATATTTTGATATTTTCTTCTTCAAATATTACGAATCTTACGACTTGTATCATCCTAAAACAACAGATTCGATATCTTCAATGGTATTAGAAGCTTCAATTTGACCAAATTGTCTAACTTTAATTCCAAGTGTTATAATCTCATTGATTGAGTTAAAAACAACACTTGGATCCAAAGTTTTAACAAAAATTGCTCCACTTTTGATCTTATTCAGAGCGGATACGATAAATTTTTGTTCATGTGATCTGTTTACAGCTCTAACTACTTCGTTGAACAGAGACATTGCTTTGCTGACCAATTCTCCTTTCGAAGCAAGTTTTCCTTGTTTTTCGATTTTGATACAAAGTTGAAGCAATCCGTTGTTGAAACAGTTGATTTCAACGATTCCTTTGAGTACATCCGATATATGCTTGTCAATTTTTTCAACATTTTCCGGTTGAATTATTCGACTCAAAGCAAATGAAAGGCTTACGAATTCTCTTACAATTCCGCTCACGAAAAATGTAAAAAAAATTGACTATTATCCACATTAGGGCAAGCAGTTTATAAAACAATTTTTATTATTTCTTGGGCTTCTTTGACTTTTGAACAAGTGGATTTGTCCAGTAATCTCTTTCTTTCTTTTCACCTCTAGTGTCTTTTTCTCCAAGAGTTCCTGTTACAACAAGGTCATTACTATTGGATTGGTACTGAATTCCATCATAAACAGAGTGGTACCACTTTGGTGTATCTTCAATTTCATCTTCAAACTTATCAAAACCTAATTTTTCCATTAACGTTTCTTTATCGGAAAACAAATTTGTTCCAAGAGCAATTCTATCGCCTTTAACTTTAAATCCTGCTGCTGCATATATAGAAGGCTGAATATCAAAATTCGAATACATTCTACCAGTTTGTATCTTTGGCTTTACAGCAGAATTTATCCAAACATTATATGTTGATCTCTTATATCCAATTTTTTCAGATTCAGTCCTGAACTTTGGCCATCTATTTAGATGATCACCATACATCACAATCAATGTGTTGTTATACCATGGCTGCGTTTTGGCCCACTCTAAGAAATCAAATATTTGTTTATCAGTACATCTCACAGCTCTTTCATTCGAAGAGTTTGCCTTTGGACAATACTTGCAGACCAATCCTGGTTGGTGCGAATCTAAGGTCAGCATATGGGCGAAGAAAGGCTTCTTAAGAGAGTTAAGTCTAGCTAATTCTTTCTTAAAGTGATCAATCACGACAAAATCTTTAACCCAGCCTCGATGCTTCATCTGAACATCTGATATTATTTTGTCATAATGATGCTTTGAAAATGTATATCCCATATTCCAATCATAAAATGATGCGCCAAATATAACTGAAGTGGAATAGCCATGCCTTTTAAGAATATCTCCAATGCATTCCATTTTTGGATAGAAGTCTTCAGGACCTGCTCTATGAAACTTGGCACTAATATGAGGAGCAGAACAGACCATTCCAAATGTTGCAAAAAGTGTGAATCTTGTCCTAAAAATCAATTGTCCTCCACCAAATGAACCGTTCTTGGATGGAGTGAAGTATGTGTTATTTTTATCTATAAGAAGATCTTGCAAATGGGGAATCCATGTTGGCTCTGTCATGCCTCCATATTTGGGTGAGAAGAAATAAGAATCAATTGATTCGAGACCAATCAAAATGATGTTTTTCTTCTTTTTAGGAGGAATTAAAAGATTACTGCGAGGATGAACTACATTTTGCAATATATACTTTGAGCATGAACTGGATGAGGTTTTAACAAGCTGATTGTAGGTTATAATAAATGATAATATGTAAAAAAGTGGAAGAATTCTAAAGCTCAAGAAAAAAGTTTTTTCATGAATGGTAAAATAGCAATTGCTTATTTCAAAGAACATAAATATAAATAAAACCGAAGGAAGAAAGCAACTGAGAAAATAATTTCTTAAATAAGATACAATCATTTCAAGAGGAATATCTGTTGATGAGGATTGAGATAAAAGAATCATGAATTCTTCTTCGTACATCGTTCCTGATTCAATAAAAACGTTTTTAAGAAATGATTGAATTAAGGTAAACAAAATGGCGATAGAACATGCCTCAACAATAAGGTAATGGTAATAAAATTTGGAACATTGTTGAAAAAATTTGTTACATGCAAGAGTTCCATATTTTTCAAGTAATATTTTAAGTAAAGTAAAAATTGAAACGATTATTGATGCAATTATAAAATAGATATATGATGTATTTTGTTCGAATGCATTTTGAAATGCTTCTACGCTGAAAAATGCAACAATCCATGAAAGTGCGATAAATTCAAACGCCAATACTTTCAAGATACGCTTTGTCCTAAGAATGGGCCATATTAGTACAAGTAAACCCATTGTAACACAAGGGATTCCATAGTAAATAAGAAATTTTAACCAAATATTCATATTTGATTATTTGTGAGAATTCAATAAAAATTTAAATTAATTTTTTTTAAGGGTGCACCCGTATGTACGTTTATTTGAGAGGAGGAGGATTACCCTCTCAATTTTGAGGAATTCGTTAGTTTATTTTCTCGATGAATATGCAATAAAATTTGATTTTTATCTTATCAATATACTTCATATAATATACACATGTTCATGTAAAAACTTTTTTCCAAAATCCTCAGGAATTAAGGGATTTTTGAATTTTAAGAATTTTTTTCGAATTTTTTCGAAAAAAAAAATATTTTCAGAACAGCCTTAACGGCTAAGATTTAGGAACAATGTTAAGTATCAAAAAGAAAGGAGGTCTGATATAGACAACATATATCGTTGAAGGTTGAAAAAATCTCTAATATTTGAGCCCAAAATTTCAAATTTTAATTTTTTGAAAAAAGAGGCCACCCGTATGTACGTTTATTTGAGAGGAGGATTATATTTTTGAAAGGGTGAAACATTATGAATATGTTAATTATATAATAATATGTATTATTATAAAAAAGAAAAAATAAAGCACTTTAATTTTTTTCTTTCTTGATTTTTTACAAAATCTACTTAGAATTATGCAAAATATGACTAAATAATTATAAATTTCAAGTTAAATTTTAATTTTGATAAATAATTTAAATTTCAAAATATCAAGTTCAGTTCGACTATGTATGTAGTAATTCCTCAATAAAGTGCCAAAACCCTATTAAAATATATGAACATTTTCAACATTTTAATGTTTTTATTTAAAAATTTGATGGAATATGAGCTTCAAACAATTATTATGTAAATAAAAATAATCAAATATATGTATTTATTCGTATTACAACCGTAGTAAGTCGATTCTTCCTTTCTTCTACTGAGTTTTGAATTTGATTTCGAATTGTAAAGAGATTCAAAGGGAAAATACTAGCGGATAAAAACTACCTCCATGAAAGGGTCATAATGGAGTCAAGTTGTATTTTTTGATATTTTTTGCTTTTCGAGCCTAAATAGGTAGCCAAGATAATGCCTAAAAATAAGGTTCTAAATTCTGAAGTTTACATGATCCTCTCGTGTGCGCCCTTAAGAAACTCAAATTGAACTCGGTCGTATTGAAGGGTAAATAATCATACTTAAGAGTATATTTTCTTACACTATCGAACATTTTGGTATTGGTAATAACGAGTCATTGGAATCCAATAGAAAGATTTTTCTAATCATAGACAAAAAGGCCAATCAAATGACGAAATAAAGAAGATTCTCTTTCTCAGAGTTTCATATACGTTAAATTATGATTCTTTGATTCTGGTGAGGTACAATGTAATCCGTCCATATATCTAGTGACTAGTGATTACTATAGAGGAGATTAAGAGTTTTCAGAAGCTTTTTTTTGGAGAACATTCTTGATTTGCTCATTTGTTACTATTATTACAACTATTTCATGTACACACATTTGTACTACGAAATAACGTACCGAACATATTTCCATGATAAAAAAATTGAAGATCTTAAAAATTTTATGTCGCACTTCAGTTTTATACTCGCCGAATAAAAAGTTGAGAAATTTTGATGTTCAAAAGTATGATAAATATGTGTAAATAGTTTTATGTGAAATCGCATAGCAAGAGTAATAAAAAATGAGACAAACTGAAATAATTTTCATCATTTTCAGTTATATTCTTATTGTCTCATCTCTCATAGGTTTTATACTATATGATTCACCAGTTACAGAAAGAATACCCTGTATTTCCAACAATTGAAAATTTTTCATGACCCATGGTTCTAAAATAGCATTTTTTTCACCCCAGACATACAGTTAACAGATATTCAAAAACTAATACCAGCACAATATTACCTCATGCCTAGACAGTATGCCACACAAATTTGGGCCAAATCTGTGAGGGTCGATCATGATTATATAACATATTTAGAATTTCATTATCTCATCATTAGAGCTATATCTCTCTGTCAAAACTTACCATTTATATATGTACATGTTACTTTATATTCATGATACCAAAATAGAAAAAGCTTTTTTCACCTAAATCTGATAACAATGCAAATAAGACTCATTGCTGAAATACTGATATTTTCTTATTTGACCTATCTAGAAGCTTTCTAGATAGATTTTATAGAATATTACCAAAATGAGATATAATATTTAATAAAAGTTTTATTTTTGAATTTCACATGCAATGATCATGGGTTTAGTACCAATATAAATATTTTAATCTCTAATCGATATGATGTAAGGTTTATCAACGTGAATCAACGAAATTAATAAATGTCAGCGAAATACGTGATTTAAAGTATGATATGAATATAGGACATGTGTGAAATAAATTATAACCTATATTTGAGATATGAATGAAGAAATAAAATATAAGATCAAAAAGTCGAAGAGATAATGGTTTGTTGAATAAGTTAGGTTAGGTAAAGCTTTTATGGTTGAGTAAGAGGTTCATATAAGCATGAAATGAATAGTAATGTTGAATTTAATACTAAAATTTGATATTTCAACCGAAATGAGTGTATTATGCACTCCTGTCGGTCACAATGTATCATTCTGGGAGACATTGCCTCTGCATGTCTCCCAGAATGAGACAATCTTTTGCAATCAGAATACGATTGCGGAACTTTGACCGGCAAGAGTGTATTATGCACTCCTAGCCGTCATTTACTATAAGTACATAAAGAAAACTCTTTGCATACTATTATTAAAATATTATTTTAACTTGTTAATATTTCTTTTTTATTTTTTGTGCTTTATATAACTTATAGCGTGTACTGAACTATTTTACAGACTCTACTGAGCTATCCCCACATATAAACCTGTGACAATAACACATATATACTCCCTTGATATTCTGATCTCATGACATATTATCGCAAAAACTATATTTATACAACACACCTCATAAAATCTCATTATATCCCTATCTAAGCTTTCAAAACCTATTTTTCCCGCGTAATCTGATTCTTCCGGCTCTTCTGATTCGATTTCTGTTGTCAGATCGTGAAAATATGCATCACATAACTAGATAAACGCAAATTCATCAACTTACTATTTTCATTGAAATTTCTCTGTAAGTCCATTCTCATACAACATCATTTTTGAAAAATCCAATTTTTTGAAAAAATGTATGATTTTAAAAGTTCAGATTATATGTAGTAATTATCCAATATTAATTTTGTATTTTCGTATTTGAGATATCCATTTTATTATACGTATTATTCAGAAAATTAAATTAATTTGTGAGGGAAAACGGAGTAGATAAAAAATATCTGCAGTACAATGGGATGAATCTTTTTCATTGTAAAGAAACTCAACACTCATTGTCACTTATAATTTTGTTCTCGATGAGCTTGTCAGGAGTTATGTTAAGTATAAGATCACTTTCCTTACATTTTGCTGGAACTCAAAATCACATCTTAACCCTATTTTTCCAAAACTTATTTCCAACTGTTTTTTCTTTAAATCTTATATATTAACAAAATTTTCATTATATGAATGTCAACAAATGAGCGAAAAAAATTTTGTGACGTACGATTATTTTCTTTTCAAAAAAAAATTGAATCAACAGAAAAAGCAAATGAGCGCTTAGGTTCCATCTCCATATAACCCGCTCGCAGCATTTACGGTTGATCCAGTCACATCCATTTCAATCCTTAAATGAATCCATGTATCCCCTCTGATTTCCTAACGCCAAATTCAAATTCTGAATTCTCATATCCTTTCAGAATTCCTTGATATTTCAAGCTGAAATCAAGCTTACAATCAGCTATTTATGTAGCTTACTCAAAATTCCTTTAGAATAAAGATTTATGTATAAAAAAATTCAATTTTTTTTTGAAAAAGAAAATAAACTGCTTGCCCTAAGGTGGATAATAGTCAAATTTTTTTTACATTTTTAGTGAGCGGAACAGAGACACAACACGCTTTGAAATCACAAGATGCATGGCTTTAATGATTAGAGATGCAATAATATTGCATCTCTTTATGCTCAAACAGATCCTATTCTGAATTACCCGAAAATATTGCAACCGTTATGCATTGCTACCAAATTTCTCTACTGTCCACTTAACATACTCATGCTAGGAACTCCAAATTCTTCAACTATTTACTCTAAAAACTTATAAACGTTCATCCAAATCAAGCAGCATTTCTCCTCGAACAGACATTGCAGAAACTTACGAATAAGTAATTGTTAGTCATATCAAATGATGCTCCTTTTCAGCTACTTGTTTCTCTTATAATTGTTCTCATTAGTAAATCATAACTTTAACTTTTGGAGTTTTCTCCAAAAATAGATACTACCCATATATCCGAGCTACCTGGATGCTAATTTTCTTATATCTCGGATAGTGTGAAAAATTTAATTATAATATCTCATAATTTCCATTTAATAAGTTATATCAAAAATCCACTCCGTTATTTCGATTTTTTAGGTCTTTCTGGACCTTGCTGCATTATTTATTTTTATCTATTTTGTTTTGTTGTTTCCAAATAAATTATTTAAGTTGGACGAAAAGTGGACAATAGTATTGAATATGAAAAGGTGGTTATTTTTGAGAGAACTCATTGAATTCCTTTCAATATTGTCCACATTAGGGCAAGCAGTTTAATCGTATGTCACAAAATTTTTCATTTGTGATGTTCATATAATTTACACTTTTCCGACGTTTTGTCAGGGGCGCGAAGCGACCCAAAAATGTCGGAAAAGTGTAATTCTCAGATATAAGATTATTTTTGCTTTTAATGCCGAACAGCATTTGAATCAAAAATAATCGTATGTCTAAGAATTATTATTTCATATTTTGCCCTTATCAAAAAACCTTTAATCCTCCCCCGGCAAACCATATGCAGAATGTAATGCCGCCTAGAATTCCCCAAAAACACATTTAAATCATCTTTTAACAAAATCTTCAATGTCTACTATAAATTCTGGCATAACATAGTAATTTTCATATTATATACACCTTGTCTTGCTAAATATTTCATTAAATGCACTTCTTTACGCACAATTTTTTTATCTCAAAAATAATTTTAGCAGATGAAGCCCACAATTATATCCAACCTACATACAAAATTTTCCAAAAACTATCCATATAATTAAATATTATCTAATACGTATATGCACAAAGATTATTTCGTAACTCATCGACAACTGCATGTATCAACAAAATCTCCCCTGGGAGACAATGTGTAGGTCACAAAAAAACTGTGAATTCGAATGTTAAAGATCAATATCAAATAGATTTTATTTTATGCAAATATGTTTAATAAAAATATATCAACATTCATATAAATAGTGTATAAAATCTTAATCCGGTGTTTTTACTGTGCAATTTAAATAGTGCAAAATCTTATATAGTTCAATCTCATTAAAGATTGTATGATCTATTCATATCCTGCATTAACTAGCTTAGTCTAATAAAATTAGCCAACTGAACCCCAAATCCAGAACTTATTAGATATCGAAATCGGCACTAGTCATACATTTTGGTGAAAATATCATAGACCATCTAGAATAGATGTTTTCAATACGGTTGGGCAATTCTCAGCCCTCAATAACAGTTATGTGGGTCACAGCAAGTTCAACAATAAAAATTTTTGATGTGCAAAATTTTCAATTGTCGGGAATCCAGGGTAAAACTATCAATCGTTTCTTTAATAGCAATTCTTCAAAATATAGATCAAAAAGGTGGTTTTCATCAAGGAGTCCCCAATGATTCAATAATTGATACAAAAAAATAAAATGGGCTGCTGATCCAATGATCACGTCAATGGATATTTGCAGACACTTACTTGGATAACAAAAGTAAGATGAAAGGAAACACACGAATTTTATTGAAGTTAGTATTAGTTGATTGATACAAAAATAGAATTGATACATTTTCTTTTTCAGTATGCTCAATTCCAATCTTCTTTCAAAATTATAAAAAAACTAATAGAAATGTTTACAAATTTTCATAAAAAGGACTCTAACAAAAAAATTATATTTTGATATTTTCTTCTTCAAATATTACGAATCTTACGACTTGTATCATCCTAAAACAACAGATTCGATATCTTCAATGGTATTAGAAGCTTCAATTTGACCAAATTGTCTAACTTTAATTCCAAGTGTTATAATCTCATTGATTGAGTTAAAAACAACACTTGGATCCAAAGTTTTAACAAAAATTGCTCCACTTTTGATCTTATTCAGAGCGGATACGATAAATTTTTGTTCATGTGATCTGTTTACAGCTCTAACTACTTCGTTGAACAGAGACATTGCTTTGCTGACCAATTCTCCTTTCGAAGCAAGTTTTCCTTGTTTTTCGATTTTGATACAAAGTTGAAGCAATCCGTTGTTGAAACAGTTGATTTCAACGATTCCTTTGAGTACATCCGATATATGCTTGTCAATTTTTTCAACATTTTCCGGTTGAATTATTCGACTCAAAGCAAATGAAAGGCTGTCGTACAATTCCATCTGCGAGCAGAACTCTCTTACAAGTATTTTCTCAATCTGCTGCAAATTCTTGTCAGAAATCGATAAAACAATTTCAGAAAATTCATCTAAAAATTTCGAAACTTGGTTCTTCGTTTTCTGGGCAGCTTTGTCCATGATACTAATACTCTGTAACGATCTGAGGGTCGAATTCGCTAAGTTCTCATCAATATACGACATTCCAACAATTAATTGATAAAAACCATTGAAATCGACCTTTTGAGACACTGAAACATTGAGTAAATAGTTCGGATCGATCTTCTTCTCCTTCCATTCTGACTTCATTTCTTGTACATAGTCTTTTCCGAAGAAAGATTTCTTTCCAGCGAAACAGATTGCGTATTTCTGGACATAGAAACCAGCGAGTTGGACTAGATACGACATAATGATCTCAGATGGAAGCTTTGGCATCGAAAAAACATCGCCAGATTTGCCAAGATTTATAACTACCCAACGGATCTTGTCCCAGATCAAATTAATGCATTGCGTGACTGCTTCAACTGTATTTTCGCCTTTTTCAAGAAGAACGGAACAAACTTTGAAGTAATTCAGACAATTCTTTTCCAAATTCTTCGAAAATACCTTTTCTTTAAACATTTCCATCGCCAAACTCTCTTTATCTATCAAGTCAAAATTATGCATCGTTACCTAATAGAATTCATTGGCGAATTCGAAATGATTATTGAAAATGTACGGTAAAGATCTCCTAAACACACTGGAAGCATAGAAAACAGGGATTAGACTACGCGGGGTCCTTATTATGATGTTGTACAGGATGGAAAGCTCAGGAGAAATCAGGGGATTTTCGAAATCAAAATTCGAAAGAGAGGAAAGGAATTTCGGATAATCGAAGCCAAGGAACAGTTGAGGGCCTTTGTCTGGTGAAATAGCTTTGAAAATGAAGAATAAAAGGTGGATTCGAGGAATAGAAGTCGGAGAATCGATATTTTGGAATTCTAGCACGTATTTGTACAACTGGTTAGAGTTCTTAAGCAGTTCGTTGTTCAAAAACCCTGAAGACATGACAGATCTGAAGAATTTGTAAAAATCTCCGTCCGGCATGTTGATTTTCGTGTTTCTGTTCTCTATATCTATGTAATTCCTGCGCGGTATCTTCTCTAAGGAGGAAATCATCCGTAAAAGTACTTCAAAAATCGAATTCAAAATTACAATTTTTTCATCTACGGAAATTTTGTCAATGATCGACCAAATCATGCTGCAGAATTGCTGTCTCACGTTCTCGTACCAGGAAAACAACCACGTTTCTATCCAGAGACCCAAATTTCCGAAGAATCCTTCGAAAATCAAATCTCCAGCGGCAGGAGCATCAATTGAGAACTCATACACAAAGTTCACCGAGTAATCGTCACTGCAATGCTTAGAAAAGAAGGAAACAAACTGCTTATTTCGTCTTTCTTTGTTTCCGTCGTTTATTGCGAGATTTACGACGAATAATTGGCTGGCAACTGACGGAGAGACAATTTGGCCTTCTTTGTTCAAATTTCCGAATAATTCTTCTTGTAAAATTTTATTATCGAAAATTGTCTTCGAAATGAACCTGATAAACGACTGGAGATGCTTCTTGGACTTAAACATCTCATTGAACATGATAATTTGGAGAAATGCCGAAATAAATGTTGGAATTTCTTCAAAATCTATCCTGGAAAGGAGATTAAACAGTCCTGTGTGGTCAATATCAACATATATGTCTTCGTTTTCATGTTGCGTTGTGTAGTTTTCGAGATCTATCGTTACAAATTGGGATAATCTCTCAGCAACTGAAAATTCTTCACTTTTCGGACATAGTGAACTGGCTACGATGAAAATTGAATCTAATTTGGCCCAACTTTGGCATAAATCAGGATTAATCTTCTCTAAAAGGTCATTTAAGATGTTTTGAGAAGGATTGCAGCGACATGCAGTTATAAGAACAGTTGCATACTCTTTTCTGACGATTTCGCGGTCATCCAAGAGATATTTGAAGTGATCATAGTTTTTAATGAAGCTGTTCGTGATTTCGGACGATGTTTCGAATACAGATTGTATTCTTGATGAAATCGTATGCAATCTGACAGCGTCATTTTGGACTTCTGAAATTATCTCAAAAAATCTATCGAGACAGAAGCTTGGATTGGATAATTCATCTTCCATTCTTGATAGAATTGATGTATAGACCATGTTTTCTGTAACATTCTTCAAAATTGTTTTAGAAATAAAATTCATCGAAGAAACCAACGAAGGATAAACATTTCCTTGTAAAATTGGCTTATTTGTCAAGGATAGTATTAATTCTTCTCTTGAATAAATGATATTTTCATCAAATTTCGAATTTGATAAATAATCTAAGGAAGAAAACTTCGAAATGACTTCTTTCAAAGAAGAACAGTTAAAAAGTTCATCAAACTTCTTAGAAGAGACGGTTTCAGCTGGGAAAATTAAAAGATTTGAATATAATTTTTGTAATTCGAATTCCCAAGTATTTTCAGAGAAAACATCGCTAAGAACTAAGTTTATGAACTTAACATTCTGATATAATTCATAAGCAACGTTCGAAGAAATTGATTTTTCTGATAAAATTTTCTTTTCAACGAAAGAATTCAATTTCATGAGAACTCCATCGCTATTGTCAGTCTTAGCTGCCTTAAGAATGTCATAAGACTTGGCAACAAGGTCTGTAAAACGATCTAACATCGCCATAATCAAATTCATCAATTCCAGAGATGGTTCGTAATAAACTGACCTATTAAGGAGTACATTGTTAATGAGGATGTGGAATATTTCCTCGTGATAAGGAACTTCTTCAATTTTAGGGAAAATCTCAGTAAATGCAGCAAAAACAGCATTTGCGAACTCATTTGTTGGAGCTTTGAATGATATCCTATCAGATAAGCTTGCAGGGAAGTTGAATCTCTTAAGAAATGCTTCAATAAACGTTTCTAATATTTGATTTCTGTATTGACTTGGAATTTGCAGAGAAATTTTGACAACTAGCTGTGGAAAAGTAACAATTTGCATTGCAAATGCTGGTTCGCACAAATTACATAATATACCGATGATATCTGCAAAATTCTGAAGACTCATCAAAATTTTCAATACACTCTCAGAAATATTTGAATGAGACTCCGAAATTTGGCACTTTTCATCAATAACCAATTCTCTTATTATATTTGGTATTTCTTCGATTTCTGCCGGGATTTCGGAGTTCTGAGAGCAAGCCTCTGCGAAGAAGAGTATAGAGGACGGGCTCCTTGTGTTGGCAGCGACCGTGAACTCTTTTGGAGCGAATTTCGACACAATTTCCGGACAAATTTTCAAAATTTTCGCTGAAATTTCGTAAATTATGTCAATTTTTGTGTCATTGAAGTTTAGAACTCCTTGTGAGAACATTAGAGCGGTTCTGATGAGGTTCTCTGCGCCACCCGTTGTTTCAAAGATCATTGGGTACTTCTGCTTGCTCAAAAGCTTTCCAATTGCGTTTAATCTGTAAATGAAAACAAATTTTTCGTCGACATCGAGTTTGGAGAACCAATCTGTATGCATATCGATAGCAGGAGTGAGATTCTGTACTTCGCTGTTGATTGTTGGCAGTTCATTCAGAATTTCCAAAATTATTTCTCCATTTTCTCTCTTTAAAAGCGGAAAGAACTTCGCAGCAGTGTCATTCAGTATAGGTGGATCTTCATTACCATCTTCTTTGTAGAAAGAATTCTTTTTGCACTTGCATTTTTTCAATAAAATTAATAATGAGTACAAATATCCGGAATTCGATGGATAATCAAGACATTTCTGTACTAATTCTGATATATCTGTTGGTGATGCAATAAATGAGCCGATTTCACTGTTGTTTTCTACAGATTTTTTTAATAATTTCTTCATCTTTCGTTATTTCATGGATTTTCTGCTCCAATTTAAGTCTATTCTCTGTAAACTTGAGAGATAAAACGTAATTCTCCAGTTTTCTGATGGATTCTGAAGATAATTTTGGTAAAATTTGAATTAATTTCTCCAAATCTTCTTCTTCAGTGTTCTGAACAACTGTTGATAGATCTATATCAATGTTATTGAAGTTATTCTCGATAATTGAGTAGATTTCTGTTGGTTTTAATCTTGAAAATGAATCAACAAAATTTTTCAATGATTGGTCGGGAAACAAAGCTTGTAAAGTATTGAAATCATCTTCATACGATACATATGACTGTAATTTCTTGAAATATTTGTCTTTTTGATCAATTTCACTATTTCTTAATGCAAACATCATAAATTTGTAGTTGGATTCGTTTATATCTGCTGAATCAAAGTTATCGAAGAAGAATTTGTCTAAATGACAGCTCCATGATTGAATTGAATTTTGATTCAACGTTTTCTTAAAGAGATGAAGCTTAACATCGTCATCATATGAATCTATACAATTAACAAGCTCCAATAACATGTTATTTGGTGCTTGATCAATGATTTTCTTCATGAAAATGTTATCTACTTTGAAATATTGAATATTTGTAATGATCCATTTGACATTTGTATTTAGATAATGTTCTGATGACTTGACAAACAATTTGGTAATGCTTTCTCGTTCATCTGGTAAAATCTTGATTAATGATCGGTAAATTCTTGTCAAATCATCGGGATTTACTTTTTCTGATAAACATGTTTGGTCAATGAATGTCAGAATTGGCTTGAATGATGGAGAAGTGAAATTAATTTGTGAAATTATTGAAAAAATCAATGAAATCTTATGTAGGTTTTGTTCATCAGCGTCCTTGATCATGTCGTTGATCTGTTCTGCATTGTTTTTGGGATTTAAAACTTGAATTAATTCCTCATGAAAATTTCTTTTCTTAAATGATTTAAATAAGTTACATTTCAGACTGCTTACGATTAAACATACAGATTTTATGTAGCCATCATTCAATCGATGAAAATGTTTCTCGAAAATTAATAAAATTTCTTTTAAGAAATCAAAAATAGGATCTGCGAGTTCTTCATTGAGACAATATGCTCCCAATAATCTTTCCACGATTTTAGGACAATGTTTATCTAAGAAATCATTCAATGAACAATTAAATTTTGAAGGAATAGAATCTGTATCTAATATGCTGAGTAGTATTTCCTTGATTAGATCAAAAGCGTTAAAGTTATTGATTCCGTTTTCGCACGATAGGCGAGCAAGATCAACAATATTAGAAACAGACATTATAAAAAAATAAAATTAAAAGATGATCTGATACAGAATACAATAGGCATGATTATTGTTATAATGATAGAGTGACTACATGATCAGATTCTGATCTGATTTCACTTCACAATTATCGCTTCCTCCTGTGGGGAACTTTGTTTGTATGTGAACTATCTTTAGTTTTTCCAGCACATTTAAAACAAGGGATCATTTAGTTTCAATTTAAGCTTAATTCGAAAAATATTTTTTAGAACTTTTGTTTCCATAAATCAAACTTAGTAAAATCTCTTTTCTTTGACATTTGGTATGCATAGTGTTCAGAAAGTTTTTATAAAACTAATTTAGAAAGTAAAATTTATTCGATAATGTAGAACAAACTTATTATAAATAGATTAGCCAAAACTTAAGTCGACTTCTCTGCGTAAATCTTCCTTAGCCTGAAGTTTTGCAAGCATTTTATTGTTGATAACACAATAAACTAATATAGCTACTCCAATTATGATTATGGGGATACTTATACCAAGTGCTATCTTGAGAGCTGTATTGCTATTTATTACTTTGCAATACTTTCCAAATTTAATTGAGTTTGGTTCAGATTGACTTTTTTCAGCAAGTGGAAGTGTCAAATTGACATTTCCCTTGAAATAGCAGTTTAATAAAGTTGAATTGCCATTGAACATTGGCATTATATTCAATAATCCCGTATTTTCAATTAAGTTGCAGCTGTCAAGTAGACAAGATGATCCTTCGGTGTTAAACAAACCATATTTCTTACACGAAAGATGACTGAAAGATGAATAATTAAACTGGATACTTTTCTGATCAGAAGGGAAATCAATTGAAGCAGAGTACATGCCAGCTGCGAAACTTGGACATTGACAATTTGAGATATTTGTTCGCTCAAATCTTGAATTCATAAAAAATCCTTGAGTATAACCTTGATACTTGATCGAAGATGGACATTGAGCAATTGTTAGATCACTGATACTGGCCGATCCATTATCTACGATCCTACAATATGAGAAATGAGCTTCCTGCATTGATGAACAATTGATTCCGCATGTTTTATACACAAAAATATATCCTGTGTATACAACATAGTATATGGCACCAGCTGTGACAGCATCATATCCTGAATAAGAAGTACATTGTGAGAAAAATACTTTGTCAACAGTTAATGTGAAGTTTGAAGTAGCAATTCTAATTGCTGCACCAGATTCACTGACTGATATATCATGGAAGTAAGAATCTTCGACGGAACCAATCATTGTCCAAATATTGTCAAAAGTATATCTTGTACTTGCTTTCTTGACATCATACGCTTCATTTGAATAGTTTAGATCAGGTTGAAATAGTTCCAAACTCTTTAATTCTTTCGATGTAATAATAAAACTTTCTTTTTCGATATCGGAATAGCATTTAGTGTAAGTAACATTGCTATTAGCTACTATCATATTCTCGCTTTGAATAAATAAACATTTCTCGAAATTAATCTTTGATCCAGGTTGATACTTCAAAACGCTTTCAAAATTACAACTGTAGACACTAAATGATGAACTGGAATCACTGTATTAAAGCGGTGAACTTTCCTTCGATGAAATATTATAATATGAATTATATTTGATTTTTTCTGAAGGTATTACATATAATGTTAGCGCTTCATTAAAGCTTTTAGTAAAATTTGAAGTTGCAAGCGATGTTGTAGCATAAGCGGATATTAGAGATGGATTATCAAATGTATTTTCGCAGTTAATTAATTCGGCATTTATTGACGATGAAACCTGAGTATCAGTTGATCTTATAATTCCATCATGTCCGGAAACTGACCGGAGAGCTACTTTATTGAGTGAAATTTTTAAATTTGGCATTTGACCATAATACATTAGACCGCATTCATCCGAATCAATATAGTTAAAGGCAGTATCCTTTATTTCTACATATTTGAAGCCTTGATTTACAATAGTTAATGGCGAATTTTTCAGGCCATTCGCAAAGAAGAAGAAAAGAGCTTGATTCACTTTGAGTTTACTAGTCTCTGCAGGAAATATCCTGACTGGCAAACTTTGAAACTTAGAAATTTCAAATTCATCCATTTCGAACCGTTCAAATTCCTTATAAAATAAAACGATGAGAAATTTTGCTCAATTGTTTTACTCTCTTTCTATGTAATTGAAAAAACTTTGAAGACTTATCTAATACACATTGTTTGTGTAAGAATTTTTAAGAAATTCCATCATTTTTGATGGATGATGTGAGTAAGACTATTAGGAATAACCAAATACAAATAGGAGTTGTTATTGTGTTAATGTCATTTCTGCTAAAGATACTATATTCGTCTTTGAAATATGTTGATTCCCTATCAAATAAAAAAGATATTTCAATTCCAATTGAACTTGGAATGCAAAAGAGAATTTTAGAAACAGATATGATAATAAATTACTCACATAAATATGATACTATGATCATGTATGCTAAATTACATCGAATTCCTCCAACAAATTTTGAAATCACAAATTTTTATTACAATTTTACATTTCTAGAACTTGACGACGCTGGAGTAGTCTCAAACAAAACACATATTAATCAAAAATCAGAATTTATGTTTAATCCAAATAATCCAGTCAGTTCTTCTTGCCTAATTTTACTTCATAGATTAAACCCATCAAATTATTCAAAGTTTAAAATATCAATGAACTTCAATCCATCATTAATTACAGAAATTCATTTTCATATTTTTTTATATGATACGGCATTCCGCAATTTCGGAACAGTATTCCGTTATGTATTCTTTACAAGTTCTTGTTTATGCCTTTTACTCTTCAAAAAGTTTTCGATTTACAATAAATTTCTCAACCTTACTATTATCCTAGCAACGTTACCATTTCCTTCGTTATCGTACACACAAGTTAATCGCATTATGCTATGCGTTTTAATTTATTACTTTAGATTTGATACTTGCAGATATTCTTTTTCTTTCCTTTACCATAATATTCCACCATTATGCTTTTTAGCATTTGGAATGCTATTTTCTCTGTTTGCTTTTTTAGATTTCTTTTATTTCGATTCTGGAGAGCATCTTCTTGTTCCTTTCTCTTCAGGTATGCTTGGTGATGATGCAATCATGATGAAGATTTATCATTTACTTAACATTTTGTTTGTTTTGATGATAATTTCTGTTTCAATTTTAGGACTATATTTACAGTATGATTCAATATATTTGTGCAAATTCAGTATGTTTTGCTTCTACGCACTATGCACTATGATTTTAAGTTTAACCCAATTCAACTAGATTTCTTATACACATGCTCAATACTTCTATCTACAACTTTATCTTTGTATATCACGAAAATTGAATCAGAATCTTCAAATGATCCAATTTCAAGGTTTAGAATATTAAGACATTTCAAGAGGTGTTTACATCTAATAACTATGCTTTAATACTATATAGATTATATTATAAAACTGTTATTTATCCATGTATATAAAAAAATCATATTTTTTCTCTGAAATTATAATGATAAGTGATAAAAATTAGTATGTAAATTAACAAACCATAACAAAAAACATTTAGATATCAAACAAAATCGCAAAAAGAAGTGTGAAATAATACTTTGCCATATCAATTCAAAAGATTTTGAATTGAATAGCGTGTTTTGTCAAGTATTTTTGCAATACGTGGAGGGGAGTGCTTCGGATTAACACTTACTGGTTGATTACTTACTTGTTTGGGGATTTTATTTTGCATTGTAACAGTAGGTATTGGATGTGGTTTTCTTTTGGCTTCAGTAACACGTTTAGCTATTATATCCATAAAAGCTGGACGAAGGACAGCGCCTTTAGTGTCGGTAGGGATGACAAACATCAAGATTTTTGATTAAAATCATACCGTTTATAAATGAGATTTTCAATGAGCGGTTACACTAATTTTTCTATGAAGGTGAGATGATTTTGTTCGTTTTTATTTTCAAACCATTTAAATACACAATCGTCAATTGTTATCGATGTTTTGTTTGGTACAGTGTAGCAGAGTTAATGACTTGATTTTTAAATTGAGTGTTTTTTGAGTAGTTTTAAATCTTTGGTTACACACAAAATTCTACGCACATTAAACAACCGGACGGTTTTCACCGATTTGATCAAAAATTTTCTTTCAATTTTTGAGTGGAATTTTATCAATTTGAATTGAGTTATGTAAATAGTTTTCGGCGTGAGTAATATGGAAATTTATCAATATTGGATTTTATCAAATAAATTCTCCAACGAAAATTCAGTTCAATTCAATTTTACCAAATCATCCATATATTAATAACTAAATCATATACTATTCTTTAAAAAAAAAGTTCAAAAATTTTGTAAAATCGATCATGTCCCTCGCGACCAAACCGATAATTTCTTGATATTAACTGCCCTTGACATTATCGCATAGTCTAAGGGTTTCGTTTTGCGAAAAAAACGTACAATACGCAATTTCGCTAAAAAACATTTAGCTAGCAATTTCGACCTTTGACTCCACTCAAGACGTCACTTTTTTAATTTTGCGGTATCATATTTTTGGAAAATCTTTATGAATATTATATAAAAAGTCTCTTTAATATCTATATTTCATATTTTTATCGATTTTTAAAGTTTTTGCGAAAAGTATTCAATTATTTTTGCTATTTGGTCGGGTAAATGTCAGATTTGCGACATTTTCTGATATGATATTCAGATTCTACGTTGATAATAATGCTTATAGTGTAATAAACAGAAATTCATCAAAAGTGACAGCTCTCAATTTTTTGACATTTGTAAATTCTAAATTGAATGAGAAAAATGAAATAATACTAAGCATAATACAATATTCTAGATTTAATTATAATTAGGGAAAAGTTAGTTTTGAGAGTACTTTTCATAGGCATATAGAATGAAATCTTCTGAAAAATAATATCACATAAACTCATATTATTTTCTAATATATAACTATTTTATATAAAAATCAAATTCAATGATCTTAAAAGCGAAGGATAAACCTCAAAATTTACGAATATAATGAGTGGGAATATAATGCTTATCTATCATAAAACCATATGAAATATCAATTTTTGCTTTACGCCTAATTTTTGACGACAATTAGCAAAAAATGTTAAATGTTAACACTCAGTCCATTTGAATATGAAAAATAAAATTGACTTTGATTAAATGTTTTTATTTATCATGCAATTCTTCTTGCGACCAAAGATTTGAATAAAAGTTCAAAAAATAAGATAGCTTAAAAAATAATATACGGTAGTGTTTACTAATAGATGAATAGTATATAAATTCTATTAAAATGGATTTGATCCAAAAAAATATATAAAATTTGATCATAAATAAAATCGTTTTAAATTACTTCTTCATTTAAATTATAACAATTATTTTTGGTTTTATATTTTTTTGGATCAAATCCATTTTAATAGAATTTATATACTATTCATCTATTAGTAAACACTACCGTATATTATTTTTTAAGCTATCTTATTTTTTGAACTTTTATTCAAATCTTTGGTCGCAAGAAGAATTGCATGATAAATAAAAACATTTAATCAAAGTCAGTTTTATTTTTCATATTCAAATGGACTGAGTGTTAACATTTAACATTTTTTGCTAATTGTCGTCAAAAATTAGGCGTAAAGCAAAAATTGATATTTCATATGGTTTTATGATAGATAAGCATTATATTCCCACTCATTATATTCGTAAATTTTGAGGTTTATCCTTCGCTTTTAAGATCATTGAATTTGATTTTTATATAAAATAGTTATATATTAGAAAATAATATGAGTTTATGTGATATTATTTTTCAGAAGATTTTGTGTTCTTCTTCAAAATTTTATTTTTTATTAAAAAGAATCTTTACAAAATATACATTTACTTTAATTAATATTTAAAAACGTGCTCTATCAAAAGTTCCAAAAATTCAATATTTTAGCTTTTCTGAGGTGTCACTTTTGATGAATTTCTGTTTACAACAATAGAACCCTCTTGCTATTGTGTCAAAATTGCGAAACCGATAGCAAAAATATCTCGCAATATCAAAATTGAGATATTGAGTGAATTATGCATTATAGAGATTAAAAATCTGATTTGTGAAAACATCTCATCAGTTTCTAGCTAATTCAAAAATCTTTACTATCTTATTCGATTAAAATGAAAAGGGAATAGTTTCATTATGCTTTAAATGACAGCCTTATAATATAATCATAGTTTTCGCTCAATATGCAGCATTTTTTTTTCGAAATCTATGGTCAATATCCTAAATACTGATTGCTTTGCATTCATATCTCTTACATTTTCTATACCCACATCACTATTCATTGCTATTCCTATCTTTTTCATTTTTGTTTGTTTCTCATAATTTCTCAAAAAACATGATAACTTGATATTTGTAAATATCATACTTTATAATGTAAATAAGAACTTGACCTATTAAGAAAAGCAGTAATGAAAAGAAAATCTGAAATTCATAAAAATTACAAGTTTCTGATGACAATTAGCTTAATTAAACCAGGTACAAGATTATATAATTGTATTTTCTATCCAATTATCCATATAATATCTTATCCAGAAAAAATAACTTGATCAATACCAAATGATTTTTTAACTAGTAAATAAAGTATTTTCTTTACACACACATTGTATATCATAGTTTTTTTTTTGGTTTCGCAAAACATCCAAAAACAAATATGCTATAAAAGTGACAATTTTAGCAAAACGAAACCCTTACATAGTCCACAAATATTGCTCATGATTTCAAATTGCCCTTTTTACCGAATTTTGTTTGATGTTCTCCATGAAATTTTCGAGTCATTTGCTTATTTTTAAACATATTAATTCCCACTTACATTTAAAAATGAATATTCTCTCTGGATTTTGTTCATATCTACTCATAATCAATATTTTTTATGCGTATCACACTTTGCTCGCCATGCTTTATTGTTGAATAAGATACATAAGATGGCTTTCCTATTCATTTATGCTAAATGAGTGATTATCAATTATTTTTGTTCTTGAATTTTAATAAATATCAAATCTTAACTTATTATTGCATTGAAAACTTTCTGAAATAGTAAGCTATTCTATTTTCTATTGTAAAAAAATCTCTAACCCATATGTGAGGTTTATCAAAAAATGTTTTCTGATATTCTTATAATTTTCTTAAGCATCAACTCATGGATCATGAATAGAAGCTGTATCCATAACAGTTTGTGAGTTTCTGAAACTTAGAAAAGTAACAATTTTTCTCAATTTAGTTGCTTTATGACAATCACTGAAAACATTTATAAATGGAACAGAATTGGGGATGATATTTGTTAATTGGCTTGGATTAATCCCAAACTCAAGCAAACTGATGATAGTGGCTGTGTAGACAATCTCTGTAATTTTTTTTTTGATGAGAATCAAATTGCATCGATTCTTTCTTTAATTATGGCAAAGATATCCTGAAAGCCCAAGACATACCTTTACAATAAACCAGTTATTCATGCTGAACAAGAAAGAAAGCAATAAATCCTTAATTACCCATTTTGTTGTGACTTCAAAAGAGTCTAACTCTTTATTTAGTTTTAAAAAAGTGACATTCATTCATGATTGGATCAAATCCTGAGACGAGTTTAGAAAATCAGGACAATATTGATTTGAAAGACCACAAAGATCATAATAAGGAATTATCCGATTTACTTAATAGTTTTATCTTGTCAGGATTAAAATATGACGATCGAAATTTCAGTAATTTCATTTCATCATTCTTCAACATCATAACCCACACAAATAAAACAGAAGGTGTACGCAAAATTTTACAAAATTTCTTCAATCAATTAAAACCATCAATCTCTCGTCAATTTGAAGCAAAATTAGAACAATCATTTGACTTAGATATGAGAACTATTCTAACAAATGATCAATCTACATCACATGATACAGAAAACAATAAAATTGACGTTTTATCTATTTTGGTTATTACAGAAACTTATTTAATGACTAAGGTTATCATTACCAGTTCACTTCTTTATCAAATCACCTCATTTATCCTTCGATATCCCTTAATTCAAAGTTTGAAATTACTTACATTACTTCATCCACGAAATATACATGATTCATCAGTTATTTTCCATGGTTTAATTTACTTTATTACACATTACATTAATGAATTTCAAGATTTAGAAAAATTTGATGAATATTGTCTGAAAACCATGAAAAATGCTATTTATCCTGTTGAAAAACAAATAGTTCCATTGTTTGCAGTTAAATTAATCTCATTTTTGAAATTCTTTTCACAATTTTCTTCAATAATTCCAAAATTTATTGATTTTTACTTCGAAATCATTTTATCTTTCTTTGAAACAGATTACAGAAGCATTTCCACATACAGAGAGCCGATTATATCCTACTACAAATCATTTTACACTTCAATTTCTTTCATAAAAATTTGTAAAATTTTGAAAATCAATTTTGAAGATTTGAAACAGTATTTAGACACTGAAAATGAGGAAGAAAAGATATCCATTGAATGCTCATTGATCAGACTTAATCCTAGCTATGAGAAGGAGCTCGAAAACATCAACAATTCATCCTGCAAAAGAATTTTTTCTCTTTTGGAAACAAACGAAAATTCTCTTTTGTTTTTAGAGAAATTTAAAACGAAATACCAAGTAGAAAAGAAAGAAATGGTAGATGTACTTGTTTCTTCAGATAATATAGATCTAATCTGCTGGCTTTTGAATAAGCAAATCATTGAAATCAGAGCATTTACTCAATACAAACAAAAAATGGCAGAAATTCTCAAAAATTATGAAAAAAATTATGATGATTGCGAAAAATTTATTACGAACTATATTATAAAGTATTTCGTAAGTGATTCTGAGATGACGTATTTCTTGACGAAGTATTTGAACAAAGAGAAAATCGACTACAATCAAAATTTTGCAAATTTCAAAAAATTTTTTGTCAAAGAAAAAAACTTCAAATGTTCAGAAAATTTCTTTGATCTTTTCAAACAAGAAATATCGGATTGTGTTAATGACTTATTAACGAATTATTCTAATGATCAATTGCTTGTTTCGATTTTGAAACACGATTACAAAAATTTCAAAATTCACAGTAAGGTGTTTGACAAAATTAAAAATAACAAAAATGTTGAATTCATTTACCACATCTTCAAAACTTTGCTTGAACAAAATAGCTTCATAACTAAAGATGAAAATTATCGGGAATCTGTAATTAATCAATTAACAGATTTTGATCCAGAAATTCGTTTTGATTTTACGAAACTTTTCTTTCCAAAGGTAAAACAAAATCTGATAATAAAACAAAATCAAAATATAATACAAAGCCAAAAGATAGGACCAAATCTGAATATAAAGCAAAATCAAAACATAATACAAAGCCAAAAGATAGAACAAAATCAAAATTTAAGACAAAATCAAAATATAGAACAAAATCTGAATATAAAACATAATGTAATACAAAGCCAAAAGATAGGACAAAATGTTATACAAAATCAAAAGATAGAACAAAATCAAAATGCAGTACAAAGTCAAACGAAAGAACAAAATTCGATTCATGAAATTGATATTTCAAAGGAATATAAATATCAAAGATTTGAACATAAAGTCAAAAATTTCATTAAGCTTGCTGACGAAATTGATGATGGAAGCATTGATGATGATTATTTAAACATAAAACTAAATAAATGTTGTTCAAAACTTACAAAACTTAACTTGAGCCGTTTTGTTTATTTCAATAAACAAAATGCAAATTATTATGAATCCTTTCATCAAAACATTTTTTTTAATTCGAAATGTCATTCACTTAACCATTCCAACTATAATGATTTGTTTTCGATGTATTTCATGCATAAAGAGTTTCTGAAAATAAGTTCAGGGGATCGATATTATAACCAACATTACGATATTGATTTGCTGCAATTATCAATGATTAGATTGAACGATTACTATGTTAATCATGATGAATATTTCACAGATAAAATTTATCAGATTATTTCAATGTTGATTGTAGATTATAGAAAATATAATGAAGAATGTTTGAAACAGTTTGCAAATGTCTTTACGAGACAGCAAATACTTGATTTACTTGAAAGAGACAGTAGATCAGCCAAACAAAACGATGATGTCATAAATATTTATCAATTGGCAAATAATAGTTCAAATTTGAAGAATTTTTCAGAAGATTTGCCAATAAAAGTCATTGATTCTATAATAAGCAGGGAAGATTTCGAGTTCAAAGAGATAAAGTTGGATTATTTAATGAAAAGAGATCTTCCTGATCACATTGAAACAAAAATTTCTCAAAAGTGTCAAAAATTGAGAAAAAGTTATTCAAAAGTTTTTCCAAATTTCAATGATTTCTCTGGTATTTTGAATTATTTCATTCGTCCTATGCTTCAAGAGTTTGGATCTATTTCTTACCATATTGGATATTATATCCTCAATATTTGCGACATCATTGAAGAAAAAGAAATCAAGCATTTTGTTCCAATTCCAAACACTTCACTTGGCAATTTTAATGTTTTGAGTGAAATTTCTGAAGAAGAAAAAGAAGATTTTTCTTTCATTAAAACTCCAAATGATATTGCAATCGAAATGTTTAGAAATCATAAAGACACCAGATATAGATCATTAGTATTTGGATGTACTTGTTCATTGCATTTGAGCAAATATTTGTTGATTCATGTTTTTGATGATATCAGAAGTAGAGAAGAAAATTTCAAAAAATTGACAAAAATCATCAATTTCTTATTATCAAAAGAACATCAAGGAACAAATAAGATATTGAATTTTATATTCTCTCTTTATCCAACATTTTATAACAAAGAATTTAATATTTTTAAGAACAATATCATTAATCAAAATGATTTGATTTCTACAGCGATGAAAATGCAAAAATATGAGATTTGTTTGAGACATATTGATAGTTTAGATCAAGGAAATCAACTTATGTTCCAAAAGATCTATTCCAATCTAGATGATTTTGATAATCTTGAATACTTTTATTCATCAATGTTCCAAGAAAAAAATTATAATTTGGTTTTAGAGTCATATAATTCAAGCATTGACGAGAAATTACAAGTTTTGAAGTATTTAGAACATCAAGGAATGTACAATGTACTCAAGTTGTTCTCTCTGAGACTTATGAATCAATATCCTGCAAATGATGAAATCATTGGATTCGTTGCGAAACTCGCAATCAACACAGAAGATTTCGATTTGATGAAAGACGTTTCTGAAAAGAATTCAAAAGATTTTTATAGCAGATTGATTAATTTCATACTTGATTTTGAGAAACCTGATAGTAAATCAGATGAAAAACATAAAGAATATCAGCAATCGTTGAAGGAATACATTGATGAACTGAATAACAAGTATTTCCAAGGGAATTTTAATAATTTGCAAATAATTGAAAATCAAATTTCGATTTTGAGATCAATTTATGATCAACAATTCAAAAAACAATCTGATAATGACTTGTCAACAGTTGTTAGCATAATAATCAATAAGAAACTTGATAGTTTTTGTCAAGATGTAATCAAAATCTACTTCAATTTGATCAAAAAACTGAGAAAAGAAGAATCTTTAGATAAAGCGGAGTTTTATTCCAAAAACGCAATGATTTATGCATCAGAGCCTCATTGGAGTGTTCTTTATAAAAGTATTCAAGTAAGATCAATGCTGGAACAATTAAAAATCAGTATAATGAAGAACGACCAAAAGAATTCAAAAATTATTTCTCAAAGATTGTCAGAAAAATTGGCATTAGAAAAACAATCAATGAGCAAAGAATACATGAAGTTTCAAGCGTTGTTGGCTGAACTAGAAATCAAGGAACATTCTGATTACAAAAAATCTCAACGGCTCATTGAAGAAGGTATGAAAGACGCTGATGAAGAAAGTAAGACAAAATACAGATATTTGTTAGCAACAGTTTGTGACAAATTATTCATAAAAAGTCTTAAATTTGAGTATTTCAAGTTAACTATTGATAATTATTTCAGTGCCTTAGCATCAGAAAAAGACAAAAGGAGATTGGATATTATTCCAAGACTGTTTGATTTGTTGTTTAGAATTGGATCAAAATATTTTTCTTTTTTAATTCCTGATCAAGGAAATAAAGTTGATGATGAGGAAGAAGAAGATGATGATGATGATGAAAATGATGATTTTATTAATAAAGAAATACAAGAGATATCTGACGAAGACAAGAAAAATTTCTACAATACAATCAGAGACAAAATTAATAACTGTACTCATCAAATTTCAATCTCTGCTGAATCAATTATTCCTTTGCTCGATAAAATTTCAGGAAAATTATCAAATGAATTAATGAGGATTTTGAATGAATCTTTTCTTCAAGAAGGACTTATGAGCATTTGGCACTTCTTCATTCTTATTGAAGAAAACGAAGAGTTCAACAATCTAATTGGTAATGATCCAAACACGAGCAGATTAAAACAAATTTCAAAAAATTTGATAGATTCATATCCAAAGAAACCAACGAATGGAGTGTCAAATCCATATGTTTTCACCACAGCAATACGTGACGATGATCCGATAAATAAATCCCTTGAACAGATTCAATCTAAAACAGCAATTGTTCCAACTTCCAATAATTTACACTCTTATAAAATCGATTACATGAAGCGAATTGATAAAGTAAAAGCAACAAGAATTTTTGGAAGTAAATGCAAACCAATGGAGCTGGAATTCACTTCAGATATAGGTGATAAGTACTTGTTCTTGTTGAAGGAAGGAAAAGACTTGGAAATGAGAAAGGATATGAGAATCATGGACATTTTCACGTTTATTAACTCCGTTTTTAACTTAGATGCATTTTGCAAAAACAGACATTTGAACATAACAACTTACGCTGTTATCATCTTGAACAAGAATTTTTCTTTGATAGAATTAGTTCCTGATTCGATAGAAATGAAGAATGTTTATACAGAACTCTATACAAACTTTGTGAATATAAGAAATGAATATCAGAAAAGAATCAAGAACGAACAAAGTTTTGCAGTAAATTCTGAAAATTTCAAGAATCAATTTTCTCATCCTTTGAAAGAATGGTTTTGCCTCCAATTTAAAGAACCCAAGAAATGGTTTTCTGCACAGAAGGAGTACACTATGTCTTGTGCAGTGCTTTCATGGGTTGGAAGCATCTTCCAGATCGATGACAGACATTTAGGAAACATTTTGCTGAAAAGAGAAACAGGTACAGTTTTCCACATCGATTTCGAAGAAATTCTTGAATCAAAAATAGCTGCTGATTTCAGATTGACACACATTATTTTGGACGGGCTTGGCATCTGTGGAGTTAATGGAAGCTTCACTAAATGTTGCATCATCACTGCTAATAATCTCAAAGCAAATAGAGATGCTTTGGTCTCTTTAATGGAAGGTTTCATTGATGTAGAGTTTGAACCAGAAAAATCTCAAGAAATTTTGGATCAACTGAAGAAAAGAGTTGATATGATTGCTGATGATGGACATTCTTCTATATCTCCTGAACAATTGGTATATTCTAAGATATCTTATTGTCAGCAACTTAAAGTTCTTTATGAAAAGAATGGTAATTGGAGTTCTTTTATGTAAACTATTTATTTTTGTTTGTTTTTTAAAAGATAATATTGATATTTAATTTTAATGAAAACAAAATTTTTAATTAATCTAACAGACGACTGTTCTATCACCGTGTCACTCAAAATTGTCAGAAGCTTCATTATTTATAATGAAGAGACCTTTTAATGTTATTGAGTGAAAGAATATTGGCTGATCATCTTTAAAATCGAAAAAATTCACCGTTATTTACATTTACTTACATTACATATCCAAGTAAATGCATTTTTAAAGAATAAGCTACAGCCGTTATCAGATTTGAAACTAGATTTACCATTAAATCATTTTGAAAAATTCAAAAATCAAATTTATTATGTTTTTATTTCAAGATATGATAAGATATAAAGGTTATTAAATTTAGAAATATTTTGTCACTTTTTGAAATTTTATTTTGATTTTTTGATGATTAGCATTAACATTCAAGATTCAGTGAATCGGTTTGATATGTTTTTAGATACAGGTTCAATATTAAGCTTTTTGACATTGGATGAGCTCTGTTGTACAGCAAGTCGAGTCAAATTTACAAATGATTTAGTTTCTAAACTTATTTCACTAACATTTGATGAATGTAACGAATACGATAAGATCAAACTTCTTAAATCAATTCGATTATCAACCAAAGACAAATTACATGAAAACGTCAAGTTATTTGAAAATATTTTAAATGAACTTAACATTCCCATCTTAACAACCTTATTCAATTCAATCAAAACACATTTAGAACAAAAAGAACCCAAAGAATCCAAGAAAGAAGAAACGAAAAAAGAAGAAACAAAGAAAGAAAAAACAACTGTTGAAACAGAACGAACTCTTTTACCAATTTCAGAAGCAGCAGTGAAACATTATCAAGTTCCAAGAGAGCAATCTGAATGTATTCCATTACCAGCTCTTTTTTCTGATTCATATGATTCTGACAGAAGTAACAGTATCTCCGAACTTGAACAATTGTTTTTAAAAGGTGTAAGTCAAGGCGGAAACACGGAATTACTTGTCGAAATTCTGGAAAATAATCCTCAATTTAATTTGTATTGCGAAAATAATAATAAGATGAATGCAATGCTTATTGCAATCAAAAATGGAAATCTCAAAATGGTGGAATTACTTATTGACCATGGCTTTGATATTAACAGAAATAACTCTGAAAAAATTTGTCCTTTATATGCTGCAATTAAAGAAAAAAATTTAGAAATGTTTAAGTTCTTAGTATCTAAAAATGCAAAATTAGATATTCTAATAAAAAATCAAGCAAGACTAATCGATGCTACAGTCATACATGATGCAATTGATATTTTTAAGTACTTGAATGAAGAGTTAAAAATGGATTTTGATATTGAATGCGCAAGATATTCGGCTTTGTATTCTTATACAGAAATGCTGGATTTTCTTTGGAAAAGATATCCATCAATATATAACGAGCTCATCCCAGTAGTCATTTTTCTTGCTGCTTCGAATGGAAATACCCATGGTATCAACTATTTTATTGATAAACAAAAAATACCAATAGAAGTTAGTGATCGCAAAGGAAGAACGCCTTTAATATATGCTATTAAGCATAATGAACCAGATTCTGTAAAACTGCTGTTAAAGAAAAATGCAAATGTCAATATAAGAGTATATTCCAAAAAAGATAAAATCAAAGATGTATTTTATTACGCAGCAAAGTCAGGTAATACTGATATTTTCTTCGCTCTTTACACCAAAAATCAAAATATTGGTGACTATGGCAGACTCATAGCAGCAGCAAAACAAGCCAATAAAAGCGATATGGTTGAATTCCTCCGAAGCCAGCAATGAAAATTATTAAATATTTTTTTATTGCAATATTATTTTCTTATTCACTTATTAATTAATTGATTTTGTAAACTTTATATTTGTCACTTTTTAAATTTATTTTTTTTTAATGATAAGTATTGATCTTCATGATTCAGTGAATCGGTTTGATATGTTTTTAGATACAGGTTCAATATTAAGCTTTTTGACATTGGATGAGCTCTGTTGTACAGCAAGTCGAGTCAAATTTACAAATGATTTAGTTTCTAAACTTATTTCACCAACATTTGATGAATGTAACGAATACGATAAGATCAAACTTCTTAAATCAATTCGATTATCAACCAAAGACAAATTACATGAAAACGTCAAGTTATTTGAAAATATTTTAAATGAACTTAACATTCCCATCTTAACAACCTTCTTTAATTCAATCAAAGTACATTTACAACAAACAAGAGTCAATATAGCCCGAAAATCATCAGCAAAACGAGTTAATCTCTATCAATATAATGCTAGAAAAAAAGATACATTTTCATTTGGCGAATTTAAGTCAAAACCAGATAATTGGAATCCTCCAACCGAACTTGAATCCCTTTTTTTAAACTATGTAAGTGAAGGTAATAATCAACAACTAGAAGAAATTCTCCAAAGCAATCCACATTTTAATATATACTGTGAAGATAATGATCAGAGAAATGCAATTTTGATTGCATGTGAAAAAGGAAATCTTAGTACTGTCAAACTCCTCTATGATCATGGCTTTAATGTTAATCGGGCAAGTTCTGAAGGTTTTTATGCAATACATGTAGCAGCTTATTATAACATGTTTGAAATTTTTAAGTTTCTAGTTTTGAAAAATGCTAAAATAGATATAATAATCGAACCTTGTATCAAATTAATCGATTTTGCAGTTATTGGTAACGCATTTGATGTATTTAAATACTTAACAAATGAGGTGAATATGCAAATTGATAGAGCATCTATACAGTTGGCAGCAAATACATGTTCAAGAGATATATTTGATTTGATATTCACTAAATGCAATGAATCCACTGAATTATTGAAGAAAATTTCTCCCACTCTTTTTCTCCTTGCCTTGCATAATAGTAATATTGATGCATTAGATTATTTAATTGATGAGCAAGGGGTAGACTTAAATGCACAAGATGAAACAGGAAAAACACCTTTAATGATTGCTATTGAAAATAAACAAATAGAAGTCGTAAAATATCTTATTCAAAAAGGCGCCGATGTTTATATTAGAATTAAATTCGATGATGTAAAAGATGCTCTTTATTTTGCAGTAAAAGTTGGCAATATTGAAATTTTACTAGAACTTTTCTTAGCTGGAGCTGAAATTGATAACTATAATAGATTAATTGAAGTAGCCGAGGAAAATAATAACTTGGAAATGGTTCACTATCTTGAAGCAAATAGAAACAATTAAAAAACAAAGTGTGAAGAGATGAGATAATGCATGTATTTTCTATTTGACTCTATCTTTTGTGGTTTATGCGAATTTCTGGTATCTGCTTAAATTATTTTGTTAGAAAAATTTCCGAAAAATCAAATCTAAAAAAAATCCAGCCATGACGCGCTCAAAATGACTTTTGGCCTGAAATCGTTCCATATTATCTCTAAGTGGCCAGATTTTTCCTTCTTGAAGCCATTTTTTTCATCTCGAATTGAACAATTTTGTAATTTTTTTGTTCATTTCCTGATATTGATCAGCAAAATGTCCACATTAACCGTATCATTTAGATAAATAATGCTTCAAGCGTGTCATTTTACTGAAAATGATCAGAAATATACGAAATTACACAAAAGACCCAAATATACCTTTTGAAAAAACATACACTTTGCCATAAACTAAGATAAAAACTTGTTGATATTCCATTTTGCTCACAACTAATCAAAAAAAAAGACTTTTTCATTTTATGAAACCGTTTTTAATTTGGTCGGCCAAAATCTAGAATATCCTGGGTATTTGTATTCCCAGGATCATGTTATGATGAAGACCATCTTCATAGCAATTCTCAATTTTCATATGGATTTCACAAAAAACTAATTACAAAAATCATGCTAATGAAACTACAGTTTACAACTGCGGAAGTTCAGAACAAAACTGCAGAGTTTTAATTTACATGAACAATGGTTTTTGTATCATGAATGAATGCAACATTACACAAAATAGAGTCAAAGAAAATATTGGAGGTTACCGGGTTCAATCAATTACCTCTGATTCATACATCACTTGTGTCAATGTTGTTGAAAACAATCAATCATCAGGTAGTTTTAATTACCACACATTTTATTCATCTACTTCTTTCTTAAAATTTAAAGTAACTTCATGTAATTATATAAGAAATAAAAGTCTAAATGAAGGTTATCTGATTTATTCTTATTCTTATGTTTTCATGAGTTATTGTTGTATCCTTAAAAATGAAATTAAATACATTTTTGGACACATTCAACAATAACATTTGAAAACTCAACTACAGATAGCATTAAATCAACATATACACCACCAACATTTAAGAACACAGATATTTCATTTGAAAACAAATGTCCTCTTTTGAAATTAGAAGTTGTCGATTCATTAAAGTATAAATGCCGTCATTCCACTCCAAATAATGACGAAAACGAAGAAAACGAAGATAAATTTTATGTTAGAAATCATATTAAATTTTTCTATTTATTTTTGTCTCGTAAACGATTCAGAAGTCAAATTTAAAGTTATTTTTTATTTTGCATGTGAAACAATCATCAACCTCATATATCTACTCCATACATATCCATAAGAAGTTTCCGATTCTAAGTTTAACAACTATAATTTTGTCACTCTTTAAAACAATAATAGTAATTAAGTCGGACACACACTTGTAGGAAAACCATTAAAACAATAATTGCAATTTTCGGACTAGACATAAAAATTGAATCGCCTATGTAATCGGGCATTAAACAAATTATTTCAGGTTTTATAAAATTCTGTATATCCAGTTTCTTGAACTTGAAAATTTTTATTTGATCATAAATCAGATCGAGTAGGTGACAAAAGTGCATACTCTTAAACAACCGTCGGATTTCCGGGTGAAATCGTGACACACTTTCGTCTTTCGTAGGCAGTGGTGGTTGTTACAAAAGGTAACTTCGAATGTAGCGTGAAATCTGCAAAAAAAATTCTGAAATTTGAATGGAGAACACAAAAATTGAATAGTTTACGTCAATAAAAAAGAGAAAAATGAAGCTAATGTGTCTCGAACCTAGGACTTAGAGCAGCAATCCCACTGTTTATCCCATTACACTACATGCATCTCTCACCTCAGTGAATGAGATCAACTATATGATAACTTTTCCCCCATTATATTCTTGTGGAAAAGTGACAAATAGCAACTTTGACCCTCTCTCAAATCAGATCATTATTATTATGATTAAAAGAACTATTTGCAGTTTCACGACATTAAACAAGTATTTCGATTTGATAATAAATTAAATATTTAAAAAAACAAAAAATAAATTTATTATAAATTATAAAGATTTGTCGAGAAATTCAGACATAGTAGGGAACAAAGAAGATCCTTGAGAAATGTTGAAAGCTTTGTTTGTTATCAAAATATTTCTTGGTTTCTTCAATGGAGTGCAGTTCAATTCAAGAATGATTGCGTTTGAATCTCTTCTTGACTTCTGGTTCTTCTTTCCTTTCTCCGACAGATTGTCTGAGATAGATTCCGACCTCCTCAGTGAGTAGTTCTTTCTTCTCTGTTTAGATTCCATTGCAACCATGCCATCGATCATTTCCTTCTGTGTTGCGAATGGAAGAATTCGTGGAACAACGTCTGATTCATTAGAAAGAATAGAATAAACTGCAGAAATAGATTTGCAGTCGGTAACTGTAACAATCTGTATGTTTGTGTCATCAAACTGAAGATGATTCAAATCAGAAATAACGTCATCAATAGTTCGACTCCATTCGCCATAATCAAGTGTTTGCAATGTTGAAATACTCGGATATCGCTTAGTTAAATTCATGATAAATATCAAACATTCTTCACTACTCTGTGTTTTTGTCAATGCAGATTTGTAAAGCATTGAAAGTGCATTTTGACATCTGTCAAATTTGATTTTTGACAAAAATTTATTTGACACTTTGTAAATTTGATTGACAACTGAAGAAGGAGAGTTAATTAGCATCAAACAGAAGTGTGACAATGCGGATTCCATTGACAAGACACTTGCTGTTTCAATGATTTCTTCCGGTTTAGATGCAGAAGGGAACAAATCTGGAAAGGCGAGTTTGATTGGACAAACTGCTAAATGAAGTTGTTCATTGTTTGCGATCGAAATGATGTGATCTAGTGCTTGTTGTGCTTCGTAATCTGTTGATGAGTAACTCAAAAGAGGCCTGATGATTTGGATGATCTGTGACCATGCGTCAACTGTAGTTTTCTGTGATGAAAGTGATGTAATGCAAAGTTCTGTTGCACTTGTAAATAAACACTCGAAAAACATGCGACAGTCAAAGAAAGATTTAACGAAATTAAAAACAAAAATTTCGTTGTCTTGGAATGCCTTTGTGTAAAACTTAAACGCGCAACTAACTAACAATGTTAAATATTTGACATCACTAGCATTGTTTGTCAAATGAAAAGTGACACTTTTTGCCACGCCCGTAACAACTAAATTATCATCTTTTTCTGTATATTTTTGCAAATTAATATATGCTAACAAAGATAATGCCGCAATATGTAATGATCTACTTCCCAATACCCATTTAGCTGCAACTTGAAGCCATTTCTCTGGCTGACTTGTTTTTTCTGCAAAATTTCGAACATAATAAGCGAAAGAGTCGTCACTCAAAGGTCCAGGACAAGGAAGACAATACAAATCACACAAAGCTTCCAAAAGAGGATGAGAACCAACATCAGCGAAAATAAGTGCGAAATGAAGAATAGAATATATACTTTCGCCAATTTTCAACTGTCCCGCGTACATAGCTTTAGAAAGTAAATCAACTGTCCACAAATGATCATTAAAATCTTCATTCAAACAGAGAGTAACGTGTAAATAATGTGCCAAACTGATTTCATCGGCCAATCTAGGGAAGATAGAATCGAATGATGTAACTAACAATGTCTGTATTATTTTGGAAACAATCTTAGGATTATCCCATGAGAAAATGAATGTGGGAATGATATCAACGTGGTCTGGAGATTTCATCAATTCTTTCCATATAGAAATGATGGAATCAAAATAATCATCACCAATGGATTCTGTTGCTCTCATCAGTTCTCGCATGAACTGGTAAGGAGTGAAATAAGAGAACATAGGAATAGTTTCATGCGAACATGTCTTCTGTTTAGGAAGGAATCGCAATGATTTAGCAAATGGTTTGATGGAATCAATGATAGATCGAGCAGGAATGTGTAAATTCGGTTGATTGATGAAATGAAATGCGTAACCAAAAACTGATTCTGTTGCGAAACCAAAATATTTAGGAATCTCTTTGTATTCGATATTCTCTTCTAATTCTTCCAATCCTTCTTTCTCTGGGAATTTGGAATACGTCTTAAGAAGTTTGTTCAACATTTCATTCGATCTTGGATGTTCAATGTTTTGATAAACTAATGCTAATAAAATTAATCCTGGACAATATCTGTACAAAATATCAATGTTTTTCTCATCAATGGAGATAATAATTGCGTCAAAGAATCCACTGGCTGTTATCCTAGGCTGAAGAAAACAGTTCTCAATGAATGATTGAATTAATGTTTCTGGCTGGAATTCAATCAAATTTTTCAAACAAACTAAAATGTTGTTTTTCGCTAAAATTTGGATCGCTGATTCATCAAAGATCAATGAATCCGTAAGAATACGACCACATGAGATCAATCGCTTCATAGATGCAATTGATGATTTCCGAACAAATTCTAATTCAGAACTTTTTGTAAGTGACCAATTGACCAAATATCGGAATGAAACTTCTCGAGAAGAAACAGGCCAATCTTCTGCAGAAATGACACCAAATTGGTCGACAATCATATTAATTATCATGCAGAAACACTTGATAGTTTTGTAGTGAAGAATAACTTGTTTCTCAAGTGATTCATTCCATATGATAATTCTCGCGTTATTGATAGATTGGCTCACGAAATAACTTTGCAACGCAGTGAGAAAATTAGTAATCATTGGCAAAGATGATTTAATATGACTCACTTGCAAATAACAGTTAGTCAAGAGCCTGATCATTACTCGCGCTGCCTGTGGTATTAATGATTTATTAACACCAGGTAAAATACCAAAGAATGATGGTAAATAGAAAGGATGACATAAATCCATTGATGTGAAAACAACTGTTTTACACCAATTCTGTTTGTGTGACAATAAAGAGATCAACAAAGAAAATGCTGCTGGTCGAAACTGTTCTGTATGTTGAACATCGTAAAAAAGAGGACATTGATATATTTTGGAAGATAAAATTGTTCCTTTGTGATCGCAATGTGAAGCAATGAAAGAAAGGATCATTGAAACATCGATGTAATCACCATCATCACCTGAAGCTGTTGTTTTAGAGATGTATCCAGGAGCTGTTTCTTCTAATCTCTTTCGAAGTGGTTCAATGGAACATCCAATCAAAACAATGATGATTTCTGCAACAAATTTCAACCAAACAGTCGCGTAATGTGAATTCATGCACATGGAAAGTGAAATAATACCATCAGGAAGTGATAGACAGCCAGGAAAGTCAAAAATTGTTTGATACAATAACCGTTTTTTGACAACTTGTTCCATTGGTTTCTTAAACATGTCAATTGCGGAGTAAATACCGCGATATCCCAAATAACATGTGATCAATGAACATATTCGGTATCCAATGATACGTAACTCTGGAGAACTGGAGATCAATGCCAAAAAACCAATGAAATCTACATCATTTTCTTCATCTTCACTCAATTCATATTTTTGACTTTCTAAAATTTCACATAAAACATATGAAAGAATGAATTGTTTCGGAGAAAAGTCTTGTGGCTGAGTGACAAAGTCCTTTATCTCTTTTATCAAAATGTGAATAGAGTTCTTCTGCTTGAAAATGGTTTTCATAGCGTCAATCGCTGATTCGGAGATTTCTTTATCGGAAACACTGACTAATTTCATCAGAAGTTTGACAATTGTCATGTTTGATGAATAGTCATCATCAAGAAATGCGTATTTGATCGCTTTGAGAACTGTCAAGGGATATTGGTTGTCATTTGGCATCTTTTGACTGTAACTATACGTAAGATACACTTTGTTCACGTCGTCAATGCCCCACGCTTCAATAATTTCGCCAACAGAGATGTCTGACTGGCGAATTTGAGATTTCATGTTTGATATCAAAGGTTCGAACATGAAACTCTCCTCAGAATAGAAGTCTTCGAAGATATCAAGCAACGGTAATAGTGTTCGCTTGATAATTCGATTGAATTCTTGGATATATTGTGGAGTATAAATTTGGGCGGAGTTGTGAAGGAAATCTGGCATGTTTATGTATGGAACAACTTTAAGAAAGGTGATTTTCTTGAAGATTTCGGATTCTTCTTTCATAAAAAGTGGCAAAAAAAGTGTCAGAAAAATTTGGAAGTCTAGAGAGGCCAAATGAAGCAGAATCTTGACCACTGTCTTATCGTTTGGCAGTTTGTGCAGCTGCGGGAACACTTGGGAAGTGAAAAGTATGAAAAATGATCTTTGATCGGTAGATGGAATGGAATTTTGGGGAGAAGAGCGGATGTATGCGATCTTTGAACAACGTGGATTGGCTCCATATCGCCAGAAGATGGATCTGAGGTCTACTCCTTTGCCTAATAAAAATAATCGAAATGATTTAATCGCCCATGAGCCTTTGTCTTGTTCGAACAAAGGAATGATCGTATTCTTTATAAATGTCACGTGTTTGTTGATGGATTCAAGGCCGTTCGCGAGTAATGCGGATGCTAAGAAAATTGCGGCTGGCCCAAGGACTTTGTCCGAAAAATAGTATTGCACGAAGTCATAGAATGACTGGTAGATGTCGTGGTTGTATGGAAATGCGAAAACTATGAATCCGGCTGATTTTAAGATTTTTGAAGTGAGAAGTTTCTTTGATTTGAGGTTTTTGAGTATTGTAAGGACTCTCGGCATGAAATCAGTGCCTAGTTCTGGGTCATGATCTAATCTGATATATCTTGTGATTAAAAAGCCATATTTCCATTTCGAACTGTCATTAAATAGTAGAAATGTTTGAGAAATCAAGGAATAGCTTCGTTCTGAAATGATACTGAAGATAACTGCCCATTGTTTGATTAATACTTCTCCTAGTGACTTTATTCGCAAATTTGTTTGACAAATCTTCAGCCCAGTACGTGCCAAAAACGTGTCTGCGGCTGATGACTTAGATTTTACGGTAATTTCTGTGATTATTATTGAAAATATGAATAAAACAACGTAAATTATGATAATTTGATGTTCTTCGGACTCTCTGTTGTAATGCTGAATCGAATTTAAGAAGTTATATGTAAAACTATTCATTTTGAACTTTAATAAATCTTTTATCAAAGAAGTTAATGAGTGTAAGACTTCGGTTGTTGCATTTTGTGAGATTTCTGATATAACATCGTTGTGAAGACTGCTGAAATAGCTCGAATGAAGTATAATTGAGAAATGATAAATTAATTGTTTTTCAATTTCTGCTTGTGGATAGTTTAAAGCTATTAATTCATCATACTTCTCAAGTATATAGTTGGATTTCGGAATTAGAAATTCTTCTACTTGTCGAAGGAGCGAGTTAAATAGAGAAATATCATTCTCCATCACTGATAATCGTTTTCCCCACAATTATTGAGCTCGCCACTTTACAAATTCCCCCAATTTCATAAATACCAAAAATATACTTTAGATTAAAAATATCCAATTTTCGAAAAATGTAAAAGATTTTTTTTCAAATCCGTTGAAAAATATTTTGTAAAAAAAATATGGCAATGACAATGCATGCTCCTTTATCAGCAAGGCCGCCATTACCACCTCTTCAACCTGTTTCAACATCTCCTAAATCAATTTTCTCGTTTTTAGACCAAGCAATGCAAACTACTTCTCCAAAAGAAAAAAATGATATTATTAAACAAATTATATTCATGTGGAAGTCGCAAAAGCAAGAAATTATACAAACATGGCTAGACAATGCAGAAAAAGAAAAGATTTTAGCAAAATTTAATGAAAGATATAATCAACAAGTAAAAGCGTACGATAAACTCATGGTTGAGACAGAATTTTATAGAATACCAGATTTCATATTTGAAAATAAAAATTCTGATGAAATAATTTCAGATATCAAAGAATACGAACAGTTACGTTCTTTGTACCAGAAAGTAAATTTTCCAGATCGTTTAGACGAAATACTTGAATCTGATCATACTGAATCCGATAAATTCTTCTTACTTTATGATTTATTATTTACTCGTATGGAAGAAACAGTTTATACATACACAAACAGGCTAAATAGAATCCAGGAGAGCATAGAAACAGAGCTAGAACTGAAGCGTAAGTCAAATGTCACGATGGACGCGTTTAGTCAGTATAAACTACTTTTGGAAGAACATGACAGACTTGTTCAGATGGAATCTGAAATGATATCAGACCCATTTTCAAAGCGGAGACTGTCAAAAGACATCACAATGAACGCATTGAGAAAAATGGTTTTGGCTTACCAGAAAATGCTTTATATCAACTACAAGACACTTGAACATTTCCAGCAACGCGGGTTTTACCAAAATAATGGTGAAACTTTCCAACCTTTCGATGAAATTAGTAATGACACGAATTTTAACTACAGAATTAACCCAGAGTATTTGAATGACGAACTAAATGCAGTGAAATCATCAATTAATGAAGAAAAGGACCTTATTTCTAATTTATATTCACAAATTGAAGAATTATCTCATATTACTTTCCCAACTGATGGACTTGAGAAGGCAGTAAGGGTATCAGCGGATTATACTAAGTACATGAAGCAGATTTTCAACCTCCAACGTGAAATCGAAATCAAAAATGAAAAAGCAAATAAATTAACTGCTGAAATTACGACCAAGAACCATGAAATCATCAATATGAGAGCAAGATTTGATCAGGAGATGCTTAGATACAACAATTTGGTTGAAGAACATTCGAAATTATTAAAATCTATTTATCACAACAAATCTATCATTAATTCCTTATCATCCCTTAATTTCGAGTTCGGAAACACTATGATTTCTAAGCCAGATGATGTAACTTCGATGCTTTCCAAAGAAATCGGAATTTTAGTCAATGAAGAGAAGCAGAAACCAAAAGAAGTACAGCAACCAAAGGAAGTACAGTCTCCTAAACCTGTTGTTTCCATGGACAGCCTTCTAAACAGAGCTCCAAGACGTCAACATCGAAAAATCCGAAAAACTTTGGACGTCAAAGACATCTACAAAGGAGATAATCTCAATGCAACACCAGATACACACGCAAATTCGTTAAGAAGGCAAGAAAATCCAGGAGAAAGAAGAATTTTGAATTCTCCAGTGGAAATATTGAATGCATTGTCAACAAATGCGGAGCTAAGTGATAGATCTAATGATAGGAAGCGAATTCACGCACTTTCAGACCAAGTTTTGACAGAATTAAAAGAAAATTTGTCAAAACATTTCGAAAATTACCAAAAGGATTCTGTTGAAACAATAAATCACATGAGACTACTTGCAAACTCTATTCTCGTGAGAGAAAAGACAGAAGCAGGTGTCCAAGCTGTTGATGAAGTTGCTGACATCGAAATTCAAACAGAAGAGGAAATTTCTCCATCTTCAAAAGGAAAGAAATCAAAGAAAAAGTAAATGTTTTATTTTTGTTTGTTTTATTTATAATTTACAAATAATTTTTTACTTTTTTTTTGAAATCATATGCCATAATCATTAGGAATTCATAAGACATGAACACATTCATTAGCATGTCATGGTTTTTTAAGAATCTATGATTAAGATAAAGTTTTATACAAAAAGTATAGGTGTTTTTAATTGCAAAACATATAAAATGCTTCATTATCATGCAATAATCTTTTCTCTCCAATGTTGGTTATTGAAGTATTTGATATGAGTCGACTTGAGAAAGATGAAAACAAAAATTGAATGCCTCAGAAAATGAACTCAACTAGAAATTAATAAATAATGTTTCTTATTGATACCTCTTTAATTATATTCCAATTTATTTCTGAAAAAAAATTCATATGAAATAAATCATGGATTTCTTCGTTTTACTGCTTGAAATAATGTTTTATATTACTCCATTGTTTGCATATATAATATTGAGAGCAGTGCAGGAAGATTATCCAAGCAAAAAATCAATTTCTTGTTACATAAAAATTATAATAACAATTACTGCAATCCGTCATTTATTTATTATGAAGCCTAACATATTTGCTCTTATTATAGTCCATTTTGTATCAGCTATTCTTTTTACAATTATTGGTATTTTACATTTTCGACCTAATTATTCAAATTTCAATTTCAGAGAGTCAATTCATGTTATTGTTAGACGCTTACGAATCTTAAAATATACCGAAATCATGAATTTCGCAATGATTCAATTTTATTCTTTAGGAATTTCGATCTGCAAATACATTTTTCGCGTGTATGGTGTCATAACTATGAATAATATTGCAATTGCATTCGACAAAGGCTCATTAAATGCAAAATTAAATCTTCTCCAGTATAAATCAATCATTTATAACTTCATTACATCAACTGGTATTCAATGCTTCATCATCACAAGTCTATTATGCTATTTAATCTACAAATACTTCCCTTTGAAAGTAATATTTTTTGAATTAAAACCTTTTTTTAGTTTTACATTAAAAACTCATCACATCAAATTCATTTACTTATTAACATTCATATCCATGCTAATAACTATCTACAAACCCACTGAAGTTTCCGAATCAGATTTCATGCAACTGAATTACGTGAATCCGAAAGATTTAGTAACATTTCCAGGTGAGAAACGCAATATTATATATCTTTTTCTTGAGTCCATGGAGTCAACATTTGCTTCCAAACAGTCTGGAGGTTTATTTGAACAAAGTTTGATTCCAAATTTAGAAAAACTCGCGAAAGACAAAGAAAACATTCATTTTACGCATAAAGAAGGTTTCTTTGGTGGTCCTAAGCAGATGGAAAGGATGAGTTACACGGCAGGTGCATCATATTCAATGATATGTGGAAATTATATAGGAACTCCTGGTTTCATGACAACAGAAGAAAATGAAAAAATATTTCATCCGCAATTAACTTGTCTTCCTGACATTACAAAGAAATTTGGATATAATAATATTGCCATTTACGGAACGCAGTGGTCATCTTGTAAGCAGGGATATGTATTCACGTCACACTCTATTCCTTATCAGAATATCATTGATTCATACGCCATAAACAAAACTGATGTTTGGGTAAGAGATTTTTTGATGTTTGAAAAAGCAAAAAAAAAAATTTGGAATTGTCGAAAGAAGAAAAACCATTCATGGCAATTATGATGACAATGGATACACACATGCCTGGATTCAGATGCCATCTATGTAACGTAACTCAACACCCACAATATGATTCGATTTCTTGCTCTGATAAACAAGTTTTTGATTTCATAAATTGGCTGAAAAAAACAGGATTTCTATGAGAATACGACACTGATATTGCATGGAGATCATCAAATAATGCATTATATGACAAATAATATGGCTGATGATGCAAAATATGATCGAAGAATTTATAATTTGATTATTAATTCGAAATTAAAACCTCAAAATGGGACTGTGCGCGAATATACATTGTTTGACTTGTTTCCAACTGTATTAGCATTAGCAGGAGCAAAAATTAAAGGAGATAAACTTGGTTTGGGAACAAATTTGTTCTCGGATTCTTCAAACTTGAATGATAAGTATAATTTTAACTACTTAAACAAGGAAACAATGATGGAAAATGAGTGGTTTAACAGAGAAATTCTTCATCATCCAATAAAAAATCATATCAACTTTGATTTCTCTGTGAAATTCTTTGAAGAACCATCAAAAATGATTCCTTATGGAGATGTTAGATATTTTTAATAATAAAATAAATGTGTTTGTGATTATTATTAATAATTTTTTTATTCTATATTCAGAGAATGAGTATGATAAGGAGATTTTACATAGTATATCATCATAATATTTATTCCGCTATATAAGCTTCATTAATAACGAAGCCTCTTCTTCTTAAGTTCTTTGCATATTCACTATCGATTTTGAAGTCAGGAGGTAACTTCGTATTAACGAAAAATGAATGACTTACTTTTATCCCTCTTTCGATAAGAGTAATTCCGAATTTGAAATAATTATGGATCATGCAATTATAAAAAGCTGTCTGTCCATAATCATCTTTATCATTTATATTTGCGCCTCTGTCGAGAAGTATTGCACAAGCTTCGATACTGTTATTACTAGCAACAAGAAATGGTGTTACTCCATAATTTGCTATAGCATTGACATCTGCACCTTTATTAATTAGCAGAATTAAGAAAGATGTATTTTTCAATTTGCTGGCGATATGGAGAGGTGTTTCACGATTTGCATCAATTGAATTTACATTTGCATGATATTTAAGTAACATTTTTGCAAATTCATACTTTTCTTCTTCAACTGTTCGATGCAATAATGTTTTTGAATTATACAGTATTTCTGTGTTTGCACCATTTTTCAGAAGATGTTCAAAAACTTCTATATTTTGATTAAAGTATGTGATTGTCAAAGGTGTTTGTTTGCTATGTTTTTGAATTGCATTAACATTGCAACCCATATTTATAAGTCTAATGCTAATTTTTGTTTTATTATATCTGCATGAAACATGTAAAAGTGATTCATAATTTTCTATTTCAACCAAATTCAAATCCAATTTTCTATTATTTAAGAATAGATCGATAATTTCATCAGATCCATTTTCCACAGCAAATTGAGATATCGGTTTAAGATGACCATCATCAGAGATATAATATGCATTAATATTTGCACCATAATTAATAAGATCTCTAACAATCTTAACATCACCTGATTGTATTGCGTAATAAAGCATCGGCTGCATATGTGTTTTCGAAATATATCTTTCATATAATTCTTTGATTCTTGGAGGATTATTAATATTAGCACCATGATCAATAAAGTATTTAATATAATGATAATCTTTCCTTAATATTGCTAATTGAAGACAACACGATTCATTTTTATAAGGAATATTTAAATCTGCACCGTTTTCAACAAGAATATTAACAAACTTATAATTACGTTGATAATAAGCATTATAAACAAGAGTTTTTCCTTCTTCATCTTTCAAATTAATATCTCTTACTCCTTTAATTAATTTCGAATAATTCTTCATATTTTGCCGAAATTCCCTGTCTTCTGTGCTGTTTCTCCATAAGTTAAACAAAGCGGCGAGTTTTTCATCATAAATTTTTACGTTTGGTAAATGATCTTTCGCGAAATAAGCAAGAAGAACAAATAAAACAATAGTTATCAAACATAATATCCACTGCCTTTTCTTGTGTTTGTTTTTCATTTCTGTTAGTTTTTTCGCTAAATATTCGAATTGGGTTTTTTGCAAATTTTTGATTTTCATAATTTTTTCTTCCTCAATTTTCATTGTTTGTGTGAACTTTGTCCTGTTTAAAGATTTGTTTTTGATGTAATTAATGGAAAACATGGCGAAATCATTGTAGATCTCGTTATAATCTTTTTTTAATGAAACTGATTTCGAAATCTTGTTGTAATCTTCGACTTTGAAAAGAGATCTATCGTAATAAGTTAATAAATGTAAGAATTTACTGTCATTCGCAATCAAATCTGCAATGAATTCATTTTTAATTTGTGCATTTTGTAGATTGAAAATTAATAACTCGGAAAAATCAAGTCCTATTTTTAGACATGCATAGATGATCTTTTCTTCACCTAACTCATTGTAATTTTCAACACAATATTTGACAAATTCCGCTGAAAAGTCAATGTAACGGAATATTTCAATGAAATTATTAAATAAATCGTTAGAATATGGGTTGTAAGCCATGTAGATTTGAAGGAATTCGGGTATTTGCATTGCAATTCCTATATTTAGCAAATCATCAAGCTGATTTTTTTTAAATAAATGATTTGGCATGCCGGTCTGAAAATATTTGTCTAAAAATTTATATGTTTCAATATCCTTGATAGGTATTTCGAAATTGATCTCGTTTGTTGCCTGATTTAAAAAGATCAAATTTTTAATTGCGTCAGACTTGGAGATTGCGTTGTTAATATCGAGGGAAACTTCATAGCTGTCATTGATTCGTATTTTTATCATATGATTGTTATTGAAAATATTTTGATTCGTAAAGTCATTGTTTGTTCTCATTTTTTTTGTAAAAAAATTTTTGTATCGTAATGGCAAATTGTTTTTATTGAACATATGTAAGGATGTTGTAAACAGAAATTCATCAAAAGTGACACCTCAGAAAAGCTAAAATATTGAATTTTTGGAACTTTTGATAGAGCACGTTTTTAAATAATAATTAAAGTAAATGTATATTTTGTAAAGATTCTTTTTAATAAAAAAATAAATTTTTGAAGAAGAACACAAAATCTTCTGAAAAATAATATCACATAAACTCATATTATTTTCTAATATATAACTATTTTATATAAAAATCAAATTCAATGATCTTAAAAGCGAAGGATAAACCTCAAAATTTACGAATATAATGAGTGGGAATATAATGCTTATCTATCATAAAACCATATGAAATATCAATTTTTGCTTTACGCCTAATTTTTGACGACAATTAGCAAAAAATGTTAAATGTTAACACTCAGTCCATTTGAATATGAAAAATAAAATTGACTTTGATTAAATTTTTTATTTATCATGCAATTCTTCTTGCGACCAAAGATTTGAATAAAAGTTCAAAAAATAAGATAGCTTAAAAAATAATATACGGTAGTGTTTACTAATAGATGAAATATATAAATTCTATTAAAATGGATTTGATCCAAAAAAATATAAAACCAAAAATAATTGTTATAATTTAAATGAAGAAGTAATTTAAAACGATTTTATTTATGATCAAATTTTATATATTTTTTTGGATCAAATCCATTTTAATAGAATTTATATACTATTCATCTATTAGTAAACACTACCGTATATTATTTTTTAAGCTATCTTATTTTTTGAACTTTTATTCAAATCTTTGGTCGCAAGAAGAATTGCATGATAAATAAAAACATTTAATCAAAGTCAATTTTATTTTTCATATTCAAATGGACTGAGTGTTAACATTTAACATTTTTTGCTAATTGTCGTCAAAATTAGGCGTAAAGCAAAAATTGATATTTCATATGGTTTTATGATAGATAAGCATTATATTCCCACTCATTATATTCGTAAATTTTGAGGTTTATCCTTCGCTTTTAAGATCATTGAATTTGATTTTTATATAAAATAGTTATATATTAGAAAATAATATGAGTTTATGTGATATTATTTTTCAGAAGATTTCATTCTATATGCCTATGAAAAGTACTCTCAAAACTAACTTTTTCCTAATTATAATTAAATCTAGAATATTGTATTATGCTTAGTATTATTTCATTTTTCTCATTCAATTTAGAATTTACAAATGTCAAAAAATTGAGAGCTGTCACTTTTGATGAATGTCTGTTTATTACAAGGATGTCAATTTGGAAGAAAAGTGAGAAAATTCCTAAAATGCTAAAAATGAATTTTCCAAACGTACTTTTTTATCTCATTTTTTTGATTTTGAAAAAATTTTGAAGAGAAGAACTCTTCGTTTATGAATTTTGTCACGATGGGTTTAATGTATATTAGACACATGTATTGGTATTACTATTTTTGTATATTTTGAGAGAAAATCCCTCAAAAGTGAGAAAATCTGAGACGGTTTGAGAAAATATATAAACTATTGAAAATTTGAATTAAACTTCTAATTTGGAAAAAAGAAATTTGGAAAGAAGAAAATTCAAAAATCGAGATTTAGACTCAGTATCAAATTGAGAACAAAATGTTTCTTCATATGAAGGAAAAAATTTTCTTGAGAAGAAATAGTGTTTTTAAAATTTTATTGTATGTAATGAAATAAACAAATATTAAAATTATTTTTTGATAACAAGAAAATTCCCAACAGAAAATATTTGAGACAAAGAAAAAAAGAAAATTGAAAAATATTACTCTCCTTTACATTTCAAGAGATTTTCAATTTATTTTCATAAAATTGACAATTTTATACGTTTAGATGAAAATAAGTGATTTTGCTTGAAATAAAAATTATTGTTTTTTTACAGCTATCAAATAGATTTTTGCTATTTTGATTAAAATTTGTTCATCAAATTAATAATTTTTTTCTAAATATCTTAAATATCTGGATCACTCACTGATCCGATGAATTAAACGATAAAAATAATGCAAACTCAACTAAGTTTCCTGTCTTTCAACCAAAAAATATTATGCAATTTAAATTAAATTGTTTATTCAAAGATAAAACAAAGATAAAGTAATTATAATTATCATATACTTTATGAATAACTCTCTAATTGGATAAGATTTTCGTACAAATATTTTTATTAATATCGATAAGAATATGTTTACCTACTATCACCATATGTCGATAAACGAGAGTAGAGTGATTTTTATCATCGAAACTTTTTAAAAGCTGTAAGCAGGAAGTAATAATCTTGTTTTTTCTGAGTTAGTTGTAGAACTATTGATGCCCGAGTTATCATTGTGATGCAGAAGGATATCAATGTACTGACTGAAGGATATGAATTGAATTGAATTTTATTGAATTTCAATTTGATCAAAATTTGTTGAAATGATATGAATGTGTCAACTTCTGTATCATTCTCCTTCACTCCTTCCTTATTCTTTCGAGAACGAAGCTAGCTCAGCTTTCGCTGAGCGAATTGACACTTTTCATGCCCTAAACGTACATATTCTCAAATTTATCGAAAAAATTAATACCACCTAAACTAGTATATTCTTATTTTAAATATGATATTATCCTTATATTCCACACTAAAATTCATTTAAATCAACTTTTAAAAAAGTTCGAATCCTGCGCGTCTCACTTTTTAAATTTTCCAAATGGAAAATTATATTCTCCTAAAGTGAAAACAATTTTCCAAATTGACTTCCTTAACATATGACAAGAATACTATCTGGTTGTTGCATTTCCTTAAGGGTGCGCCCGGGAGGATCATGTAAACTTCAGAATTTAGAACCTTAATTTTTAAGCAATAACTTGGTACCTAAATAGGTAGGAAAACTCTAAAAATATCAAAAAATACAACTTGGCTCCATAATAATCCTGTCATGGTGGCTGTTTGTATCCCCTAGTATTTTCCTCTTGAATCTCTTTTTCTGTCGAAATTAAATTCAAATCTCAGAAGTAGAAGTGAATAATCGACTTATTACTGCTATTATACGAATAAATAAATTCATTATATTATTTTTATTTACATAATATCTGTTTGAAGTCCATAATTCTATAAATTTTTCTTCAAAAACATTACAATCTTGATAGTTTTGATACTGTTTAATAGGTTTTTGGCACCTTATTTAGTATTTACTACGTATAGAGTCGATCTGAACTTAATTTTCGGAAATTTAAAATATTTATTATAAGTAAAATCTGATTTGAAATTTATGTTTAACTACTCATATCTTGCATTATCCTGAGTAGCTTTTGTAAAAATTCATCAAAAAAGATTTTAACGTGCTTTAATTTTTATTTTTTAAAATAATGCATATTATTATATAACTACCATATTTACAAATTTTAGTGCTTTCAAAAATTTAATCCTCCTCCTCTCAAATAAACGTACATCCGGGTGGCCTGTTTTTTGCAAAAAATAAAATTTCATTTTTTATGCTTAAAAAGTCAGAATTTTTATTTGCTTCTGGGATATATGATGGCTATATCAGATGCCCATTCTTTTTGATACTCAACATTAAACATAAAACTTAGCCGTTAAGGCTCTTCTGAAAATATTTTTTTCCCGAAAAATTTTCGAAAAAAATCAAAAAATTTAAAAATCCCCGAATCTGCAGGGATTTTAAAAAATTCTTTTTAGTAAAACTTAAGGATATTGTATCAGATATATTGGTATGGGCAAATTCAATTTTAATCCAATATTCATCGAGATATTAAGTTAACGAAGCTTTCAAAATTGAGAGGGTAATCCTCCTCCTCTCAAATAAACGTACATGCGGGTGCACCCTTAATTTTTTTGCTTCGATTTATAAATCGGCAAAATTATTCCTTGAAATCTTGCATTTATCCAAGCATGGGAGTTATAGATAAATCAATACAGAATCTTTTTCATTTCCGAAATTTAAATTCCAAGCTCAATTTTCATATAAAATCTCGAAATATAACACTTTAGAAACCAACCATTGGTACATTCATACTTTCTTAAGCATTGAATTTATAAAAACATAAAATTATCTATAGAAAATTACAGAAAATATTTTATTGAAATTAAAAACTATAAATATAAGGGTTTACCTCTCTCAATGATTCATAAAATCATATGAAGTAAATATATCCATCCTAGAAATAATAAAATAGGGCGATAAATAAAAAAATGACGGAGTTAACAGCATCCTGATTCTTTATCACTTGGTTTCGCTTCATTTCCTTGAGTAGCTGGTGAATTCTTATGTAGCTTTGATTTGAGTTTATCAGAATTTTGAATTTGTTGAATAATCATTTGAAATGCTTTGTCAATTCCAACTCCAGTGCAAGCACTAGTTTCTACATACAAAAGTCCGTATTTATCTGCTAATTTCTGTCCTTCTGATTCTTCAATAATTCTATCAAGATCGATTTTATTTGCGATCAAAATTGCGAAAACGCCTTCATTGATATCGAGCAGATCTTTAATCCATGTTTCTGCGTCTTCAAAGCTTGACCTGCTTGTAACGTCGAAAACGATGAGTGCTGCATGTGCATTTCTGTAATACATTGGTGTCAAACTACGATATAGTTCTTGCCCAGCAGTATCCCATATGTTAAAGTCGTATTGATCCTGTCCTATGACGAAAGTTTTTGTATAATATGATGCTCCGACCGTAGAAACTGTCGAGTTCAAAAAATTTCCACGTACATATCGAGTGGCTATGCAAGTCTTTCCAACAGCACCAGATCCAAGAAGAACAACCTTTACAGGAATAGATGATGGGCACATCAGAAATTTGACAAAATTGACATGTCAATTATAAAATCTTCCTTTTGGCAACTGACTACTATTTAATGGCAAATTCATTCAAATAATTCGTGTGTTAAGTACGACCTGAGTAATTTTTCACTAATAATTTGATCGCAGTATTTTATTTAAAATTTGATTCAACCAAATTATGACAGATACGTCATTAAGAGTTGATCGTCAAATACGACATAACAAATACAATATATAGTAATGGACTGTATAGCTAAAATATTGTTAGTTGTTACGAATTTTGATAATTTATCTCGTAGGAATTGTATAATCACAAAATGGAATAATTACCCATAATCCTTATGTAAAAAGCTTCCGTAATAAGAAGTCACTATATACATTTCCTCATAATTAAAAATGAATAAAAATAAATATAGGTCTGTATTAGAATAAACATATAAATGGTATATACATTTAAAGATAAGATACAAACATAAAAGATTACGATCACTAAATTATCAATACATTTTCCGAAATTAAACATTATTCAAAAAATTAGTTCCAAAAGATACTCTCTTGTTGATCAGTCATTTCTATTTGCTCCCATATGTCTTTTCCTTGTTCAACTTCCTGCTTTACTTGTGGTGGTTTCACTTGATTTTGTTCAACGTTTTGCTGAGTGTTTGTAATTTGTTGTGTTTCTTGAGGAACTTGGTTAAAATTGGCTGGCCTTTTTCTAACTGACCACTTTCTTAGCTCTGATGTATTCTCGTTTAGAAATGGATAAACGGAAATTAAAGCGTTTGCAGCGGCAAGTCGTCGTAGTTTTTCTGTGAAGCCCAATTTCTGGAAGCTTCCATTTATTGATGATTTACATCTAGATATCAAGAGCTTGAGTTGATGTGTATTAATTGCAAGACCTTCCGGAAGCCATGCAATCCCACAAACTAAGCATCTAATTCTATCATACTGATCCCCTCTTACAGCGAATACTCGAACAGCTTCGATCGCTTCTGTGAAAGTAGCAATTCTGCGGTTCCGTTGATTTTTGCTCTCGCTTGAAGTTAATGCAAGACGAAGGCAATTGTATTGATGCAAATCAGCTTTGCTAAGCAACCACCAGTATAATGGTGCAGCTCCGACTTGCTTTGAGGCATCACCTTTCCGCATTTTCTTCTGACCATTCGAGCCCTCAATTTTAAAAATTTGAAAGAAAAGATTTTAATCGTTTTTTTATATAAAGTGAAAAATGATTTATATCGCTTCTCCTTCGAAATAAGTCCTTCATTGCTTGTTAATTAATATTCATAACGTAAAAAACATTTCTCGCTTTTTTACGAGTTTATTGATCAATGTAATTGAGATAAAAGGGGAAATTAATGCTAAATAATAATTTCATTAGTTATTATTAGCATGGATACGCAATACCACGAATTTAATTAGACAGAATCTCAATTTAAGGAAATTGAATAAAATTTGAAAGAAACGGAACAGAGCTCGTAAATAAGAACATGCTGGAAATAGTGTATTTAAATATATGGAAAAATAGAGACAGAGCATGCTTCTGTCCAAAATTTCGATTATTGCTATATTGCAACAAATATCGCATGAAATTCACTACTGGTCATATTAATTTGGCTGACATTGGAAAATTTAGGCGTTAAGTTCAATGAAAAATATCATATTAAATTTGCAATTTAGAATAAAATAATTAAGCCCCAAAAACCTAAGCTTACATTTCATGTTGATGCTAATTTATTGTAGAAATATATTAATATTTGGAAAATATTGTTTATTGAAAAAAATTGAAATATTTACAAGTATGAATTCCCATCGATTTCATATCCTTCCTGAAGGCAATCCACCAGTTAATAAATAATACAATTGAATAAATCAATATGACATACGATTGCACGGCAAAAAAATTGTGGAAAAAACCGCCTTCAGAATTTCAATGTGACATTAAAATTCTGTCCTCGATCCTTTTGTATTCTTAATTCATTTCATAAAACAAAGTTCAATTAAAAAAAATAGTCGAAAAAAATTGAGTGGTAAATTTATGAATAGTTTACAAAGATATGCCAAAGGAATAAATGATTGTTAATATTCCTGAACGCAACACCAGATTAGAATTGAAAGTTAAGAAGAACACTACTATATACTCAATAAAACTTGCAATCCAGAAGAAACTCTCGATTTCCAAAGAGAACTTAATTATTTATTTATCTGGTAAACAATTATCGGATAACGATACACCGTTTCAGGACAAGGACGAAAACGATGTTACTTTAACTGTTTCGATCTCAGATTCACCAGAAAAGAAAGAACCAGCAAGTTTCAAGTCTGAAATCAAAGAATCAGACATAAAATACTTCGATAACCTCGGATTCTCACCATGTGTCATTACGAATGCCATAATCACATCACACGGAGATATTTCTAAAGCATCAGATTTATTATTTAATAGTCGTACTGTCAAAGTCGTTTCTGTCATGCCAATTGACACAAATACGAACAGTACGGATTCACCGAATCGTTCAGACTCAGAGAATTCATCATCTGACAATGTGGAGAATACGATCAATCTTTGTTCACTTATCAACCAATATTACGCATGCCATGGTGATTGGCAATCTATCCAGCATCAATTTCCTACGATTCCAGTGAGTACTCTTCACTTCATTTTGTATTGGCTCTCTTTCAATCTCCAGAAGTGTCCACAAGTCTTTGACTTGTCCATTAAGACATCCAAAGTCAAGAAACTTTTCATTTACTTCCATCAAGGTGTAAAAGTTGAGAATCTTTGCAAACTGATCCATATCCGCGACGTTTCTCTTTTACGAACTTATTACGACATCATTACACGTTGTATATGCGAATGTGATTCATTGGAAACATTTTCCAAAGAAAACCCAGATTCCAAAATTTTCATTACGAAATTCGAAAAAATGATGGACCAAATCGAACATTTAGTTACAAAGAAGAAAGAAGAGAACCACATTCTCTCATTTTATCATAAAGAATTCGAAGTTGTTTCATCACCAGAAGCACGAGATATTGAAACAGACATCAATGGCTTTTTCATTCTTCCTAATCACGTCATCAACATTCCAAAGCTTGTTTCATCATTTGTACAGTCAGGATACTCAGAAAAGTCACTTTTGCTTCAATATCCTGATTTTTCACTTGGATATTTAGTTTATTTGCTTTACTTAGTTCATTTGGGATTTGACACAAGAAGGAGAACAATGAACAGCTGGCGTCCTAAAGAACTTCGATTCCTTTTGGAGCAAGGATACGAAGGAGCATCAGTTCCACAGATGAAAGAGTTTTTGGACGAGAAAGATTCAAATCAGATATCACAGAAACTAAAACTAGTCAAGAATTGCATCAAGAATTCAACAAACTTTTCGAAATTCTGTTCTCAATTCAAAGATTTCGTTGTTCCATCAGATTCTTCATACGACGACGACGGTGTTCCGGATTATTTATATAAGTTGTTTGACGAATTTTCTCATCAAGACAAAGATATCTCTGTTGAAAATTCTCTTGGTGCATTGACTATTTTACTTCCTGACAAAATCCCTCCATGCAACGAAATCATTTTTGATCACAAAGTTCATATTTAATTAATTTACTTCTCTTGTTTGTTTTAAATATCTCTTTTTATATTTGTTTCAAAAACTCTGACCTTGCAAGATAATTTGATGGAACTAATTATGTCGCTTTAAGGGTGCACTTACTACTTTCTGACATTCTCAAATATTATATCACAATTTTTTATGGAAAAAAAAGCTAATATTTTTGATCGGGAAAGAATTATTATAAATCATTACTTAGTACATCATATAACTTTTATACCTTTTTGTTATTAAAGTAAAGATATATTGATATTATTGCAGCATATCAGAATGTTGTAAGTGAACCCTTAAGTAATTTTTTATCTTTAGGGTGCACTCACTACTTTCTGACATGTTATGAAAAAAAATCATTATATCTTTATTTTTAATAGCAGAAAAGTATAGCAGCCATATTAGGTACTATATAGGGATTTATATTTACTTTCTCCTGACCAAAAATATTAACTTCTGACCTTTGGGCATTTTTTAGATGGATGTATTATTTCTTTTATATTTTTTGCATCAGCAATTGTTGCAATACTTTATTAATGGCTTTGATTATATATAATAGTCAACTCCAAACTTTTTCAAATACGCAAAATACGTGCAGATTCAATTTTGAATAATCGTTTTTGCGAGTTTTTTGCGCCCCATTTAAAAAAGGGGAATATATAGTTAGAAATGTCAAAAAAAGATGTATGAAAGTTGTAAGTACACCCTTAACAAAATGAAGATTAATAAGAAAAGAAATATGTTAAATGAAAGATTTTTTTAATATAGACATTAATTAAATTGTTTTTCTCTTCTTCGTTTTCTTTTGCTTCGAATTCGTCTTTCGTTGGAATAGAGTTTAATAAAGGACATTCATTTATATCTATGTTCTTAAATATTGGATCTATAGCATGTTCATATGATTTATTGCTATCTGTAATTGAGTTTTCAAATGTAATTGTTGATTCTGCATAAAAAATGTATTCAATCTCATTTTTAAAAATACAACAATAACTCATGAAAACATCAGATCTTCCAGAATACATCAGAAAACTCCGATCCTCTGGACTTTTATTTCTTATATAATTACATGAAGTAACGTTAAATAATGTTGAAAAAGCTTCAGAAGAGTGGTGATTAAAATAACCTGACGATTGATTGTTTTCAACAACATTGACACAAGTGATGTATGAATCAGAGGAAACATATTGAACTACATAACCTCCAAATTCACTTTTGACTCTATTTTGTGTAATGTTGCATTCATTCATGATACAAAAGCCCTGATACATGGCAGTTAAGCATGTACTGTCTTGTTCTGAACTTCCGCAGTTGTAAACTGTAGTTTCATTAGCATGATTTTTATAATCAGGTATTGGTGAAACAAATACGGCAAATGATATTCCACTCCCAGTGCATGTTGAGTTGATGTATGAATTTTTTGTTTGGACAAATTCGCCTGTGTCGCCAAAGAAGAGAGAACCTCCATTTTGTGTGGAGGAACATGAATCAAATTTGAAAAGTAGAGAGAACCCCCATATAGTGATTCAGAGGAACATGAATCAAATTTATTTGTTGTTGCATATGCTTTGACATCATTTTGATATGTTGTAATACAAACGGCACCATTTGGATGACATTCAACAAAAAAGCAACTTGAAATGAAGTATTTTAAGTTGTTATTTCTCGAAAATACATCACTCTTGTTAATATATTCTTCATTGCAGGATGATCCTGGGAAGATGTCTTCCCAGGCTCCCGAGATAAAATTTAAAAAAAAGTCAAAAATTTTATAAAAAAATAGTTGTGACACTTTTTACGGGCTTATAAATAAGCCCGAAAAACTATCAAGCAACTATTAAAATATATATATTCACTTTTTAATCGTCGTCCATCCTCTCAAAAAGTGACTAATATTTTTTGAAAATTATTGCTGTTGACATGTGATTAAAAAAATTAATCAAAATGATGAATGCCGCTTTTCATTTTGTAATTTCAAGGGGCCACGGTATATTTTCAATACTATTCAAAAATTGAAATAAAAATTGAGAATTGTCGTTATCGTCTTTATCTTGAATCGATTTTTTGGAACTTATTCCTTGACAAAATCCAAAAATTATTTTACAAACAGAATATAAATATGACGTAGATTTATGATATATGATTAGATATTGATCATGACATTAGTCTTCGTTTGTCCGGACAGTGGACTCTCAAATTTTTTTTAAACAAAGATAAAATGACAGTAAACCATTTCAAGAAAAGAAAGTAAACGATGTCATTTTAACTATATCAGATTTACCTGAAAAGAAAGAAACAACGTGTTTTAGATTTAACGCAACGTTTCAAAATTTTTTGGGTTCAAAAATTGCTGACGGGACAGCTTCAGATCAAATGATAGATTTTAAAATGCACATGAAAATTGTATCGGCTACTTTATTTTTGACACAATGGCAAAAATATAATAATGTTTTTTTTAAATCTCACAAATGAGTACGATAGAATTTACAAATTCCCTCAAAAACGCAATTTGAACCAGTTAGATAATTTGAACCATCACAATTTGGAAAAATTACCTAATTATGCCTACAATATTTATTGATATATACATGACAAAGCCCAATCATTTATAATATAATACAGATAAGCTAAGCTACTAATCTTATGGAAATACAATGTCAAAATTCCACTTTCTGTCATCATCTCAAATTTTCTGTTTAAGATTTTAATTTCTTTACATATTCACGCCTATTTTTCTCTTTTTGAGAAGTTGATGTAAGCCACTTTTCATTTGAGCTATTTTAGAGTGAAAAAAAAAGTAAAAAAGACGATCAAAATTCACTCATTTTTCCAAGAGAAGCGCAGGAGCCTAAGAATGAAAAGCCGGCAATAGAAAAATACATACCAAATCAATCCAAAAAAGTGGAAAATTGAGTGAATTTTGATCGTCTATTTTACTTTTTTTTCCACTTTAGAATGATCCCTATTTCTAATCTAACTATATAAAAAGTAATTAGTAAATTTGAAAAATACAAACAAATCGTTTATTTTACAAAGGATGTTGAAATTCCTGCAGGATATCAATAGTAGGAAGTTCCTGTACTGATTCAACATTTATTCTGATATTTCTTCGTTCTCGTTCAGATGAAAACTTACTCGGAATTTCGATTCCTTCTTCTGTAGTCAATTCTCTTTCTTCAACACTTTCGTTTTCTTCGTTTTCTTCAATTGTTGTTTCAAGGTGAGGAACAATCAAAGGTTCTGGTCTCAAGTCCGAAAGATCTCTCTTCTTAACTATTTCTTGTACAGGAATATCTCTTGTAGCTACTGTATACGCCTGAGTTGTTTGTTCATCATTGATTTCTGTCTCTTGATTGACAAAAATTTCTTCATTTTCTTTTACTTTTTCATTGATTTTTGACAAAACTTCGCATTCATCTCTTGTTGCATATTTAGGAAAACTGTTTTCGTAGTTGTCTTCGTACAAAAAGAATGGTTTCGTAAGAGGAGAATCAATAGAACTATAGCTTTTCTTCATCAGATTCTTTGCTTCTTCTGATTCTTCTTTCGAAATTCTTCCACTTTGAACAAGTTTTTCAACATCTTTGAAAGGAAATGTTGTTTTTATTTTAGATTTACATGCAACTTTTAACAGACTCATAATTGATGGAAAAGTAATTGGAGACAATCCATCAATGCAGAACTCTTCAATATGTGTTTTCGCACTATACAATTTCTCAATAAAAGCAGCACCTTTGTTTCCAGCCCTTGAGAAACTGACATCTAAATGTTTCAATTTCGGACAACTCGCAGCAGAAACTAAAATGTTTGGAAGCAATCTCCCGAGATAACACTTGTCATTTCCTCTGATAATCAAAGTAGACAAGTTACTCGGTTTCGATTCTAAGTAATTCAGCAGATTAACTGCAATTTTCGACTGTTTTTCGTGGAAACAACCGGCCAAAGCCAAAAATTGCATTTTTTCATTTTTCTTGATGAAATCAAACAAATTCATGTTAATTGGATTGTCATTCCATGTCAATGACTGTATTGATGTGCATGAGCTTCTCGACATCAATGTTGTCACTGCTTTCATCTCCTTTTCGCTGCAAACTGCACCAGAAAATGCAATTTTACAAATTCCTGGAGAAACTAAAATTTTTCCAACCAAATTTCTAAATGTGTTTTCACTCCATTGAACGGAATTAGCTGCGAAAGAGAACAGTTTAGAAGGAAGATTGAATCCGGCAAATGGCATTAGTGATGCTTTGTTTCTAGAGACATTTATCACCTTCAAACTTTCGATTTTGTACTTTGAAATCGAAAACAAAATGTCGTAAATCTCTAGAGAGCAGTTTTCAAGAGAAAGAACTGAAACATCATTGATATTCTCCATCAAAAGGTCTAAATCAATTCCGGAACAGTTGTCAAGTGATAAAAACTTCAGAGATAAATTTATGTTCAATTTAAAGAAATTTTTGTAGAAAAACTGGGGAATTTGAGTGTAACAAAGTCCTAAAGAAGGTAATTTGAGCCCAGAAAATAGATTGTAGATGGAGTTTATTGTTTCTTCTGTCAATTTAAGTTTGTCAAATGTAATTCCTGAAATATGTGTAGAATGCGATGAAAGAATCGATTCTGTGAAATGTTTGATGTTTGTATGTGTTGATGAGATAAATTCGATGTGTTGAAAATGACGAAATAGACTCGAAAGACGTGAAAATTGTTGTGATAAATTAGAATATGGGAAATCGTGTAAAACAAGTTTGTTTATCCATGGAATGATTTCGGTACTGTAGATAATGGAATCTAGTGAGGAAATTGGATCGGAAAAATAACTATTATCAAGTGTTGTTCGTTGGCGACTTAAAATGTCAGAAAGAATAGAAATATTATTTGGAGAGACTGATTTGGAGTGAATGTGACAGTATTCGGAGTATCGAATGAGTGTAGACGGACCTGATTTTGAAAATTTGACTTTATTGAAGTGATTTTGATTAAGATTGTGGAGTTCATCTGGTGTAAAGATTTGTGTGAGACAGAAATCGATGTTTTTAATAATGTTTTCGAGGTTGTTAGAAGAAATAAAAAATTCAAAACGAGGAAAACGAATGTCGATGTGAGATTCTTGTGGATTGTAGTACTTAATTTCTAGCCATGGAAATGTGAGCGAGATTTTCATGAGAATTGAATTGAAAAAATACAAGTTGTAGTCTGTGAGTAAAATAATGGACTGAGATTTGTCAACTGATATGGAGTTCTGGTAGCACACATCTGAATATATGACATTATGTCCTGTAGAACTTACAATTTCTCGAGCTTTTGATATTTTCTCTTCCATTCTTTTTCCCCCTTACGTTTAAACGATAGAAAAATTTTATAAAAGTGACTAGCTTCAATTTTGATTACACATTCTAAAAATTGTTAACACTATTCACTTATTATTTATTATTAATTTTTCGAAAATTTTTGACGTCGTTTTTTCTCAAAATTTATCTCCGGATCCTGGGAAGATGCCTTCCCAGGATCAACATATAGTGAAGAATATATTGACAAAAATGGTGTATTTTCGAGAAATAACAACTTAAAATACTTCATTTCAAGTTGTTATTTTGTTGAATTAAGTCCAAATGGTGCCGTTTATATTACAACAAGTCAAGATGATGTTAAAACATATGCAACAACAAGCAAATTTGATTCATGTTCCTCCACACAAAGAGGAGGTTCTCTCTTCTTTGGCGACACAGGCGAATTTGTTCAAACAAAAAATTCATACATCAACTCAACAAATACAGGCGATTATGGAACATCATTTTTTACATCTGTTTCAGCACAACCTAATTACAAAAATCATGCTAATGAAACTACAGTTTGTAACTGCGGAAGTTCAGAACAAGACTGCAGAATTACAACTATCATGTATCAGGGCTTTTGTATCATGAATGAATGCAACATTACACAAAATAGAGTCAAAAAAGATAGTGGAGGTTACTGGGTTCAAGAAATTACCTCTGATTCATACATCACTTGTGTCAATGTTGTTGAAAACAATCAATCATCAGGTACTTTTAATTCCCACAGATCTTCTTATTCTTATTCATCAAAATTTAAAGTTACTTCATGTAATTATATAAGAAATAAAAGTCCAGAAGAAGGTTATCTGATTTCTTCTTTTTGTGATGTTTTCATGAGTTATTGTTGTATTCGTCAAAATGAAATTAAATACATTTTTAGGGCATATTCAAAAACAATAACATTTGAAAACTCAGCTACAGATATCATTAAATCAACAGATACACCACCAATATTTAAGAACACAAATATAAATGAATGTCCTTTATTAGACTCTATTCCAACAAAAGACAAATTCGAAGAAAACGAAATAGAGCAAAACAATTTTATCAATATCTATATTAAAAAAATCTTTCATTTAAAATATTTATTTTCTTTTTCATCATCATAGCAGATTGTGATTTTTTGATGTCAGAATTACTTTAGTTCATTTTGTCATGAGAGAATCATATGTAAAGTGAGAGACACTAAGGCCTTGCAGTGGCGACTTTTCGAGTAAAGTGTTGTATATTTTTGCATATATTTTAGGTTGAATATAAAAGGTCAACTACTAATTTGGGTGAACACATACAATGATCAGAATATCGAGTATAGAATAATAATGAATCCTTTATACAAAATACAAGATAAAACAGAATTTAAAATAATATGTTTACAAACAAATAAATCAGAATAATATGTGATTAAAAATAAATCTGTGATAAATATTTTTCCATGTTAAAAATGGATTTCTCGGAAGCAAGATGTGTTCGAACGTTTTCGTATTCTTTCCACTTTTGCGGTGGATGAAACTCAACAGAATCAATCTGGCCGAAATTATTCTTGTATCGGTGAACACAGTAGTATTTCAATGCACGATCGTATTCCTTAAGTTTAGACTTAAGTTTGAGTTTGAAAAATAAATGAAAAATGAGAAATTTCAAAATGTAGAAAAAGAAAACAAATGATGATAAAAATGTGAGGAGAGAAAGGATGAAAACAATAGATGTTTGGATTCGATGTACTGTAGAATCACTAAGATGAACTGAAACTGGTAAAATAAACTTACTCTCATTACCAAAAAATCTGAAAAATGTATGTGAACTAGAAAACGGTTCAAATGAATACATTAAAAATGAAAAACATGTCTTAGTAGAAGAATGCGGTTTCAATGTGGATGAAAATGAACTGTACGAAATGCCGTGGATACGTTCAAATCGGATGTTACGGATATCAACAATTTGATTCATGTCATTTCGGATGAAAATACATTTCTTCCATCCAAAAAGAGATTCGTTATCTCCATCTTCAAATGATAATTCTTCAATATTAAAACCATTTGAATCTGTAAATGAAAGATATGGACGACGACAAAGACTGTAGATGTCGATACGGCCTGAATGTGTACTGTTAGTAACAACATTGATACTAATAGAAAATGAGCCTTCGCAATGACATGTAATGTTGAAATCAAATGTAGAATTTCCGTGACTACAAACAAAAATGTCTTGAAAAAAACTTAAAAAATAACTTGAATTATATTCTTCTTTGTTAGATAATGTGTAATGAATGGGTAAATCAAAGAAATTCTTCAATGAAACTGAATGTGATGTCGAAATCCGTGGATGCGTATTCAACAGTTCGACACTCACTGTTGGAAAAACAACAACATTGATTTTGAATGAAAATGTTTTCGAAATAAAAAACAACTGAAAGAACAAAATGACTGTTGTCACGGAAAGTGCCTGACCATGATCGACGAAGACTGTCGAAATCAGTCATGTTGCTGATCATGGAGTAGAATTCTGGGAAGAATGATTTGTCTAAACAAAAATCAATATCACAAACAGAAATTTTTGTTTTCGATTTTATTGAAATTGGAAAACTTGTATTAATAAAATGATTAGATGAAATATTGGAAAGTGAAAAGGCATAATTAGTGTTTTGTATGATTTGTATGAAACCTGAATAAGAATTACCTAAAATAAGTTGGTCATCAAATGTACTAGAAATAATGAAATCGCCTAAAACACCTGTGAAATTAACAAATAAATAATAAACATCAAAATTTGTAATCAACGAAATAGAATTTTGATGTTGATTTTCATCTTCAATATCGAACGAAATATTTATAGGAACAACAGCTGTTTCATGTGGATTGATACATATAGGTGTATCGCATTCAACAGATAAAAATCGATCACAAACAACATGTTCAAGAGTAATTAAAAAGTTGTTTTCATTTCGAATTGAAAAATTAGTAGAAACAGTGCAATTCATTGGAACTTTCTCGAAACAAAGAAGATTGTTGAAGATTGTGCATTTTCCTTGATAGAAATTGATGCTCTTCTTAACTTTAATACCGTCGAAATGAACAAAAAACGAAACATCTAATTGTGATCTAGGAATTTCTCGTTCTAAAACCAACAAAAATGAAATATTCTCATCAAATGAAACAAATGATGGCGTAAACTCAGAAACACTGAATAAATGACCAACAACTGAAATCCCTGATACAAAAATTCTCTCTTTGTTAACATTACGAACAGAAACACGTTTAACAAAAATATCATCTATTTCATCAATTTCTTCATATGAAATATCAATTTGTTTCGAATGATATTTGTAATGGATTGGAATTATCAATGTTTTACTGAATTTCTGATTAATTGTAAGTGTAAGTGAAACAAATGTACTGAAATCATATTGAACATGTTTAGTATTTCTGATATTGATTGCATCTACTGTGTTTCCACTTTCAACACGTGAATTTATTTGTGTAATTTCAAAATAATTTGAAAGGTTGTTGATATGGAACTGTGTGATAGATGCTGTATCTCGGTACCCATTGTATATCTGAATAATCTTGTTTTCTTGTGAATTATTATTATCATTTTCGAAATGAATAGAATCATTAACAGATGCAACTGCATTCTCAAGGATATGGATATATAATGGAATTGTGTAGTGAAATCCTTTGATAAAATAGTTTAAAAACGTTTGATAATCTCCTTTGTCGAGATTTGAAAAACAAAGCTGTATTCTGTATTGAGAGATGCGCGTTAATTCAATATTGAACAATGCATTGTCGAAAACTATTGATTGGTTAGGAGTCCCTTCGATATCAAATTTTATGAATAAATTTGTACGTGAAATTCGAAAAAAATGATCTTGTTGGACTTCCCTTATATGAGAAGTATATGATCTGTATGTAACTGGTATCTTTATTAATTGGTCAGGTGTTTTTAGAAATATTGAACAGGAAAAGTGGCCAATTTTTGATGGTATCAAATAAGAAATTAGTGTCGATGATGACGTATGAATTTTATCGAACTGTGTAATTTTTTCGAAATAAATATCTTTGGAATCTGAAAAAACTTCTAGTTTGTGTGGATTTAAATTGAATATTGATATATTTATCGGCGTTAACTGCCATTGATGTATGTTTAGTCCGTTGACAAATGGCGGATTTACGAATTTCACATTTTCTTCTTGATCTATTGGGTCAAATTGTATTGAATTTCTGTAATTTTCTGAAAGGTAGAATGCTGTGGAGTAATCAAGAGACTCAAGAATGTCGTAGGAACAATTAAATTTTGTTTCAGCTAATAAAGGTAAAAATCGAACCTGAAAACCAGTTTTATTGAAATACCGTGTTGTTCCTGGAAACTTCAGTCTCTGCTGCCTCGCGTTTATTATGTGAGGCAGCAGGAAAAAAATCATAAATTTAATAAAATTAGTCACTTTTCTATCATAATGATAAGAAATATCAATAATCATCAATCATGAATATGGAAAATGACTTAAAGACAATTTTTCTAAAAAAAAAATTTGATTAAAAAATTTAGATTTTATTCATATCTTGGTAAGGCTAAAGTGGTGCAAACTTGGATGCATATGCATGGGTATGCAAAATATTCCAAAAACATTGTACCTTTTGGTAAATTGAATTTGAAATCTTCAGTAAATATATCGATATATAACGTGAGTGAATCTCCAATGAGAGTTGAAGACCAGAATTTACTGGAAAGGGAAGTCTAAATGTTCCCAAACTGAGGGTGGAGCTTAGTCATGTTTGAGAAATTAAGATTGACTTTTGAATAAAATTGTATTGTATACAATGCTTCCATATTAATAGAATTGCTGTGATTGATGTATTTTAATTATTTTTCAAAAAGTGATAAATTTTATGGAAAGTATTTTTATAAAATATAATATAAAACATAATACAAAACATATTGTTATAAGATTCAAATTGAATAGATTCTCAAAATAATTGAGAACTTATTCAGAAAAGATTAGACAACTTAGTGAACATAATCAATAAATGAAATATTTGGTATTGGTGCTGGGAAACGCCCTGTGAGAGATGCAGTAACACCAACTTTGATAGCTTCAATTGAAAGAGGAATGTCAACATCGAAACTTTCAGTGTGATGAGAATAAATATGAATGAAATAAACAACTTTGACGTGAACTGAGAGAATTGAATAAACAACTGCAAAGTCAAACATCTCTGTGCTTGCAATAATAACGACTGAGTTTGGATGCATGAAAATCGTTTTAACTGCATTACTTCCTGTTGGTAGGAATACACACTTGATTGAAGGATAAAGCTTTGCATATGATTCTATTGATCCGAGCTTATCTTCAATCACTTCGAATTCGACTTCTTTTATATTTTGTTTAACAGCATTTACAAGATCCTCAGTATTACTTATATGCCTTCTAATATTCAGAGGTCTATTCATTATAACGTACTTCGTTGGTTTTATTTCTAAGGTTTGAAAATAAATCTTCAAAAGATCAACAAGCTTTTGCATAGGAACACCAAAATGTGTTAGATGAGGACGTCCTTCTACAGCAACGTCAAGAAGTTTCGCATGAACCCATTCAGAAGTATTAAGATAGATATATCAACGAACACCAACTGCTTTAAGAACATCGTCACCGTATTTTCGTGCTTCTTCTGTTAATATGACAACACATTCCTCCAAGAAGTCTTTTGGCACTAGCATCAAAGGTGATAAATAATCATGAATAAAATGACCGAAATTATACATCCAAAAATGTCCAAATACGCATGCCTTTTCACATTCAAATACAACAGGTCCATTTTGATATATGCGAATATCAGTCATTGAAGTATCAAATGGAGGTCTAATTATATGACCGTTTATAACAAACTCTCCATATTCGTTCGCGTAGGCATCTTTGTATATTGCAATTTTCCCTTTGAAATTGTTAATAAAGATTTTAGTTTGATTTGTTGCGTATTTCGGAACATATCTAAGGTTTTGGTAGTATTTTCTGTATCGAAGCTCTTTGGCATTTTTCAAAAAGCCGAAGAAATTTCCATCTGGAGGATCTTCATATGTTAAATGAAGTGGAATTATTCGATCTAAATATTCAGGATATAATCCATTTTTAACACCATTAACTTTGACATAATTGTTGTGATCAGAAGCTGCTTTTAAATCTTTTTGAACACAATATGTTAAAATTTCTTTCTTTTCTATAGTGAAATTAATACGTTGGGTACATCCTTGTAAAACCCTATAACAAGAAAATAAAATTAAATATGGAATCATGAAAGTTTGGATTTGGAAGTGCATGAAAAAAAATTCAAAGTATGTCAAACCGAAATTGTTTCTAAATTCATGAATTTGCTTCCATATGAATTGATGCGCATTTGATAATTTGTGATGACAGTGCGATCATTTAGAATATTGAATGGTGATTCAATTTTTGAGATAAAAAATGTGGATGAATTGTTTTTTGTTTTGTTTATAGTGATCTTATTCGAAATTTTCACTTTGGTTCACATTTTAAATCCGAACATTAGCTAACCACTAAATTTTCTAGTAAAACTCCTCTTCATTATGCATCAGCCACCTCATTTTCTTTTTCAGCATTTTCAGGCTGCATCTTATTTAGATAAAGCAGATTGAAATTGAAGTAGGTAATTTCTAAATATAAAATTCAAAAATATTATAAATGATTTGAGAATTCAATATCAAATACGTTTTTGACAAGAAATATCTGTGAAATAAGCATAAATTTTAAGTAGCAAACTCTTTTATTAATAATTACAAACAAACAAATATTAAAATCAAAAATATAGATATTAAATTCGTTTCTTTCCAAGCAAAGAGAAAGAAAAGCCTTCATTACGAGAGTTATAAACAGAATTTTTCTTATTGTTGTATGTAGCGTGAAGTAATTCAGAAGATCCGACTGATGCTCGCATTTTTCCATTTCTAAGGACATTTCCTGCTGCTGCACGAAGCTGGGCTTTATCTTTTGGACCTTTAGTCACAGGAGCTGTTTGGTAGTGGTATTTTCCAAGCTGTTTAAACTTCATTTCTTCAAGTTGCCATTTGAAGTAACAATCTCTGCAAAAACGGACTGTCTTTCGTAATGATTCTGGAGAGAACTCTCTGAAGAAGTTTTTGGCAAAGTTGAAAAGTAAATCAACGTTGCAATCGTAAAATAATTGGAAAATGAAGTATCTGAGAGTAACTCCAAGTGTTACTGTTATCTCTGAATGTTTGTCACAGCGTGGAATTGACCAGCAATGATCTGTTGAGTAGTTACACGAATATAAAATTGTAAGTAGTTGCGCAAACATATCAGATCCATCGGGTACATTTGCAAGAAGATCTGAAAGCGGAGATTTCTGTAATTTGCAAGATAACACATCTGTTATGAAAATTTGTATTTCATCGCCGATATCTTTAAGTCCGAATGCAATTTCGAGATGAGAAACATCAGTACCGTAAAGCAATGATACTAGACGTTTGATGTGGTTAAAAACGTGTAAAGAATCTTCTAAAACAAGCTCATCAATGTCATCAGGTATAGATTCGTCTGAAATCTCGTATAATTCTTCGTAATCATCTGTATCTTCGTTAAATGTGGGTGTGAGTTGTGTTAAAGGATCTATTATGCCAATTCCTTCGTGAACTTGAACTGTCATTGCGGAATTATGGAACAATGGGAATACTTTAAGACCTGATCCATATCTAACACTGCATTGTTCTAATGATGAAGCTAACATCACGGCGAATAAACCGTGTTCTTCATCCATAATTTTTTTCTGATAATTTTTTTCTATCTATTTTTTTTCTCGTTATTGTCACTTTTTATCCCTTACACGAAAAATCCTATTTCTTCGACTTTTCTAATAAATCAATCACTACACCTCATCTCGAAAGAGGGGTTCCAATGAGAAACAGTATATTAATGCACTTCTTTGTAAAAGAATAAGCAATTCTGATTTATCATCAATGTGAAGTTTATTGTTTGTGAACAATTCTTTGTGTATTTTAATACCTCTCCTTTCAAAATCCAACTTTAGTATCTTAATTACAAAAAAATTAAAAGAATAACATTATTTTAGGAAAAAACGCTATCCTGGGGACTCGAACCCCAAACCCTTGGATTAAAAGTCCAAAGCTCTATCCAGTTGAGCTAGGAAAGCTTCACATTTTTTAGGGGTTTCAAGTATACATAATAATAAAAATGCACTTTTCCTTCATCTATCGGCGCGTCGCGCCGATATATGATATATATAAGGTAGTCACAAAATCTAAGTAGAAGGGCTTTGAAATATTGAGGGGATTTGAAATTTTGGCTCTCAAAATTTACCCTTCCTCACTACTCGAATTCCGAGCCTCTCAATGAGTTTCCTCTCAATTTTGAATGGTTTATATTGACTTTTGAATACCTTTATTGAGAACAAAAAAATAAATATATCAATAATCGTATAATATTGGCATTTTTCATAAAATGAAGGCCTAAAAAAGGGGGCCATTCAAAAAATGAATTGTTTTGGGGAGTAGTAGATCTAGTATCTCTATAACAAATCATAAAGATTGGCCATAAAAATTAGGCCTAATCTCTTTTTGGTAAAATTTTGGAAATTGATCTCTCTTCATATTGAGTGGGGGACAAACTCGCCCATTGTCACTTTTTCATTAACCTTAAACTTGTAATTTTCATTATTTTTAATTAACCTTATTTCTTTCCTAATTCCTGATTTATTTTATTCACTTACTATTAAAAGTCACATTTTAATAAAATATAATAATTTATTTATAGCATTTTTTACTATACTGTAATAAAAAATTAATTATAATAAATTAAATGTTTATTAAATCAAATGTTTTCTTTGCAATAATATTTTTAATGTTGAGTAAACAATGTTGGGATCAAGTGTATCATTTTTCAGACCTTTCTGAACAGCTTCAAGCATACTGATGCATTCGACTTTTTTAAATTGTGTCATTTCTTCGAAATCTCTTGTGACTTTTTTGATAACTTTAACACTTCTCTCTGAATCCAGACCTTTAATTTGCAACTTAATCAGGAATGAAGGAACAACACTGGAATATAACTCGATGACAAGTTCATCGAGTCGAAGATTTGGTTGTACACCACTTGTATGTGCCGGATACCATTGTGTCAAATTTTTTCTGAAATTAACTTTAAAAGTACTAAGTAAGATCATGAGATATAGCAATATATGTTTAAACTAACTTATATTTTGGTTGTACACCACTTGTATGTGCCGGATACCATTGTGTCAAATTTTTTCTGAAATTAACTTTAAAAGTACTAAGTAAGATCATGAGATATAGCAATATATGTTTAAACTAACTTATATTTTGGTTGTACACCACTTGTATGTGCCGGATACCATTGTGTCAAATTTTTTCTGAAATTAACTTTAAAAGTACTAAGTAAGATCATGAGATATAGCAATATATGTTTAAACTAACTTATATTTTGGTTAGTTAGTATACAAGTCTCGTGTACGGAGGCACTGCGTTCCTCCATACGCAATACTTGTGAATTTGACACTTTACAAAACCGTTAACGTATATTTTACAACACAAACACAAACACCAACTTAACCTTAAATATTTATAAAGCCGCCAACCACTTCACCTCACTACTGTAAAAAATAAACGTTCTCACTTACAAAAGTATTGCAACTCTTCCCATTGCTGTGCTTCACACAATAGTTCATATTCTTCAGTATCGCTGCTGTCGCTCCAATCGTCAGAGTCAAAGTCACTGTCAAAATAAATGTTAGTAAGTTTTGACAAAGCTAATGAAACACGCTTACCGTTTGTATCGTATGCTTGTATAAACTTTCCATTCTTCATTCCTTCATAAACGCTCAAACTAACTTTACCCTTTCTCCCTCGTATCTGATAGAATGTATTTTCACGAGGAACGAAGAACAAATTCTTGAACTCATGACCGTTGTAGTTTGTTATCTCAATAGTTTTCGTCATTTACATCCAAATAAAAATTTTCAGTAAAAATAAAAAATAAACTTAAAATTAATGATATCACCACCCTCACACGTATGAAAACATAGCACAAAAATAAATTTAGGTGAAGTGGTGAGATTTCACCTGTTTTCTCACCTGTTTTTTCACCCACTTGAATTCATTGCTTTATAACTCTCTTCCTTTCTCCAACTCTTCTAACTTCTTCTTAAGTTCAGCAATGTTGTCCTCATGAAGTTTAATCTTCCTTAATATACCTTCTCTATCTAATGGTTGCTTTATCTTTCTAAACTGAACTCTACCATCCTTCATAGTATGAACGTAAAAACCTTCTGGAACCGCTCCTGATTTAATGTATTCTACCAAAAACTTTTGTTTCATTGCTTCAGTGACTTTAGTCGTCATTTCAATCAAATAAAAATTTTAATATTAAATAAAAATAACGTTATTTTTTCAGTAAGGAAACGCAGGAGTTTTACGATTTATTTGAGGAGTAGGTTCTGGTTTAAATGTTGGAGTCGGTTTAGGAGTTGACTTTTGAACAGGAGTTTGTACTTTCATAGGTTCAGGAGTCATTGAAGGTGTTGTTTGTGATGGTGTCGGAGTTTGTTTAACTTCAGCTACTTCAGTATTATTTACAACATTTGCTTTATTTCTTTTCAACATCATAACTGCTCCTGCTGTAGCTAGCAAACCTAGTGGGAGACCATATTTATATAAGGACTTGACCAAATGCTATTTTTGACAGGAGCTGGTGGAACACCTAACCTTGGTGAGACTGCTCTTTGCCATTGTGCAGCTCGTAAGAAATATTCAATAGGTGCTCCATAATCGTTTGGTAAAGTTTGTTTCATAGATGGTGAAGGTTCACGAGAGCTTGATGAAGAACTCATTTATAAGCTTTAAAAATAAACGTTCATCCTTTATTCCTCACTGTCGTCCGTAGCTAAGTTATAGTCATCTAATCTTATTATTGGGATTCCATTAGCACGCACCTGAATGGCAAAGCAACAATCCCTCATAAATCCAATAAGTGGCTTTGGTACGTTTTCAGTTGCTAGTTCAATAGGTCCTTTAACAGACAATTTGTATGTTATTGGAGCAGTAGATGTTTGACCTTGCTGGAAGCAAAAGTCCACTTCTGTTGGAAAACCACATAAGAAATGTGTGTTGTCATAGCTATCCCATTTATGTTCCACACTACCATCATCCACCAATGACCTCATAACATCTTCATTAAATCCTATCATATCATTGTTTGTATTGCAAGCGTTCGCAACCATTTCATAAAATACAGGTCCATATGATTTTTCAGGTTCTGCAGGCATATTTCCATAAGCTCCCATGGAAAGCTGAAGATATTTAAACTTAGGGTTCTCAAAATTAACATAATAGTTGTCTTTCTTTCTAAATAGTGCCCAAATACTTTTATTAATAGGCGTATAAGCTGCTGTAAATGTTGCACTTGAACTATCTGTATTCTTTGAGAATGAACCGTCCATAGGAATCCAATCCATAACTTTAACAGGAAAACATAAAGCCTCGTTTGTATAATGTTCTACAAGTTCTGTATAAATGTTAGGGTCTAAAGAGAATGACTTTGGATGAATGAAACATTCATTAAAATCCATCTTTGTTCGAAATAGTTGCTGGTTTACAGTTGTAATAGTAACTGTTCCACTAGCTTCTACTGCCTTCGTTATCATAGTGAATGGTTCATTCCATGGAACAAATTTATTTGTCGGTGGATTTGAATCTGAAGCAAATGCAACTTTAAGAGTTGGATTGAAAGCAATGATATCATTTACAGATATAGATGTGCATTGTAAGGCGTCGCTACTGAACTTTACTTTAAGCTGAATGTTTCCTGCAAAAGCTGGAATAAATCGAATAGCTTCTAATGGAAGGAATCTTCTAACAGGAATTCTTAAACGAAGCTTAAAATCAAATGATTTTCCTGCTGTAATTGGACCACTAACAATTTGTCCTGTTCTGCATGTTCCCGAATGACTCCATACATCTTCATGTCGAGTCTTTGAGAAAACATCTACTTTCTTTATTTGTTCGGTAGTTTGTGAGTTTGAAGTTATATATGCTTCTTCTCTTGCGTTGTCTTGAGAATATACGATACGACCATTTGCAAGGATTTGATATCCAGCAACTGCATAGAAAGCGTCATCGAAACCAATCCAAAATCCTGGTGGGTTTGTTTTATTGGAACCTGAACCAATTTCTTTATCTACAATAAATTGACCTTCCATTTTATACGTAATGAATGTATTGTAAAGGTCCAACATATTTTCACCAGGAGGTGAGAGATTGAATGTTACCCATGTGTTATCTTTAGCAGTTCCAGGTTGTGATGGAATCTTTGCGTCAGAATATTTTCTATTAGTGTCACCAATTTGAACTGCATTGTCTATGATATCGAAATATGAGCGAATCTGATGAATATGCTCTGCTGGAGTAAATTCGTTTAGCTGTTCGTTCTGCATGTATTTACTTCAGATAAAAATATCTATTTACTTCATTATTCTCACTCTTCTTCTTGGCATTCGTGGTGGAAGTTGTTTCTTGACATTTTCAATGAACTGTACATTCTCTTTTGTCTCAACTTCTTTCACTGGCGGGTCAGGGTTCTTTGACTCGGTTTGCTTTTCAATGAAATTCACGAACTTTGCAATAAGCTCTTGGTTCGTTATTGAAAGAACATCTGGCTTCTTTTCTTCTTGTTCTATTGACTTTTCAGTTTGAACAGAAGGTTTTATATGGGCTTCGTGGGCTTCGC